TGTGGAACTCAGGCTGCTTGCACTGCGGCCTCTAGGAGAACGGTCTCGTCCAGGTACACGTTCTTCACCATTGTCCATGCTGGAGCACGAAGCTCCGCTACCACGTTGAAACTCGTGGCACAGCTACGGGGGCCTAAGGGACCTCAGGTCAAGACTACACTCAACCCTCACAGCACGAAGTGCGGACTCTTTTCACTGCGCTGTTCACAGCTTCTCGAGCTCCGCTCGTCTTGAGCCAATGCGAGTACGGCTCTCCAGCTTCAAACACTGTCTGCCAGACATGGGAAAACAAAGGTACTTCAGGTGAAAACACTCAGCCATGGAACTTCTACTCCTAAACACTGTGGGTAGGTTCCTAGCACCTCTTAGGTGCTCTGCTGAGCTCTGTGCAGACCTAAACTGGCTTGAGTCACTTCTGGTCACCAAATACCGGGTCACAAACAGGAAACGAGTTCCGACAAACGAGTTTCGAGAAAACGAACAGAAAACGGTTCTTCCTACTCAAAACAAGATCTCACCAAGCCAAAACAAATCTGCACTGCCTGACATGTCCTCGTGCCTATGCTTCACACTCATAGCCGACAACTCAAGTGCACATCACGTGTCAACTGGGAAACTATGAGGGTCACATATATCAACTCCAGCCCCGTCGAAGCATGGTCAAAACCACCCTAAAGCCATCCCACCTTCAAAAATGGTCAAACCCACCCCACCCACCCGCACCTTCTGAACAGGTCCAATCCATCCCGAGTCCATTCAAAACACGGTCAAACCCAGGCTTAAAGGGGGTTTAAAGGGGGGCTTCAAGGGGAACTTAAAGGGGAGCTTAAAGGAAAGGGTCAAGGAAGCTTCAAGGGGGGACTTAAGGGCGGGCTTAAGGGAGCTTTAAGGGGGAGCTGAAGGGGGGGCTTGAGGGGGGGCTGAAGGGGGCTTAAGGGGAGGCTTACCCCTTTGAAGGAGGGCTTAAGGGAGGCTCAAAGGGGAGCTTAAAGGGGGGCCCCCCTTTGCTCCCGCAATACAATTTGGAGCAAAGATTGGGGGAGTAAACTGCAACCCCAAAACAAAATGGGGCCGTTTGGCGGCTCTAAGCCTTCGAATCTTCGAAGCCTTCAAAGAGGATGGGTTCCCCCCTTTGGGTGAAGTAGAACTGCAGTGAAGCAGAACTGCAACTGTGGAGGCCCTCCTGGTGAAGGAATTGCTTGTGTTTTTCGGATTTGAAAGCGCGGTCGCCCTTCGTCCTGGCAATGTGGAAAGCAATTATTGAGACCTACGACCTCTGCAGGCAGCTTTCTTGTCGAAGTGCTCAACATGAGAGAAATTGCACAGTGCAGTCTGTCTTACTGCAGAATTGCAAAGACAGCACGCGCTGCTTTGGACAAGCTCCCGCACGCTCAGCGCGACGTTGCCCAAAGTTACTGGAAAAGGGCAGGCGCGATTTGGTTGCTTGCCCAGAGGCTCAAATTCAAGGGCCAAAAAAACGAACCGCCTCGCGGCTTCGGAGAAATGGACCCAGCTTCCGCAATACAAGGCTTGGGCGGGTTTTGACCATGCTATGAAGGGGCTGGGTTGGGTTTGACCTCTTTTGAAAGAGTTGAGGTGAGGGAGCTTCACTGTGTTTTGAAGAGGCTGGGAAGGAGGCTTGATCCACAGCAAGTGCTAGAAGACCGAGTTTCTGCCTCGGCTTAACCTGCTTGAGAACATTGCGAAGGTCACTTTGCGAACGGCGGAGTCGTTGTGTTCCCGAATTAAACAACTGTTTTGTTATTCTGGGAAACCTCGGACTCCACGGCACTCTGTTGGTAAATTGCAATTTGCGAGGACTCCGCCGACTCCGCCGACTCCGGCAGCTTCCCTACCTTTTGGAGTTGATTTCTTGCCCTCTTTTTGTGTCTCCAAATCTACTTACCACCCACACACTTCCACACTTGAACAGCCAGCAGAATCCACCCGAAATACACGCAAACGCACACCACCCCTAAAGCCACCTTGCACCCACATAATGACACACATCACACTCCATGACACACACGACCTCAAACCCACTCGCAATTCTCGGTCCCTTCAAAACATGGTCAAAACCCACTCCAAACCCACGTGCACAAACCTGTCGCTGGAGACGTCGCCCTTCCCCATTATCTTCTTCTTCATTGGGCGCATGGCAACTTAAAATTCCGGGCCTGCAACACGCTAAATGTCTTGCCTGCCCAAAACTTTCTTTCTGCAATGTCTAGCGACTCTGCACAACCGCAGAAAACGTTAAGGCCGCATTGGTCAACTTGCTAGAGCTTGAAGCGTGACTTTACAGAAAACACCAAAGCTGCAGCTCAACTGGCGGGCCAGAAGCCTAGCCCCCCTTTAAACCCCTTTACGCCACCCTTTCAGCCCCAGGTGCAAGGCGCAGTTTAAGCCCGAGCCAACCAATGCCATCCGCAGCCTCTTTCAGCAGGTGCAAGGGACAGCCCAAGTTGCAGCAGACCCCCTGTGCAAAATCCCTGAAGGCACCGGCAGCTGAAGCAACCTAGGAGGTTGCATCCTCCCAGTGAGGAGAAAGTGAAGGTCATCCTCGCTACCAGAGAAACCACCCCTGACCGATCCCCTCTAACAGCCTGCGCCAGGTGCACCAGCGGCCTTGAGGGAACTTTTTGTCAAGGAGGTTTAATCCTCTTATGAAGTATCACCCTCTGGTAGCATCCCAACGAGGATGATGGAGTCGAGGTTCATCCTCGCTGCCAGAGAACACACCCCTGGCGATTTCCTCTCACAATTTGCACACAGTGCACCAGAAACCTTGAGGAATGTTTTGCCAGGAGGTTCAATCCTCTCGACCTCTGGTAGCATCCCAAAGAGGATGATAGCTTAGAAGAGGTGTTATTCCTCCCCTGTACCATAGGGCCAAGAGAGCCATCAGATGTGCTAGTACAGAGGCACGGTTTTTTACAACCAAAACACCAAGGAGGTGGTTCGCACTAGTTCGCTCAACTCGGAAAAAAATTGAACCCGGATTGAACCCAGGTTGAACCCCAGGTTCTTGATGTCGTGCTGATGCAACCTAGGAGGTTGCATCTCCCCAGCGAGGATAAAGTCGAGGTTCATCCTCACGACCAGAGAAATCACCCCTGGCCGATTTCCTCTAACAGCCTGCGCCCAGTGCACCAGAGGCCTTGAGGGAGGTGTTTGCCAGGAGGTTCGATCCTCTCATGAAGTATCAACCTCTGGTAGCATCCCAAAGAGGATGATAGAGTCGAGGTTCATCCTCCCAGAGAAATCACCCCTGGCCGATTTCCTCTTACAGTTTGCACCCAGTGCACCAGAAACCTTGAGGAAAGCTTTTGCCAGGAGGTTTGATCCTCTCGTGAGGTATCAACCTCGGGTAGCATCCCAAAGAGGATGATAGAATAGGAGGTGGTGTTCCTCCGGTATCATAGGGCACGGTTTCACAACCCAAACACCAAGAAGGTGATTTGCAGAAGTTCGCCAAACTCGGAAAAAATTCTCGATGTTGTTGTTCCCACCCCCCCCCCCCGGAGGGCCGGCAGTTCGAATGGGCGGAAGCAAGGTTCGAACCCCCCCCACCCAACCTTGCTCTGACTTTGGGTGCCCTTTTCGGCGATGACGCCGCTGCGTGGAGGCAAGAGCAGGTTAGCTGCAGAGACTTCAGAAATGTAGATTGGAGCTTGCGGGCGGTTTTTGGATCTTGGCAAGTGTGCAGCTTCCCTCATGCGCTTCCAAGGGATGCTCTTCACCTCGGCAGTTGCGTCAAGCAAAAACTGCAGGGCTGGGCGGATACGGTAAAAGGGTCGAGCAACGAAAGGGGCAAACCCAACTTTGAGCAGCTTCTGGTAAGCTGCCATGGTCAGACCTTGTGAAGGTCTGCTCCACACCCCTCAGGGATCTCAAAAGGATTCCGAGAATTTTGCCCAGGCTTCAACGTGTCGAAGCTCCTTGCCAATTGAACCCCAAAATCATCCCCAAAATTTTGCGCACACGTGCGAAATCTGCCTGATGCCCAAGCTGCACCCCTGTAAAAGTTCCAACTTCCACTCTACAGGGATTCCAAGTCTGCATGTTGGAAGTTGGACCGCACAGACCCGCACAAGCTTCGAAGGTCTGGAGGCTGGACAATGGGTCTCAATGCAACCCGGGAATTTTTAAAATTTTGGGGATTATGCAGGATCCCTGTGGCTGAAGCCCGCGAGTCAAGTTATTTTTCAAGCCTATGGTCTAACCGACCTAACCCATGGCCTAACCTTTGGCCTAATGTACTTTCCTTTTGGCCGAACTCATTCTCGCCAAAAACGCAATGTTGAAAGTTCTCCAGATGCACGATCTTAGAGGTGATGCACTTCGCTTGCAGAAAGGTTTCAGTTTCGTCGGCATGTTGAGTTTCGCTGATGATTTACATGCGGATCCCCATACGATATACACGGCCCTGAAGGCGTCCCTGTGCGAGGGAAGGGCCAGCTCTGGTTTGCTTGCAAGCGGTTCTGAGAGGCTGGCAGGACCCTGTTGGGCAGTATGCGCCATAGGAGCTTGCAGCGCGTCTTGAATCGTGGCATGTAATACTGCAAGCAGGCGAGCTTCGGTGATGGTATTTTGTGCGCGGAGAGCAGCTAACCCAGCTTTCTGGTCGAGTTCATATTTTGGATTCTGAATCGGCAATCGCTAGCACTTGTTGACCGACACTTCAGAAACCATTGTGGTAGCATTTTGCCGATCTCAAGCCTGGCGACACAATCAGGTAGTTCCCGTGGTGGTGGCGGAACAAACTCTGGCGCCGGTGGCGCTGTTGGTTGCGGTGGTTGAAGTTGGAGGAGCCCGCAGCTGGCCCAGTCTTGGCCATCAAGTCCTGTGACAAGGCCCACGCAGAGGTGGCAGTCACACATTGGCTCAAGAAGCGGGGCTGGCTTAAATCAGACGAACCTTGCACGGACTGCAGGTCCGAGAACGACGGGCAGAGCAGCGAGTGCTGCCTGGAATGGTTTGAAGGGGGAGCCCTGGTCATGGAACCCAGTTTCGAGAAGCCGGAGGAGGAGTCAGAGAAGGAGCCGGAGCTGCTAATCAAGTTCACGCTGAAGGCCGAGGAGGGCTTGGACAAGGACTTGGTGACATGGGTCCGAGAAGCGCCTTTCGAGAGTGGCGAAAAGCGAAAAGAGTTCTACGACCTCTTGGAGGGGAAGGAGGTGTACAAACTCAAGCAGCTTGCCTCCTTGCAGGACGACGAGTTGGAAACGGCAAAGGTCCACGAAAAGGTTCGCAAGCGAGTTCAAGATACCGGCTTAAGCCCAGAGTCAGCAAGTAAAGCAGCAGAGGAGCAGAGGGCCCGCCAGCAGGTAGCTCGGGACACGGTGAATGCGGAGCTGGCAAGGACTCAGCAGTTCATCGAATCAGCATTGGAAGCCTCAAGAGAAGTGGTAAGTCAAGGGAGTGCCAACTTGCGAGAGCAAGTGGCAGCAGATCTGAGCAGGGCCAGTGAAGCCCTTGCTGAGTTGCAGGTTTCAGAAGCCAATCTTGCTGTCGAAAGCAGCCGGCTGGATGCGCTGGCCAGCTCTTCTGGCGGCTTCGTGAATGGACAACGCCTGTCGATCGTAGAGCTGATCAATTATGCTCAGGTCATGCATGGCATCAGGCGCGCTAAGGTCCCATTGCGATTGGAAGGTCTAGGCCTGCGCCGGAGTAGCAGTTCTAATTCCAGACCATGACAGGCTGATTGGAGATGGCCTGCGCCCAGCTTCCTTTGAGCAAGTTGTGCAGCTGACGCCAGCTGCTGCAGCCTTGTGCGGCCCCTACATTGTTGAAGCACCCTTCATCCGTTTCCTCAACAAACCAAGAGTGTAGCGGGATCAAACAGCATGAAGGCTTCACATCACTTCGGGATGAGACTACGCCAGCTCAGAACTTTTATCATAAAGTCGTACTTGGTGGTTTAATTGGTGCAAGCAGCTGTCTAAAGACTTACACCCGGGACCCTGACCCCTCCACACCTGAACCCTAGTCCGAATCCTTGAACCCAATAGGCCCTAAGGTCTGAGTCCGTGCTTTCCTCTTTGGTGGCCTATGCACCGGATGCGACTGCCAGTGAGTTCACCTTCGAAACAGAGAGCGCCTCCGACTCACAGAGGGCTAGTACGAGCTTCAATACCTTTGGCCGGAGCTTCTTCGAGAGCCGCACGACCACTGGCGGCGGTGCCGCAGGTTTTGGCCCCTTCTTCTCTGCTTCAGTCTCCTACACTGACACCGAGACCAATGGCAGAGCCAGTAGAGAGCAGGACAGAACTACGGCGAGAATGCAGGCTAAGGTAGCCAGCCTCTTCAGGACGCTATACCGATTGGAGCCGAGGCTTCTCATCGAGCTCTCCGAGAACATGATTACTCCCTCACAGCGTTTCGAAAGTGAAATGCAAGGTCGGAGTCATGTTTTCAAGCAAGAAGTATCAGGAAGGGTTTTTGGTCATGAGGAATGGGTTGTAGGAGTTTTAGCTGATACACAGAGTTGGCAACATCCTGATTCCGCCAGGCCTTGTGGACATCTTTTGCATGGATCCACAGGACAAGGCGGACGATGCGTGTGCTCCGAGGCCCAACGCAGGCAACCCGCCGGACCTGGGTACTTCGCCAACCATCGCGCAGACCCAGGTGGGTGTGCTCACAGGGATGGGACAGATTTTTCAATCCCACACACGCCACGCAAGGGAAAGCGACAACAGGTAGCCCTAGGATTTCCCAATATCAGCCCCCTTAAGCCCCAAGCCGCATCCGCCGCGGGCGGGGGGGGGGGGGGGGGGGGGGGGGCAACTTGAACGTGATGTCAGGTCATCTATATCTCCTTCATTGTCGCAAATGTGAAGGAACAAACGATGAAGACCGATCCGGACTTGGCTGACAGGCTCAAGTTGGCTCTCAGAAATGCTGCGCAGTCGTTTGCCGGCCCAGTTCAACAAGATGTTGCTGTGATCTTCAAGAAGCCTAGCAAAAGCACAGGGGTGAACGTCTTTCAGAACTTAGCTGTCGACATCATCCTCACACCGACCGAACAGACGCTGCTCAAAGACGCCTTCCAAAAGCTCGAGTACTGGGCAGTCCGGGGTTACCTCCAGGCAGCCCTGCTCACAGCTGTGACCTCGACCCGCGGCATCAACAATGCGTTTGCTTTGAGCAGGGAGAGCGAGGAGAATGTAACGCTGCCCCCAGAGCATTTCAGAGTGGAGGCACCGTTTATCCCGCAGACGTATGGCACCGCCCAGAATGACACTGGCGTTGCAGGCGTCCAATTGCAGGCCACCAATTCCACGGCCAACTCATCCGATTCCGGCACCGCCCGTGAGGAGATTGACAACCTGAGGAAACGAAGGCCCGATTTAGTGATGGCGGTCCATTCCTTGTTCTGGCACTTCGGGACACACGTCTGTCCGCACGTTCTCCTCGGTGGTTGGTGGAAGCTCACCGCCAGCATGCAGAGCAACTCCACCTTCAGCTTGCTCGACATGAGCAACATTTTGTCAAACGCTTTGTTTGAAGCCGAAAGCAGGGCTTACTCGGCATCTGCCTCAGGCGCCTACAAGCAATTTGCTGCCACTGGATCCGGAGGGCGGTCACGTGCTGAAGAAACGCAGGAGGGAAGCACGGACGCCGCCCGCGACATCAACCAGGAGGCCTTTCGACATTCCACGGTCAGCGTAGTGCAGGAATGGAAAGGCGGCGCATCGGGCACCTCACCGGGAGACTGGAGGCGAAGCTTGGACAGCAGCTTTAATTCCAACTGGCGCATCATCGACAGGGAAGTCGACCGCTGTCTTGGCGTGTGGACCTGGATGCCCAGTGATCGACTGAAGCTACTCTTGTGCACAGAATGGTTGGAGGAGTTCCTCCCATCCTTGATCATCGAATCCAACGAATCGATCGTGCAGGGCTTTGACTGGCAAGGCTTTTGTCAAGATCCTGCCGGTCTTGCGAGTTTGCGCGAGACAGTGCGACGCCGATTGCAAGAAGAGCAGGAGGCAGCCCGCCGTCGTGAAGACGCTCGACGGCCTCTTAATTTTAACGCTACGCGACCCGCCTCGGCCCGGCCCAGCGCATCTGCGTGAGCATGGTGATTCCACAGCGCCCAAGTCGCTGGGGGAGGGGCAGAGGGAGGGGCGGGGAAGCAGCGGGGGGGGTGGGGGTTGGAAGGGCGGGGAGGGGGGGGCCGAAAGGGGGGTGGCGCGTGCTGGGCTTGAACTGCTGGTTGGTACCCCTGGGGGTGCCTGTTCTCACAATACAACGTCGGCCCGAGCCCTCGGCAGATTTCAATACAGTGTGTGATGCACCCAAGCCCAAGCACAACCCTTCCCTTCTCAGCCGTGAAGCGACGCTTTTCCTTGGCCTTGGGAAACACACCGCCCTGAAAACACACTTATGACCTCCCAAGGCCATAAGGACCCCACCATGTTTTCAAGGCAGAAGTTAATGGCGAGGAGGGGGGGGGGGAGGGGGGGAAGCTGCAAAATGGGCCTCTTGAAGCAGGAGCTCAGGAACCTACGATCTATGTATACTAGATTACTAGATCAGTGTTAGGGATCCTTTTTACTTTTTGGGTTATGAGCTTTCTTATATATGAACAAAAAGGATCCTTTTTTCTTCCTAGGGGAACAGGGATTAAGTATAGAGACAGGTAGAGATAGTGTACCCAGTTATGGATACGGATACTTCTATTCTAAAGAAGGGCTCGAAGAGGCGAAGATGGGCAATTGCTGACTCACAGCTTTAAGAATCCCCAAGACATTCCTAGCTTCAGAAGGGCTTCAAAAACCACACATTGCTCCTGAGGAGAAGCTTGCAGCTGAAGAATCGAACCGCGTTCGGTCCATGGGATGGTTCATAGGCCCTCTGCCGCCGCCCTAAGGTGAACATGGACCCATTGGGCCCCTTATGCATAAGACGGTTCAAAGCATGTAGGGCCCCCAACTGTGGGGCTCTTACGGTGCCCCTGAAGAATCCTCAAACCGCACCAAGACCCCTAAGACCCCTGAACCCCACCACAACAGCCTGCTGCGAGGTGTAGAAGATGACACCACCGGCACCAGCTTTAGTGGGAAGTATGGTGTACCATGCAGCACGGTGTGCTACAAAAATGGATACACAGGCACCGAAGAAGGGCTTTCAGACGGGTCTTTTTGTGATGCTTTTATGTGCCCGTTTCGGGCCAGCTTTCTCTTGTGAATGCCTGTTTCTGCTCTGAAGGTGGCTGCGACAAAGAGAAGATGGCGACGATAGACTCAAATGAGGCGGTGGCCCAGGCTTTTACATGGGCGAAGCCCACGAGTTACAAGTGCGACACCTCGAATTTCCACCCCCCCGCACTTACCCTGGCACGCCCTTCTATATCTTTGACAAAGACACCCGAAGTGAATATGGTGACTGTTGCCCTCTCGTGCCGGGAACGCCCGCGTCCGCAATCGAGTGCGACGCACGGGTCACTGCCGATGATCGGCATGCGACCCTTTGTGCCTGCATCAAAGAGGCCGGAGGCCGAGAGTCACTTCATGCCCCTTTTGTTTTGTTAGGGTGTGCCTTGGCGGTCTTTGCCTCTTGTGCCTCAGGCCCCGGAAGTGCACTGGCGCATAGGCTGGGCCGGGCTGGGATTCCGGGCGGGACTTTTCGGACCCTTGAGTGCTTTTGGCCACTGGTGCACTCGAGGCTCTCCCGGAGAAACATGCACCGAGCACATCTGTCCGCGCAATGGCTTCCTAGGCGCTCCTACCCATTCACGCCCTGGAGAAATGTTTTGAATTTCCTGGAGCTTGCAGAGGGGCCCCCCCAAACTCAACCCACGCTGCAAGGCGGATGTGACCTGGAGAAGATGAAGGCTCTGACGTCGCAGATCAAGCTGAAGCTGGCTATGGAGTGGGCCGGACGCCCATGCCAGAGCTTCGTCGCACCCTTGGAGAATTCACAGGGCGTCCCGCTGCTAGTGGGCCACGATGAGAACACCTGCCGGCCTGCCAGCCAGAGCCTGAACGACTGCGATGCGGAGGTTCGGGGCGACAACCTGCGCCGCCTATGTGCTTGCAGAGCGTACTGAGAAGGTCCGAGAGAGGAAGCACTCTCTTTTTTGTTTCCGGCCGGCGTGCCATGCAGCATCAAGGGTCAAATTTGAAGACCCCATATTGAAGCCAGATTATAACCTGCGGCCTAAATGTTCCACAAGCGACATTAAGCGACCAGGCCAACTTGCAGGATTTAGAGGTTTTATTTTCGTCAGCTACTCTTGTCGGGGTGCATCCCGCAAGTGAACGCGTCTGTGATGTGGGCGCGGTGAACCTGACCGAACAAGCATGGGGGGTTGCATTTGGGTCATGCTCAAGGCTTGCGAGCTGCTGAGGCTGCATCCAGCTCCATAATTCAATGTATAGCCTGCATATATATATATATATATGTATGTATGTATATATGTATATATATATATATGTATATATGTATATATGTATATATGTATATATGTATATATGTATATATGTATATATGTATATATGTATATATGTATATATGTATATATGTATATATGTATATATGTATATACGTATATACGTATATACGTATGTACGTATATATGTATATGTATATATATATATACACACCTGTTCTCTATCTAAATTAGTACATACTTGGTGAAACACAGCATGAACTTGTTTGAGGGATTGCTTGGCCTGCTGCGTTCTACCAGGTCGATCGCCAGCGCCTTCGGTGAACCAGAGGTCAGTGAGGGACTTGGTAGCGACCGGGATGAAATTGTCGCTCTGCGCTCCTGGCCAGGAGTTTCGCCTGCGAGCAAGGGAACTGGAACGGTCTTCGCGGGAAACCTCTTGACCGGGCGCTGATCCCAAGTCCTACATCTAAATAACTAAAATCCCTGCCAGAAACATCCTCAACTCTTCGTCTGAAAGCCTCCACGGCCCTCCAAACCAGATTTTGGCCTCTGAAACGACAGCCTGGTGGCTCGACTGGTGGACAAGGGGGGATAGCACGAGATGCGGTTGATTCGGAGGGCGTGGGGAGGGCGTGGACAGGGGAACGGAGCTTGATATCAGGTTGACTGGGGTTGAGAGACACCCAATGGAGGGGGAGGGTTGTGGAGGCGGAGAGTGATGTTGTGGCAGCATGTGGCAGCATGATATCCGTTGAGGGAGGTGTGGGCACACCGAGAAAGGGGTGGGGCATGACACTGCAGATGTGTTGGCTCAGGCGATCGAATTTTCCAAAGGGGTTTGATCAGCAGCTGCACAAGTAGAGCCTGACAGAAACAAGCCTGTGCAATCATTACTTCATTGATTGTTTGGTTTTGTTGGGGCAGCTTGGGGCGGGGCGCTTCCGAACAGCATGAGAACAAACGAGGCAATGCGTTTTTTTGCACAGTCCAAACGAGCACAAGAAATAATGCCTACATTTTTTCGCAAGCTGTTGAGATAGCTTGCCATGTTCGGCAATGCAGCCCGCCAAATCGGGTTGGGATCTTGACCTACTACTGCTTGTGCTTTGTTTGCACCTGCTTCTGACAATCAACTTGCACAGGTCAGCTGCGAATCAATTTAGATGGGTTGGGCCTGTTGCCCTGGCACGTTGGCAATTGGCTGACACGCTGATATCCTGCAGGAATGCAGGTCAACAAGCGAGAGCCTTCAAAATCCGCATGGTTTCCATGGCTGTGACAGCTCGATGATTAGCCGGGCGTGTCTTAGGGACCCCAGCACATGTGCCAGGCGGCCGTTGGGATCGGCGGTTGCATCCCAGCATACTTTGTTTATGCTCCATGGCATACAGAAGAAGCGGAATCGTGTGATGTGCCGTCAGCCTGTCTAGTTCAGGCAAGATGCACAGCGAACCAAGGACCATTATGATACAGAGAGACAAGCGAAGTAAGGTCCTCAGTCTGCTTTGTGCTGCTCTTGGCAAACTTGCTGTGGAGTTGATCTTGTGGCTTGCATGCGTTCTGGGAATGCCACCGGACCGCCGCTTTTATCCGTCAAGCCCCACGGCTGACAATCACAAAGTTTTGTTTCTTAACGGGCGTTGCGGTCGACATGGGTGCTCGGAAAGGGCGAACACTTGCCCTGATTGCCGCTCACCTGACTTGTTGCAAGCATCAGCCCATCTACTTGCCAGACATTTTTTCCATCACGAAGTGTAGCAACATACTGTTCGGAGGGTGTCACATATGTGCATGAGTTGCCTGGCATCATGTGCAGCCACACGAGAAGCACCGCGCACGAAAGGCAATTCTGGCTGCAGCCTCGAGGATGTGCTCGCCTGGCTTTCTTGCTCCATGGAAGGACCTGCCGAGGAGCTCGGGGTCGTAGCCTTTTTTGTTGGGCGTCTTGAGCTGGGTTCTACCACATTTTCTGTCAAAAGATGCGGGACCGTAAACCTTGGAGTAGCTCTCTAGACTTTGCAGGACACAAGCCGAAGCCCACGTCCCGGTTGCTTTGGGAACAGCTGGCTGGTTTGTTGGTGAGATCACAGCAAAAGCTGACGACTTTGGGCTGCAAGTACGGACAGTTGGGGGAGACAGTGGCGAGGGATGTTCCTGGATCATCTAAGGACTACTCGCCCTTCCCGGGCTCTTATTCAGCCTTTGATGAGGACCAGCGGCCTTTTTCGTTTCTGTAAGCAGCAACGCAGCTTTCATGAAACGATGTGCTTGCTGAGGTGGAAGGTTCAGCAGAAGCTTAGTGTAATTACATTCTTGAGCGCACGATCTGAAGTTTCAGAGGAGAACCAGTGGGTAGCAACTTCCTTCGCCGGCTGGCTCTTCTTTGCTTTGTTTGGCTTCCAAGTGGCATCAAGATTTGGCGACGGATTCGGCGACGAATCGAAATGATAGCCCGCCCCTCTGCGGGCTCAATAACGAGCAGAGCCAGCGGAGCTCTTCGGACACCACTCGCTTGAGGCCACTGAGACCGGGCTGAAACACGAAATCTTTTTAAAAGTGTTTCTTGCTGGTTTGCCTGGAGTGTTCTGAGCCGTTCTGGCCCGCAGAAATTCCAGACACATAGCTGTTCAGGCAGCTAGATTGCCGCATGTTGCAAGCGATACCACCCTCGCTTCAGAAAGCTTTCTGCGCTCAAAAAGCATGTCTTGTGCAGTTCTGGAACAACGGTTGCTCCGACCTATTGTGCCAACAGCCCCTTTGTTGCAGTGGATTTTCCGAATAAGGTCATACGAGAAGATGGTCAGGGACAAGTTTGAGACTCGGAGTGAGGCTGCGATGACGTTGGCGGAAACGCATTGCGGTGTTTCAAGGTGCTACTTGGACATCGGCATCGGCAATCGATATGCGGGACGAGTCATTCTTGGGCTGTATTCAGACACCGTGAGTGTCCCAGAGTGATGGATGACGAGCCAAAACCAAATCCAATCACAGGCAACAGCGCGGCAGATTCCTTTTCTCAACAACCTGGCGTTGCCAGAGCCCCGAGGTCCCTTTGACATGTGAGAATTTCGTTCAGCTTTGCGCTGCGCTCAGCTGACAAAGCTGGAGCCTCTGAGCAAAGAAACATGAATGCTTGCAGGCAAAGGTTACCGGATAAAGGAGCGCATTATTGGCGCTCCTTCCATGTTTTTTGCCGTGTTCTTGTGTCAAGGCGCACACACACACATAGGGCAGATGCGCGATCATTCAAGTCGTGCACGCGGGGTGCCAGGTTACCAGAACACAAACATTCACATGATCAAGTCGGGATGTGCCATCGCAGGCCAGTGCAGTCTCCGCCTTGAGACAACGCTAGATGTAGATGTTCCAAATGGCATTTGGGGGATTCTGATAATCGGAACTTCCAAAAGAGGGCCCCCTTCCCCCAATTCCCCCAATTGCAGGTGGTGATGTTTTGGACGGCACAGGGAGAACTCGGGGACTGAGCATCTATGGAGAGGCACTTCGTGCTTTTCCCCCAAGAGGCCTTGCAGAGTTTTCCTGCATCTGCTTCCTGAAAGAGGCGTTTCCGGACGAGAACTTTGAGATGAGTTTCCTGCGTGACGGGGATCTGGCGAGTGACCTCAGAACACTATGGGGCTGAATGCTTTGGTCTCGTTCGCAGTCAAGGCCATGTGCAATTGGGGTAAGAACACCAACTCCTCCATTTGGATGATCACCTTGTCGCCCAGATCTTGGACTCTCATGGGCGCATCGTTATGTTACCTATTAATGGTATTCGTATTATCATTATATTTGTATTATAATCATGTTTATTCTTCTGACTATGTTGTTATTGTATTCGAGCAGAGTTCACATTTCAGTTCGCTCTCTGCACTCGTCCGAAACCCTAAGGCAGCAGAAGGCCTTCACCAACCACCATGTTGTTTTTGGCACGGTGATGAAAGGCTGGGGCAAATGGGCAAATATTTGATCCTAAACCCTAAACCCTAAACCCTAAACCCTAAACCCTAAACCCTAGAAACCTAGAAACCTAGAACCCTAAACCCTAAACCCTAAACCCTAAACCCTAAACCCTAAACCCTAAACCCTAAACCCTAAACCCTAAACCCTAAACCCTAAACCCTAAACCCTAAACCCTAAACCCTAAACCCTAAACCCTTAGTTTCGAACTTGAAGCCTCTGAGAGGCATGCGAGTGGTAAGGGAGATCGGCGAGTTGGGCACCAGAGTCTCTTGAAGTGCACATGATCGTTTTTAAGCCTGCCTCTCTTTATGCATGTGTACGCTCATGTAGTTCTCTCAATCTTGGTTGCGTCCGGTCGCGCCCGCTGAGGTCGGACGCCCAGCTGTTCCCATCCGAATCGTCCAGTGCGGCGTTCTGGAGGCAGACAATTGTGATGTAAGGAAGAGTTTTTTCTGAAGAGGAAGCAGGAACACAGTATCATCATCATCATCATCATGATCATCATCATCATCCATGGTGCCAGCAGCCATCTTTACATGTTTCCATCCGAACTGAAGTTGAAGAGTAGCCGCACATGGATGTAGGGCTTGCGCAAGTCCCATTGGTGTAAAAAGTGGCATGAGCATTGAAGCTCAACCCTTTGCAAGACTAGCAGCCTCCCCCACCGAGGGCCCAAAAGGGGTGATGGGTTTCATTTCTTGGCTGTCGTTTCCTGGTCTCTGTCAGTCTCTCTTGGTCTTTCTCTTTCTCTCTCTTTCTCTCTCTTTCTCTCTCTTTCTCTCTCTTTCTCTTTCTGCGTCCAAGGTGCGTATGCGTTTGCGTATGCATGCATGTGTGTGTGTGTGTGCATGTGGCACAGGAAACCGGACAAGTCAGCTGCGCAATACTGGGGATCAGGATGCTGTCGTGGCAGTTCTCCAACTCAGGTTTCCTTCTTGGGCCCTCCCGAAAAGACAGAGAGCTTTCATGTGGTAAGCTTGAGACATTTCTGTGCATCATTGTATCGTTATATCATTTTCTCCTTATATCATGATATCATTACATCATTACATCATTACATCATTACATCATTACATCATTATTTCATTGTATCATTATGTCATTATATCAATATACCATGGTCTCATTATATCATTGTATCACTATATCATTATATCATTGTATCATTGTATCACTAAATCAGTACATCACTATTTCAGTACATCATAAAACCATCATATCATCACATCATCATCTCATCATATCATCATATCATCATATCATCATATCATCATATCATCATATCATCATATCATCATATCATCATATCATCATATCATCATATCATCATACATTATATCATTATATCATTATACCGTTATACCATTGTACCATTGTATCAGTATGTCATTATGTCATTATATCATCATATCATTCTACTTTATATCATTATATCATTATATCATTATATCATTATATCATTATATCGTTCTATCATTATTTCGTTATATCATTATATCATGATATATATCATTATATCATGTCATCATTATATCATTATATCATTATATCATTATATCATTATGCCATTAAATCATCAAATCTATATATCATTATATCATGTCTCTCTGTGTTGATACGATCTATCTATCCATCTATCTACCTATCTACCTTTCTACATGTCTGTGTGCCTGTATATCTCTATATATCCATATATCTACATACCTATATTGAAACAAATCTATCTATTGTTTTTTTTGTTCATGCCACTGGGTGGGGCAGGATGGCAAAGATCCGCCCCCGCCACCGTCAGCAGAGCTGGAGGACGACAGCGCCCCTGTGATGACCGAGGACTGGCATGTCCCAACGAAGAGCAGTTCAGGGTTTAGGGTTGAGGGTTTAGGGTTTTCTAGACCTTAAACCTTAACCCTACTCTAACCCGAAACCCTATGCCCCAAGCCTTATCTTGCCAGGATGAGTTCAGATCGATCAGCGTGAGCAACAAGCCGGGTACAGTGCAACCCTCGTGAGGTGGCCCTTGCACCCAAAGGCTGCGATGATGTGCAGAAGTATGTGTCTTAAAGGTCAGCACCCCACACCCTAAGCAGTGGGTCGGTTCTTCTATGGTGCCCGTGCCAGTGCTCGTCCTCCAAAGGGAGAGGGGTGTGTGAAACAGGCACCGAAAGACTTGCAGCGGCTGGTTCATAGCCAAAAGCATGTGGACAGCATGTGGCAGATACCATGGTTCGTTTCATGCAGAAGTCCTCCGTGGCCAAGGAATCCGAGGGATGTCAGTTTCTCTCCTTTTGGCTCAAGCGCACGGGCTGCTCTCGAACACCCTTTCGTCCACCATGTCGCACGGGAATATCTACAAGCGCCGCTTTGCCGCATGACAGAAGACTCTGCTGCACGAAAAGGCTTGCTGTCTCACTTTTTGCTTTGATCGTTTGATGGGGGTCCACAGGTCCGATCCTGCTCCTGCTCGCAGCTGCTGCATGGCTGGCTTGCAGCGCCTGCCTCGAAGCACCTACGCGGGCATGTCTCCGTGCAAAATATTTCCGTGAAAAGAGGCTTGCAGAAGACGCTGGACTTCGTTGGCGTCAGTCCAACCCAGCGTGAGCCGGCTTTGTCAGCCAGGCTGCCTTGTGCACCACATAGTCACAGACCTGTAGCTGACTTGCTCGCGAAGCGGAGCCTGGCAGGCGAATCTCTGTCACAGGGTCCCACAAAGAGGTGATCAGGGGCTCGGACGAGTGGAAGGACTCCATGATGAACAAGTGGCATGTCCCAACTTGGGGGACATCTGAGAGGGCGGGAGTTGGCACAAGTAGGGTTTATATTTCTTGTACCCCCAAAAGGACACCCCAATGTATACACTCACCAATATTCAAAAGAACCTCATATACACTCACCAAAAACAGAAATTTAAACGCTGCTTCAACATGTTTCCAGCACCTTACATGCACCCAAGGTGGTGGTGGCAAAAGGAGGGCTATTTCACGGAGTTTGGCTACAAGGAGAACCCGAACTGGCGACTCAACTGGAAACTGGCAGTCCGCAGCAGCTGCAGCATTTTTCTTCGCAGCTCAGGAACCCCAATGACTACAAAATGGCCGAACAAGAGGCGCTTGGGAACTTGCTGTGGTTTTGTGTGATTGGATTTTACCCGTGAGATGTTTGTTTTTTTTTGATATCTTTTGCCAAGACCATGTTGGCAGATGCGATTTGCGCGGGCCGAGCATCTCCTCATGAATGACCGATGCCGATGAGTCGTTGCTTGGGATACGCTGGTTTGCTGCGTAGCCGGACTGCTTACAGCATGCAGGCATGTGTTTTCTGGAGCCCGCGCAGTGCGCGCAGGAGCTGAGGGAGAGGGGAATGACGGACGAAGAAATTTACCAGAAGGCGGGAAGAGCCTGAAGGTTTGCACCCCAAACCAGTATGTCGCGGCGGTCAGCATGTGCGGCTTCCTGGAGGCATCTGTCTATGAGTTTGTCGAAGGGGAGAAGCAGCCTAAGCTGACCAAGAAGATGACGTTCCTGCTGCAAGCATCTCGATTGCACTGCTCTGAGCACTTCAGCTGGTTTGCAAAGCCTGCGAGAAGGCTTCCAAGACCCCTTGGTACAGAAAGAAAGAGATAGAAGACAGAGATGCAAGAAAATCTTAGTAAAGAGAGTCGGAACAGCCAGCGCCCAAATAAACTCAGTGCTTTTTCCAGCGTGGTTTCGCAAGTCAACAGGTCAAACCTGCGAGCGTGCGGCACGGGAGGGGTGGTTAGCGGAAGTACGAGATATGGCCTGGGAGAGTAATGGGAGAGTACGCAACGCACACCAACTGTGACTGAGCACAAGACACTGGAGTTGCATAAAGATATTGACACAGTAATACAATTAAATTATGATGTAATCATACAAAATTGCGATATTGCAAGAATACAAATACAATATGACAGTAGTACAGTAATCGGCAATACAACAAGATAATCAAATTTTGAAGGTCTGGGAATTTTTGGATATCGATTCAAAATCTCTGTAATTTTCGGAATTCAAATTTTGAAGGATTTGATAAATTCTGGATATTTGAATAAATCCTCCAAAAATCTATAGTACAATAATACAATAGTACAATAATACAATAATGCAAGAATACAATAATACAATAACACGATAATACAATAATACAATAATACAATAATACAATAATACAATAATACAATAATACAATAATACAATAATACAATAATACAATAATACGATAATACAATAATGCAACATTACAACATTACAATATTACAGTATTCCAATGATACAATAATACAGTATTACAATATTACAATAATACAATAATACAATAATACAATAATACAATAATACAATAATACAAGAATACAAGAATACAATAATACAATAATACAAGAATACAAGAATACAAGAATACAAAAACTCAATAATACAATAATACAATAATACAATAATACAATAATACAGTAATACAATAATACAATAATACAATAATACAATAGTACAATAATACAACATTACAACAATACAACAATACAACAATACAATAATACAATTCTACAAGAATGCAATAATACAAGAAAAAAAGAATACAATAATACAATAATACAATTCTACAATAATACAATAATACAAGAATACAAGAATACAAGAATACAATAACGCAGTAATGCAACAATACAATAATACAACAATACAATATTACAATAATACAATAATACAATAATACAATAGTACAATAATACAATAATACAATAATACAATAATACGATAATACAATAATACAAGAATACAAGAATACAATAATACAATAATACAAGAATACAAGAATACAAAAACTCAATAATACAATAATACAACAATACAATATAAAACAAAACAATAATACAATAATACAATAATACAATAATACAATAATACAATAATACAATAATACAATAATACAATAATGCAATAATACAGTAATGCAAAAATACAATAATACAATAATACAAGAATTCAATAATACAAGAATACAATATTACAATAATGCAATAGTATATACATTGAACATGCAATAACACTATATTGAAACAACCGAATAATTCAATAATGCCAAACACAGAAACGAGGCAAAAAATGTACACAATCAAAAAATGCAATAATCACTAGAACAAAGGTACAACAGTGCAATAATGCACTCATGCAAAAAACTCAATAATACAATAATACCATAACATGGTCATACAAATAAAATACAAGCAATCTAGACAAACCACTTAACAAAACGTATAAAATATAAACATGCAGACGTTCATATCATAAGAAAATATAAGTACGAAAATGCAATCGTAGTACAATCACATACGAATACTAGAATACCATAGTATTGCTATATCAAGGTATTATGCTTTTGCATCATATGTTTATGTTCTGACAATTAAAAATATACAGGAACAAGAAAATCTAGCAAAATAAAATATGCTTATAAACCAACATAGACAAAGAATAGCAGAATCACAGAGAAGCAGAACAATAGAACATTAAAGTACTGAAGCAATCGACCAATAGAACAATTGAAAATATAACAATAGCATAGTCGAATAGTAGAACAATAGAATAATGTCATAACGTCATAATGCCATAATGTCATAATGTACTACAAGAACAATGTAAGCATGTAGTAGTGTAAGAATGTAATAATGTAATGTAGGAATGTAAGAATGTAAAAACGTAAGAATGTAAGAATGTAAGAATGTAAGAATGTAAGAATGTAAGAATGTAAGAATGTAAGAATGTAAGAATGTAAGAATGTAAGAATGTAAGAATGTAAGAGTGTAAGAATGTAAGAATGCACTCATGTAATAATGTAATAGTGTAATACTGTAACAGTTTATGCGTAGAATAATGTTATAGTGAAACGAGCGAAGAAGGCTCTTGTTGAGTAATCTGGCATTCTTGCAGCAGTTGACAAGCCTGTGCCCCTGTGCATCTAAGCTCCGATATCTGCAGCTTGGCTCGATAGTCTGCACCGTTCTTGCTTTTGTCAGAGTTCCTGGCGCAAGTGGATACGGACTTGCAGATGCTTCCACCAAGGAGTGAAGGCAAAGAGGGGGAGCTGATCGACCTGGCAGAGGAGATTGAGAAGTCGCCGCCGTCTTTCTCATACTCCGGTGCAGCTTGGCAGCAGTTCTTCCTTCCGACGAAGATACAGACAAGCATCTGCCAGTGTCAAAAAAAGAAGATGGTCTTAGAGGCATGGAAGGTGACGTGGAACAGGGTGTGAATTCTGTGCAGCTTGGGCAGAAGACGTCTCTTTGACAGTGTAGCACCATTGGGCATGCGACGCAGCAGCCGATAACCGCGGAGGGTTTCAAAAGGTTCTGAAAGTACTAAGCTATGGGCCCTTTGCTGGGTACATATCATGGTCTGTATTGCGCCCCTCTCTCTAGGGCTCACCTCAGAAGCAGACGCGGCAGAAGCTCCGCCAGCCCTAAACCCCCTAAACCCTAAACCCCAAACCCTGGAGGTGCTGAAACCCGTCACATTCTCAACACGCCTAAACCGCCCAATCTTCGAAGCAGCCCGTGCAGCCTCGGGCCTGGGGCCTCGAGGTTTCACGCCGGAGTTTTTTGGTTGAGGGTTGAGGGTTGAGGGTTCTAGAAGAGTCCCCAATAGCTATTTTCCAGGTGCCGGAGATAAACGAAACCCTGCAGAGCACGAAACGGCCCTGAGACTCCGAAGCCCTGAAAGTTCTGCTCAGGAGCCAGGCGCCGAGCCCTACCTTTCCTTGGACTGGCCAGGCATCCTGCGCTGAGCCTGTGCCGGTCATCTTCGAGTTGCAACTTCCGGGAAGGCATGTTCATGTTGCTCCCTATGCGAAGATACTAAGACGAAGATATCGTAAGTCGCACTATGACATGCCGTTTGCACGCTCAGGGACTCAAGTTTTCCGCCCAAGCTTGATTTAAGAGTCCCGGGCCTTTGGACAAAATCAAGACTCGCCCGAATGCTTTGTGTACAGCATTTGAGGGGGAAGGCAGACCGCAGACTGGACCCTTGCGCGGTGCTGAGTGGCACCAAGGGCCAGGACCCAAGAGCGGGCAAAGGTCTTAGAGTAGAGTAGTTAGGACTCAAACGCTTAGTGTTTGCAGAGTTCAAATCTTTGGGTTCATGGTTTTTGGGGGTTTAGGGTCTGCTTGGTTCCTTTCGAGTGGCCTTGATGAGCTAGAAGCAAGAGGCCCCACAAAAGGCAGCCCAGACCTCGTGAGCGAACGAAAAAAGTCGCGCTTCGCGGTCGCGATTGCACTCAGACGAAGCCTTCCAAAGCCGTCTCTGCCGATGCTGCTTGTGAACAGGTGTTGAACTTCGGGCTCGAAGGGTATCAAATGCCCCGGTCGGGCCAGGCTCTTGGGGCTCTTCGGGGCTCTTGGGGCGCATGGCGAGTGTGCAGGCCTGGCTGTTGCTCGACGGCGCCTTGTGTTAGCTTCTTCACCGCGTCTGTTGGCCTCTTGCGTTTCCTGCAGGGCTTGACCGCTTCGGCTTCCTCACCTGTCCTGGGGGCCCAGCCGGCCGGGCCCTCGGCGCGGTGACCGAGATAGCCATCCGAAGTCGGTCCTGAGCCCAGGGCGGCCCCTGGGTCAATCGCAAGTTCGACTCGCTGCATGCCGTGGGCAAGCATGTGGCTGCAAACTTACCAAACAGCAGGTCCAGGTACTTGTATAGGCAGATGAGATTGCATGTCGTTGTGTTCTCAACAATTGGAACTGTCGGGTAGAAGCTTTGTTGAGAAGTGTGTCCAGGAGTTCGGAAGTATCAGGAACAAGGGGCTGTTGCGTTTGAGTCTTGGATGTTCAAAGGCCCGAGTTGTTGTGAACTCCGTCATTGGTTCTCTCTACACGTGAAAGGAGTGAGCAGTTTGCATAGGACAACGGCGAAGCGATGAGCATCTGGCTACATAGTGTCTGCGGTTCGAGGTCATGCCGCCAATGAATGAGGCAGCCGCAGTGGCATGGAAGGCACGCAGAAAGGCATCCAACCGGGCTGAACGCTGCTGGTGTCTGGAATTTTGAGGTGCCAGGTTGAGGCACATCTCCATTTGAGGCCTTGATTCGGTGTAAAGCGGGGTTTCAATTCTCTGAGGTGATGCAGCGTGTATAAGACTGGTAAGAGGTACTCTTTGCACCTTTGGTGGGTGGCTCGTCTGTTTGTTCCATGGCCCTCTCTGCATCCTCCATCATCCTCCCAGTTCGAGCGCGGAACTCTTGAACACCGTTCAAGATGGACCGCCTGCCATGGCACGGGTTTGGAGGGTCGTCGGCGGCACGGACCGAGGTGGGATCGTGGTGCGGGCAGAAGAAGGGCTGAAGTCCCAGATCCTGCCACGGCTACTCACAGGGACCCTGGTGGAGGAACTGGAGTTGCGTGGCCAGCGCCTGCATTTCAGACTCCTGGATGGCTGTGGCCCTCCATGTGGCTGGATCAGCCTGAAGGTCGGCGGGAGGGACCTTGCAACACCGGCAGATCCAGCCAGCAAGGCTGGAAGCGCGGGAAGCTTGGCAAGCATGGCAATACACCTGGGAGGCGGCGCCGTTCAACGGGTGTTAGTAAGCAAGGCGCCCAGCATCGCAGAGTTGAAGGCCTTGCTCTTGAAACATCCCACCTGGACTGGCTTGGGCTTAGACACTCCCTTTCACTTCAAGAGGCAGGGTGATTCTTGCCTGCTGCTGGACTCCGAGCCTGCCGATGGGGAGCTGGAGTTGGTTTCCGGAGCCCGGGACTGGGCTGCGGCCCGAGCAGCCTTGAGCTGCGGGGCCACGGAGGAGCAGGCGAACGAAGCCCTGAAAAGCCTTGCGAGCACCCGAAACGCCGGGGACGCCCGGGACGCCGGCGGCGATGCGAAGTGGGTGCACTTGGCCAAAGGCCTGGTGCTGTGGAAGTGGCATAGGTTCGACCTTAGCGTAAGAGAACTGCAAAAGGCGCAGGCGCAGGATGGAGGCTTCGAGGCTGGGGCTCGTGTGCTCTTGGCTCTGCAGATCTGCTTGGGTCGATGGCCCGAGGCTGCAGCACTGGCAGAGCGATCTCCTGAGGCAGCGGCGCTCATCTCCGCATGGTTTACGGGAGCTTCGGGACACTTCGCTCCCAGCAGCGCGGCCTTTGCCCCAGAAGTCGCTGAGCTACGCCCCGGGTTGAGACAAATGGACGCTTTGATTCCTACGGTCGATGATGTTCGTCTGGGCGTACGCCTCCTGTTGCAGACGACAGACGCTGCTCCTCGGGTGTCCCAGCCTCTGGTACTGTACTTTCATGGAAATGCCGAGAATGCCGACACCTACAAGGATCCAGATGTCTTCGCTCCCCTCCAGGCTGCCGAGGCAAGTGCACTGATCGTGGATTTCCGTGGCTACGGCTTCTCAACCGGTGGGAGTGGGCCCTCCCTGTCCACGATGAACGTCGACGCAGAGCGTGTCTGTGACGCTTTGCCTGAGTTCTTTAAAGCCCGTGGATTGCCTTGGCCCTGGCCTGGAGGCTTCACTTTGTTTGGCCGCTCCATGGGTGGGATCTGTGCCTGCCACCTGGCCGGCCTTCGAGGGACGCTCTTCGATGGAGTTGTGCTGGAGTCGACAATGTGCGGAAGCCACGGCCCAGAGGCCGCGCCTCCTCCGGAGCCTCCAGCGGATGGCAGCGGGATGGGTGGAGGCGGTGGAAGCCGGTTTGCACCCCCAGAGCTTCTGGCCGCCGTCTCCCAATCTGGCGACCTGTGCCGGACATTGGTCCAGGCTGCGGTGGGAGGTGACCAGGGACCGCAGTTACTTGCGGAGACAGACCTTGGCAGCTTCGTTCATGTGATGGGAAGTGAAGATAAGATTCGTGGCTTCATGGGTAGGCTCTTGATCTTGCACGGAGAGCTGGATACCATTGTCCCCGTTACCCACGCTCGCCGGCTTTGTGACGCGGCAGCGCTTGCAACACGACGGCTCGTGACTCTGGGCAAGGGTCACAATGACATCTCTTCCAGCGAGAAGTATGTCGAGGCGTTGAAGAAGTTCCTCTTGGGAAGTTGAGGCGAGGATGCTGTTGTTGCGTCCCCCGTCCGCCGAATGGTCCGCCGCTTCTGCTGTTCTCCAAGTGAGTTCTTGGAGGTGAGGTGTCTCCGGACATGCGCACAGAAAGCGCCGCCAAGCTGTCCACTCCGCATCGCGCAGAAGCATCACAACCTGACCATCCAGACAGCGGGCTGGAGAGACAGGATGTAGAGGGACAGGATGTAGAGGGCAGACGAGCAGCCCCGCAGATTCGTTGTGTACGTCTCGACACGATGTTTGCAGCGCGTGTTAGCCTTGAGTCACCTGAGTCACAGTTGAGTCGCTGCTCCCAGTAGGGACCTGCGTTCACTCGACCAGGCAACCCTGCAAGGGCAGCTGGGGACCGGAAACAGCATCAGCTCTGTGGCGGGGAGCTCAGACACCGAACTAGACTGCCCACATGCACAAGTTTGTAAGGGCTCATAAGAGCTCATCCTTGGCCGACATTGCTTTCAGGTCCAGTATCCTGTATCCACACGTGATCCGGACAACATGTGTTCCAACTACAAAAGACATCTGAGTGCAGAGGCTCTTCTCCCGCACGGATGTGTGTACCTCATGTGGTTGCTGAGTTGTCAGTCTCTGCACAGGATCGGCGGATTCTTCGAGTGCGTGTGAAGCATCACATGCGAGGCAGCGTAGTCTTGTGCATGCGACGCAGGCAGCCGATTAGGTGTGCTGTCAAGTGTGGATGTGTGGAACGTGCAGACAGGGAAGCCGTCTTGGCCCAATAGTGTCTACGAGGCACGGCGTTGACTCAGAATTGGGTGAGCTGAGTTGACCCGACCTAAAGCAAGGCAGAGAAAGTCTTGCTTCAGACCTTCGCCAAATCTCCAGAGCTCTGCACAGCCTCAGCCTCAAGAAGCTGTGTTGGACAGAGTAATCTCAACGCTACGCGACGCGCCTCGCAACCCAAAATCGGAGATCGCGGGTGTGGGAGTGGGGTGGGGCCGTGAGGGATACAAAGGGGGAACTTCTTTGCATTGGGCAGACCCACCGAAGGCCTTCTACCTGAACAATGACTTCTGCGAAAAGCTCCTGAATCAAGCTGCGGCTGCCTTCGAGTATGGAGTGTCCGGACACCAAGATGGCGAATGCCGGAAGCAAAGATGCTCAATAGCCTTCCGGAATCAAAGTGCTCATAAGGTACAGGGATGCACCTGCACATACCCAATTGAGGACGGCCGAATGACCCCTTCTTAATAAGTGTCTCAGCTCTTGAGCTGTCTCGCCAGGATGAACAACCCGCACTGGGAGGAGTCGGTCCAGAATCGCGTGGCAACCGCTGCTGCGGAGGCACCGCATGCCTTCGTGCACTTTTTTGCACTTCGTTGGGGTAAATCTGACTTGTATGATGGCTTTATAGGGTCTTCATCTTAGCAACTGCGGGCCCATCATGCAGATGAACCTCCCAATTATGGGTCGAATCTTGCAGACGAGATTCCCAGGCGGCGCCGCACAAACACACAGCCATTGTTCTCAAAAGGCTCCCCGGGCCATGGCTGGGCTTCGTTTTTGGTTGGTGTCTCTAGCCGCCAGCGGCCTGCATGCCGGCGATGTCTTCACCTTGCCCGCTTTGCCCTACGAGTGTCCTGGCAGCTCGTAGAGCCGTAGAGTCGTAGAGTCGTAGACCCTCAAACCTAAACAAACCTATGAAACCCACTAAACCCAAAAAAAGCCCCCCCAAAAAAGCCTTCCTTTCACCTTTTAAACCCACTAAACCCAAAAAAAGCCACCCCAAAAAAGCCCTCCTTTCACGGGCCGAAGCTCAAAGGTACGATGCGTTGGAGCCACACATCGATGCCGAGACCATGAAGATCCATCATGGGAAGCTGGGTACCAAAAAAGCCCCCTGCTGTTCCTGTAGTCAAGGGGGGGGCTCTTTAGGGTTTAGGGTTTAGGGTTTAGGGGTAGGGTTTAGGGTTTAGGGTTTAGGGTTTAGGGTTTTGGGTTTAGGTTTTGGGGGTTCTGTTTCTGCGCCAGTGCCGACTTCCGTCCGCCTAGGAAGCATCACGCCGCCTACGTTGCTGGCCTCAACGCTGCCATAAGCAAATCTGCGAACGATGGCAAGCTGGATGCAAATGGCATCAAGATTTTCCTGCACGCCTGGCAGGTAAGGAGCTTGCCAGGATATGCCAGGATATCGTCTCTACATCCCCGCCCCTCGCTGCCCCCTTTTCTCCCCCCACCAAGCCCTAAGCGCAACACTCTCAACTCCCCTTCAGCAAAGCCAAGACATCCAAAGATCCAAGGAAGCATGGCAGCTCTGACCAAGCTTCAGAGCGAAGCGGTGAAAGTAGGAGCTGCACACCGCAACCATGGGGGCGGACATTACAACCATGCGCTCTTCTGGGTGACTCGAAGAGGAGTGCTGGGTTTTAGGGTCCAGGGTTGAGGGATGGGATGTGCCGCACATGGTGCATCCTTGGCCATGCAGGTTTGCCTGAGCTCCTGGTTGGTGTTTGTTTGGGGGAGTCCTGTTTTACAAGTCACCTACTTGCATGTTGAACCTTAAGCCATAAGCTCTAGACCCTAAACCTTAAACCCTAAACCCGAAACCCTAAACCCCAAACCCTGAGCCCCAAACCCCAAACCCTAAACCCCGATAAACTCTTAGGTGAACCCTAAACCCCTATAAACTCTTAGGTGAACCTCGCACCCCGAAACCCTAAACCCTAAACCCCAAACCCCAAACCCTAAACCCCTATAAACTCTTAGGTGAACCTCGCACCGGCCAGCAGCTCATCCGAGCCCTCGCCCGACCTGGCAGCCGCCATCGAGGATAAGTTCGGAAGCCTCGAGGGCCTCAAGGAGGTCAGGGCTTAGGGTTTAGGGTTTTTTAGGGTTTGGGTTTAGGGTTTAGGGTTTTGCGTTTGGGGTTTTGGGTCTGGGGTTTCGGGGAATCAGGAGTTCTGTTGGAGCTTGAGGGTGTTTTTGAGGGCTTCTGGGTTGGTTTAGGGCTTTTGGTCTTTTGAGAGCTTTTTGTAGGTTTTTAGGGTTTAGGCTTTCGTGGGTCTGGGTGGCTTTGGCCTTTCGAAGTTTAGGTGTTTAGGGCCGCTCGTGCCAGACATGCTGCTTGGAGCGTAAACCCTAAACCCCAAAGCCCTAAACCCTGTTTCTCTTAGCTGGAAGTGCTGTGGGCATAGTAGGGCCTGGGACCTACGGTTTAGGGTTTAGGAGCTGTTTGTTTTTGCAGACTGCTGGTTTCCTGCTTTGACTTCCTTCTCTTTCCCTTCCGTGTTTCGGAGGCTTTTGCGAAGGTAGCCATGAGCCGCTTCGGCAGCGGCTGGGCCTGGCTCGGGGTCACCCCCCAGGAGTGGAGCAGGGAGATCCATGCTGCTGTGAGTGATGAACGCGTCGGTCACAGGATGGCACAGATAATACAGTGATACACACCCAGATAGTTGCATATATCACTGAAAATTCCTCTATGCAGGACTAATTACGAGGTTCTACTAGTGTAGTTGGTGCATGTCAGGGCACGTTGGCCGTGACCTCCACTGCGAACCAGGCTAGGGTTCGCATGCGATCTTCTGGTATTTGGCTTCTTCCATCGTTTTGTTTCAGTGCGTATGGTGGCTTTGCAGGACAACCCGCTGATGGAAGGCCGCTTTATGTACTTTCGTAGACTTTCATGCGCTTTCGTGCGTGTTTGCTCTGGGCGCGGAAGGTTTGGAGTACAAGGTTGAGAAGATGATCCCCATCTTGGGCCTTGATGTTTGGGAGCATGCGTATTACCTGAAGTACCAGAACCGCCGAGCAGACTACGTGGCTCTTCTGCAAGACCTTGCTGTGCAATTCTCTCTGTCTCTTCCGGCCCCTTCCTCCTCCGAGGTTTCGGCCTTCTGGAGTATAGTCAACTGGAAGAAGGCAGAATTCGGCATGTTTGCCTGCGGTTTTATGGAAGCTGCCATGACGTTCGCGCGAGGTGAGCCGCAACTATGAAGAGTATGCAAAGAAAGGACATGGTTAAGCCGCGTTCAGTGCGTGGGCACCTGTCACCTCCGAACTGTTGGAATCTGGTAGGACAGCCGGTGCCTCCAACGCCAACAGGAGGTGCCCTGTTTGCTCCATGAGACGCCTGTGGAAGCAACCCTTCTGGGGTTCTGAGGCGGTCATGCCATCGCCGTGGAGCTCTGAAGTGCCACGACATCTCCAAGTCTTTGGCAGAGTTGCCAGGTAGATAACGTGCAGACCGTGGAGCAGAAGTGCCTCTTAGCTACTGTAATCGGAGATGCATACTTCCTGAAGAAGATTCTTGCGCAGCCTCTGCTCCGATGGCCCACAAGCGGCAGCTTTTAAAGAAACTTCTAGACCCCCACAGACCCCTATCTGGATGTAGCATGGGCAAAAAGAAGGATTGCACTTGCAAGCCGTGTCTAGAATGTGACCAGATTAGGCGTGAAGGGCCTAGAGCTTTTTAGTTGACAGGTTGTGCGGCGACTTGCTGAAAAGAGTCAGATCCCCAGAGTGCACGTCTGCCTCGCGCACATGGGCGTTGACACACACACACACACCCTGAACTAAGGTTAGCCAGCGGGGATCGGAATGCAGCCAAGCCTGGTTCAGCCATCCTTCCATGAAAGCTTCCTGTCCCAGGGTTCCCTGTTTGATGTGTAGCTAACGAGGGTGCTGACAGGTTACGGCAAGCCATGACCAAGGCTGGAATCCGATTCGCTGCGATCCGTTTCGGAGCCGGATCTTGCATTTGTGCGCATGTGCACCTGTTTCACCAGCGTTGTTCGACTTAGTCGCAGCGCATCGGCCAAAGGACGGGTGAGTTGCAGTGGGGTGACGGTCGACCGGTAGACGTTTTACGGAGGGCTTCTTGCTGCACCGGGCTTGCGTGCTTCGCAGATTTCCGTGCTTCTCTCAAGCCTGACTCAACCACAAGTGGAGGACTTTGTGGAAATGTGCAACTTCAGGGTATTCTTTCGTTTGTCGAAAGGTTCACAGGATGGAGTCCATGCTTTCTTTGACCGCTACAGAACAGCTTCTTGCAGAGCGCCCCTGGCTTCATGTAGCAAGTGCTCTTATACGACGCAGTACGACGCAGTACGACGCAATGCCATGATGGCACATTCTGGCACGAAGCGCAGATGAATGTGGCATGTCATTCGAGCTGTCGCAGGCCAATGTTATGATTGTGCCGACGGGGCCTAGGCTGACTGGCACATGCTGGCTTGAAAAAGATGCCTGTCAGGGCTTGAGCCTGCTGCCTGCCAGCCCGTTGCCTGGCTTCCCCGACGTGCTCGTCGGGACACAGGCGAAACATCTCTGCAAAGATGACAGAACTGCTGCTTTTTGGCTTTCTCGTTGGTCGCACAACACGCGGGGATCTTGTATTTGGAGGAAGATGGTGCAGATGTGCTTCTCGGAAACAACACGTCCACTCCTCTGCCCTTTGCTTTCCTGGCCATGCCTTCTGAAGTGCGAAGTTTTCCCCGGGGCCCCTGTTGAGCGGAGGTTGCAGGTCGCCGCTGTGGTCAACTGCGCGCTTGAAGACTGGTTGTACAAGGCTCTGCATTTTAGGTTCTTTTCGTGCTTCTCCGGAGATACGGGGACCACTTCTTGAATCCCTCTTACCATGCAGCTGTTGTAGTGACTTGTAGTCCCCAGAAAAGGGGGGTGTGAATTGCTTTGCTGCGTAGGTCCGCAACGGCTCTTGCGGTGCTGCAGCGGCATCCCGGCTTCCGGCGTCGGCCCCGGAAGCCCAAGAGTGTTGGAAGCTTCAAAGTGGGGGTTTGGGAGCAAACTCTGGGGGCCCTTTTTTTGGGAGTAAGGTGGTTTTCGTTTGCGGAAGCTGTTTTTTTTAAGCAATCCTGATCCACCTGATGAATTGAGAGGTGCTCTCATTCACCCCTCCTGACTCTCCGACTTGGAAGTACTCCTTTACCTCAATCTAGCTTCAAGTAAAGGAACATCCGTATCGACCGAAGAACTCTTCACCCCGTCAGGTCAGAATAGGCCTTTGTATCATCAGAGCGACCAGAACGCTCGTAACCTTCCACCCACGAGGTGCAGGCAAACAAGTTGCAATAATTTAGAATTGCAGGCCCTTCAGCAGACTGAGTGTGAGTACAACGAGCATGAGAATCTCGAACCACAGCAACTAAATCAGTTCAAGCACTTGCAGTCCAGTAACTCGACAACTCAGGCCTTTTGATTCCTAAAAGAAGTACATAGACGAGCCGACGACTTGGCTTATTTAAAGCCTACTGGTATGCTATGGAAGTATGGGCGTCCCAGCTGCTGTCCTTCGCACTAGCTTCGAAAATGCCAGGCATCCAGTTGTTTTTTGCATTCTCAAGAGCACACACACATGAAACTTGCGGATGCAGCTCACAAGATCGAGAAAGCGCCTGCAAACATCCACCCCAAATGTCAAGTTTGAAGTCTCAGGTTGCGCTTAAATCTTGAGCTAGACTACCAACACGGGCCATCATATGTAGGGTATTCTAGGGCCTTCTTGTCTTTCATTTCTGAACTTTTCGACCCTAAACCCGAAAAAGCTCGCGGTGTGAAGGTCGCCTTCAAGTTGGTTCGTGTCACCCTAAGGTTTCAGTGTTTCTGGATGCTGCTAAAACGCTTCCAGGCGTGCCAAGTATGAATACATGGGTACCCAACAAGGGAGTACAATTTATATCCCTAAACCCGAAACCCTATCCCTGAACCCTAAACCCTAAACCCTAAACGCTGTGTGTGCTTGCCAAGCTGAAGGAGATTGAAGCGTCAGTCAGAGTGCTGCCGCACGCGGGTGGCGTCGCACTTGGAGACATCTCTGGGATCAGGCCTGGCCTGTGGCTTACCGATTCGGCCCTCCTAATGAACTATGAGTGGGCTGCTACCTGAATTCGAAGAGTAGCCAGTGGTCAGCAGGTACTGCGCGCTTCCGGCTAGAGATCGGGATCGAGCAGAGCCGATCATCATCGATGGCGAGGTGAAAGAGACCCCTACACCCTAGACCCTAGACCCTAAACCCCTAAACCCCTAAACCCCTAAGCCCCTAAACCCCTAAACCCTAAACCTTAAACTCTAAACCCTAAACCCCTCAACCCTAAACCCTGGACCCTCTTGCAAGCTTGCAGGTGGCAGTGCCAGGCTTGGAGCCATATGACATGGGCCGCATCCACGGCACAGCGCGTGTGTTCGTTTAGGGTTTAGGGTTTAGGGTTTAGGGGGTGCCGCTACTGTATCCCTTTATGTAGACATATATTTGTCTATGTATATAGAACGTCTAGCGGCGGTTCGCATCTGCAGGTTGCAGGCTTCCATGAAACGTAGGACATGTGAGAGGCAGCCCCAGACTTATGCCGAAGGCCCTAAACCCTAAACCCTAAACCCTAAACCCGAAACCCGAAACCCGAAACCCTAAACCCTAAACCCTAAACCCGAAACCCGAAACCCGAAACCCTAAACCCGAAACCCTTTGGAGTTGAGGATCTTCTCTTTACACCGTGGCCGCCCTAAGGCCAGCACCTGCCAGCAGCGGTGGCTTTTCTGCGAGATCAGGTCGCTGCAGGCCATCCCGGGAACCAACTGCGAAGAGATGTGCAGCAAGACCCCTACACCCTAAACCCAAAACCCAAAACCCAAAACCCCAAAACCCTAAACCCTAAACCCTGAACCCTAAACCCTAAACCCAAAACCCGTTTCGGCCATACAGGTTCCAAGCTGTCCTCACATCTGCAACAAGCTGTGCTTGCAATAGCCAGCGCCGAACATCACACGGTGGGGGGGTTCTTACATTGGGGTCTTACATTGCCGGTCCCGGGTCCTTATGAGGGGGGTTATGATCTATTTGGGGAGCTGGGCTGGTTTACTATCATCTGTGTTCCCAAATCGAGCCATCACGCCGGAGTGCTCTCTTTGCACTAACCGTCAGACTGGAGAGCACCGTCTGCCGGAAGCAAGCCCCAGACCTGTGTGGACTGAGGGAAGATGCGTGTAGGTTTGAGGACCTGCGTCTCCGAACTCGGAACCTTCTACCCCCATCCAACCAGAGATGAAACCGTAAACCCTAAACCCTAAACCCTAAACCCTAAACCCTAAACCCTAAACCCTAAACCCTAAACCCTAAACCCTAAACCCTAAACCCCAAACCCCTAAACCCTAAACCCTAAACCCAAAACCCTAAACCCTAAACCTAAACCCTGATTCTCAGGCCGGAAGGTGCTCATCCATTGCCTGCGGGGTGAAAACCGTGCTGGCCCCGGATTGGTCGAGACCAGAACCGGCCTCGGAGTGTTTCCGTTGCATGCGCCCCAAGCCTCCGGTCGCATTTCAATCATATACAAAAAAGTGTTACCGGCAATGCAATCTTATCATAGTATCATATTGGTAGCGTCATATTCTCATCTTATGTAACAATTCGAATGCTACGAAGAAGCTTTAGAAGGCCCGTGCATGGTGCGGATGTTCTGGGTGGTCGGTGCAAAGGTGCCGGGGCGGTGGCGGCTGCTTTCCTCGCGGCGGAGGGAGCGTTGCCCGAGGAGGCCGTGCAGAAGGTGCGCTTCAAAGCCCTGCTCGACTTTTGTGAGAGGCTCCGAGTCGAAGCCATTAAGCCACTGCTTTAGAGCCCAGACTCAGAAATAAGTAGGGGAACAGCAGCAAGGCTCTGAGCCTGTGAGCGTGAACTCCTCTGGCGTCTACTTCGTGCGAAGTTCCCAGGGCCGCTCCTTGGAGCTATGCCAGGTGCGCGAAGCACGTGGAACCTTTGCGCTTTCCAACCGAGCCTTCGTGGAGCAGGCGCGGCTGCGCTTGCAGCATCCTTCCGCCTCAGTGCCTTCCCCTCATCAAGAACTTCCCTGAATTAGGCTGAGCCTTTTCTTAAACAAAAAAAGGGTACATCGATATCTTTAGAGAAACAAGAGAATGCCTGGTCAAAGCAGCACGAGGTGCACTCCTTTGCGGCAAAGACGTCGAGGCAGGATTGTCATGGGGTTGTCGGGTTCTAGGAGAAGGCTGTTGTGGCCTGGGCTTTGTTGCCTTCAGGTGGCGTGCTGATCACGCAGACAGTAGGGTTTAGGCCCGTTTAATTGGGGTTTACGGTGCAAAGATGTTTGCAGCAGGCAATCGGTGCATTAGAGTTCAGCTTTGCGATCCCTCAACGCCGCACACAGACATGCTTGTTATGGACATGTCTTTCCTGTTGAAGGTCCCATGACTCCTCTGAGCAACGTAGGAGAGGAGCTGCATCGGTTGAGGAAAAGTCGTCGCTGCTGTGAGTGCTAATTTCACATGGGCAGGCCTTCTCTATCCCGTACACTTTGAAAGCAGACCATCATGGCACTCATCATGGCACACATTGACTAAGTAAGCAGCAGGCCCTGGAAGAACTTGCCCCAGGCCAGGCTCTGCGTGCATTTGCAGCGTTTTCAAAAGCACTAGGATGGGACCTGCCGAGATTGCCTCAGTTGGCGATATCTGAGGGTTTACTGGACTCTGGCTCCTGCTCATTGATCGGTGAAGATGTGGACTGCATGCTCGGGCTACATCGGCAAGCCACCGGCAGACATCGATCCTTCCATACCCTCCAGTGACTCCAGTGCCCTGCGCATGCAGTTCCCCATGTGGCTCATGCCGGGCAAGATACTGGCAACATTGCAGCCTCCGCTCTTGCCGCACGAGGAGCTGTTGCAGGAAGGCAAGCTGGTTAGGTGGGAGCCAGGGCATCCGAACACGGTTGTTTTCATCAGTCATGAATGGATCGGCTCGCATCACCCAGACCCGGCGTTCAAGCAGTTCAGAGTGCTCCAGCAGGCCCTCCAGAATCTTATGGCAGGAGCGGTGACAATCCGAAAGGACACCATCTCTGAGTTCTTGAACATTCCTTTGGCTACACTCTCTGAGTCAATGCAGCGACGCTGTCTCGACTGGGATTTCTGGTATGATTTCATCAGCTGCCCGCAGCTTGGTGTTTCAGGTGACCCTGGTGCCAGCATCGAAGAGAAGAGTGCAAGCAAAAGAGGTTTGGCAGCTGCCATCGCAAGCATCCCAGCATACTGCGAGAAGGCCGACCTCACCGTCGTCTTGGCGCCTTCGGTTCTGCACAGCGACGTACACCAGGTTCTATCAACCAGCTCTTGGAGTAGCTTCATCTGAATGCCTTTTTGAGTGTATCCTTTATGTTTTTGTTCACCTTGAACTGAAAGCCAGAGAAACAAACAACAGGTAGTCGCGGCTGGTGCCGTGCAGAGCGCACAGCCACCGTGTTCTCTTCAGCAAGCTCCGCTTCCAAGAAGGTCCTGCTGGTCGTTTCGGGCCCCACCCAGATTTCCATCTCAGGCGGGCCCGAGTGGATTTCAGCATGGCCTGGCGAGGGAAAGTTCACCATTGAGCAGGACCGAAGGGTGTTGCAGGATCTCACAGGAGAGCTGTTGGCGACAAAGTGTGAGAATTTGCTGCGCAGCGGTCAAAGCCAATGGCGGTTTTACCAAGCTTTGCTTCCTAGGGCCCGCGGTAGGGCGGATTTTGAACGTGAAGGCCTCGACCATTTCTTACAACGATACAGCATTCCTGATTCCCACTGTGTCGTCCATGGGATGACGCCCCTCATGCTTGCAAGCCTTGAAGGCAACATCTCTGTTATGAGGGAGCTATTGGAATCCAAGGCGGATGTTGATGAACTTATCGCTTGGCGTCTTCCTGAAGGTCACATTCAGGGGAAGTCTGTGACAGCACTGTTGCTGGCAGCATCCTTGTCTTCAAAGGAGGCAGTTGCTACCCTACTTGATGCGCGAGCATCCTTGGATCTCCCTTCTGGCGTCAGCGGTTCAGGAATAGTTGTGCAGGCCGCGTACTTTGGCAACTCGGACGTGCTGGCCACCCTCATCGAAAGGCGAGGTGATATGGACTGCCCAACTTTCTTGGGTGGCAATGCGCTGCTGGCGGCAGCGGGATCACCAAGCGTTGACAGCACCCGCATCTTGTTGGAGCACAGGGCGAACCCGAATTACATGAATTACATTGGCGCGACACCGGTTGCGTTCAACTGCATTTTCAACACCGATGCTGAACATGCGCAGCTCTTGCTGGACGCTCGGGCCGATCCCAACCAGCGTGGCGTAGTGAAGAGTTGCCTCTGGGCCGGTCTAAGCTGGGCCTGCCAGAAGAAGGTTCAGCTGGGGAGTGCAACCATGATTCACTGGAACATTGCGGTGTCCAACGGGGGAACGCCGTTGCACGTGGCGGCCCTGAACGGCAGCTTACAGGCCGCCTTTTAAAAAGAACAGACATGTGGTCGTTGATGGCTGTTGTGCCAGTATCGGGCGCTTTTTGGATGCTCCCCTTGTTGAAGCTCAGAAAGTAGTTCCCCCGTTTTTTTCTGATTGCCAGATCGCCTTGCTCCTCCTGGACCGTGATGCGGATCTCGATGCCACCTGGGGAGACAAAGAGTGCCTGTGGCTGCAAACAGACTCTAAGTAGTCTTCAACCGAACTTCAGCTTTCGAGGGGGGGGGGGGGGGAGAATCCAAAGCCCAGGCTGACACCCCTCCAGTTGGCCATGCTGCATGGCCACCAGGACTCTGTTGTTTTTTGACAGTGGCCTTTTGGAGGAATCGCAGTCAGAGCAACCCCTTGCATTGAGGGTGCTTGTGCATTCAGATGGCAGGATCTCGTCGCCTGTTTCAGTGAGAGAGAATTCCTTCATACAGAAGTTTTTTAAGCGATGCTGAACGCGCACGCGCAGTGCTGCCGGGCGGTGGTCCTGACTGTGCCAGCTCAGCAACATGTAACATTCTCGGTGCCTTTTTCCAGTGCACGCGCCGTGAAACGGGGAACCGTGCTGTCCAGTGCACCATCCTGCCCTGGATCCCTCAACGCCGCACACAGACATGCTTCTTATGGACATGTTTTTGCCTGTTGAAGATCCCATGACTGCTCTGAGCAACGTAGGAGAGGAGCTGCATCGGTTGAGGAAAAGTCGTCGTGGCTGAGAGAGGTGTTGCTATGCCTATCTAAGCATGGATGCACGGTGCGTGTTAGTTTCATACGGGTAGGGCCTTCTCTATCCCGAGATACTCTTTGAAAGCAGACCATCATGGCATACATGGAAGAAGTAAGCAGCGGGCCCTGGAAGAACTCGCCCAGGTCAGGCTTGAGCCTGCATATGGAGTGCTTTTCCTAGGCACTAGAAACGGTAAAGGCCGAGTTTACCCTCTGTTGGCGATATCTGAGAAGGGACCTTTCATGCTTGAACCATTGTGCGTCAAACTGTGCTTTGTCGTTACGGCAGGGTGTGGCAGGAAGGACTTTGTACAGCATCATCACATTCAGCACACGTGCAACGAAACGAGTCTAGGTATCTCCACGTCAGGCAAGCCAGCAAGTTTTCAGAGATTTTCAGCCTGCAGCCGCTTTCGATTTGATGGGACTCTGGCTCGTGCTCGTTGATCGGCGAAGATGTGGACTGCATGCTCGGGCTACATCGGCAAGCCACCGGCAGACATCGATCCTTCCATACCCTCCAGTGACTCCAGTGCCCTCCGCATGCAGTTCCCCATGTGGCTCATGCCGGGCAAGATACTGGCAACATTGCAGCCTCCGCTCTTGCCGCACGAGGAGCTGTTGCAGGAAGGCAAGCTGGTTAGGTGGGAGCCAGGGCATCCGAACACGGTTGTTTTCATCAGTCATGAATGGATCGGCTCGCATCACCCAGACCCGGCGTTCAAGCAGTTCAGAGTGCTCCAGCAGGCCCTCCAGAATCTTATGGCAGGAGCTGTGACAATCCGAAAGGACACCGTCTCTGAGTTCTTGAACATTCCTTTGGCTACACTCTCTGAGTCAATGCAGCGACGCTGTCTCGACTGGGATTTCTGGTATGATTTCATCAGCTGCCCGCAGCTTGGTGTTTCAGGTGGCCTTGGTGCCAGCATCGAAGAGAAGAGTGCAAGCAAAAGAGGTTTGGCAGCTGCCATCGCAAGCATCCCAGCATACTGCGAGAAGGCCGACCTCACCGTCGTCTTGGCGCCTTCGGTTCTGCACAGCGACGTACACCAGGTTCTATCAACCAGCTCTTGGAGTAGCTTCATCTGAATGCCTTTTTGAGTGTATCCTTGTGTTTTTGTTCACCTTGTCTTCCGTGAAGGTCTGTTCATGTCCATGTAGCTAGGGCTGTCGGCTGGCCTCACAGCTGTGATAACTGAACAGAGAAACAAACAACAGGCAGTCGCGGCTGGTGCCGTGCAGAGCGCACAGCCACCGTGTTCTCTTCAGCAAGCTCCGCTTCCAAGAAGGTCCTGCTGGTCGTTTCGGGCCCCACCCAGATTTCCATTTCAGGCGGGCCCGAGTGGATTTCAGCATGGCCTGGCCAGGGAAAGTTCACCATCGAGCACGACCGAACAGTGTTGCAGGATCTCACAGGAGAGCTGTTGGCGACAAAGTGTGAGAATTTGTTGCGCAGCGGTCAAAGCCAATGGCGGTTTTACCAAGCTTTGCTTCCTAAGGCCCGCGGTAGGGCGGATTTTGAACGTGAAGGCCTCGACCATTTCTTACGGCGATACAGAATTCCTGATTCCCACTGTGTCGTCCATGGGATGACGCCCCTCATGCTTGCAAGCCTTGAAGGCAACATCTCTGTTATGAGGGAGCTATTGGAATCCAAGGCGGATGTTGATGAACTTATCGCTTGGCGGCTTCCTGAAGGTCACATTCAGGGGAAGTCTGTGACAGCACTGTTGCTGGCAGCATCCTTGTCTTCAAAGGAGGCAGTTGCTACCCTACTTGATGCGCGAGCATCCTTGGATCTCCCTTCTGGCGTCAGTGGTTCAGGAATAGTGGTGCAGGCCGCGTACTTTGGCAACTCGGACGTGCTGGCCACCCTCATCGAAAGGCGAGGTGATATGGACTGCCCAACTTTCTTGGGTGGCAATGCGCTGCTGGCGGCAGCGGGATCACCAAGCGTTGACAGCACCCGCATCTTGTTGGAGCACAGGGCGAACCCGAATTACATGAATTACATTGGCGCGACACCGGTTGCGTTCAACTGCATCTTCAACACCGATGCTGAACATGCGCAGCTCTTGCTGGACGCTCGGGCCGATCCCAACCAGCGTGGCGTAGTGAAGAGTTGCCTCTGGGCCGGTCTAAGCTGGGCCTGCCAGAAGAAGGTTCAGCTGGGGAGTGCAACCATGATTCACTGGAACATTGCGGTGTCCAACGGGGGAACGCCGTTGCACGTGGCGGCCCTGAACGGCAGCTTACAGGCCGCCTTTTAAAAAGAACAGACATGTGGTCGTTGATGGCTGTTGTGCCAGTATCGGGCGCTTTTTGGATGCTCCCCTTGTTGAAGCTCGGAAAGTAGTTCCCCCGTTTTTTTCTGATTGCCAGATCGCCTTGCTCCTCCTGGACCGTGATGCGGATCTCGATGCCACCTGGGGAGACAAAGAGTGCCTGTGGCTGCAAGCAGCTTACAAGCTTCAACCATTTAGGGATCAGGGTTTAGGGTTTAGGGTTTAGGCTTTAGGGTTTAGGGTCGAGAGGGGAAGAATCCAAAGCCCAGGCTGACACCCCTCCAGTTGGCCATGCTGCATGGCCACCAGGACTCTTTTTGCTCTTTTTCAAAACCCCCCCTTTGGAGGTTCGAATCGCACCAGTCAGAGCAACCCCTTGCATTGAGGGTGCTTGTGTTCAGATGGCAGGATCTCGTCGCCTGTCTCAGTGAGAGATCTTTCCTTCATATACACCAGACGGAAGCTGTTTAAGCGATGCTCAATAAGCACGTGCAGTGCTGCTGTGGCGGCGGTTCTTGTAACTTTTCCTGTGCTAGCTCAGCAACATGTAACATTCAGAGTGCCTTTTTCCAGTGCACGCGCCGTGAAACGGGGAATCGTGCCATCCAGTGCACCATCCTGCCCTTGATTCGGGCAGCTGGCAAGAGAAATCCGCCACCATCAGTAATGTCAAAAAGATCAGAAAGGATTTAGATCTCGGGGGTGTTGAACTCTCGTGTCTGAGCATGAGCTCCGCTTTTTTTCTGGGCCGTGTTCAGTGTGCTGCGTGAGTCTCAGCATCTCCACATTGCATGACTCCTCGCCTTCTGTCTTGCAGGTTATTGGTAGGGAGGAGCATGTCCTCTCGGTGCTCAGGGTGGTGTTGCTAGGTGCTGGGGTTGGGAGCAGATACCGAAGCCCAGGTGCTGTGCAACCGTAGACCCTAAAACCCTTAAGCTTCAAACTCGCTTCGGAGGGACCTGATGGGTGGCCTGGCAGAAGTTAGCTGCTTAGCTCAGCTCTTTCTCAACCCTGCGCGGTCTTGGAAGTTAGCTGATACTTTGCCCCTTTTGGGTATTAATACCACCGTCAACCCATTAGATGATTATCCCTATACTCCCCCCTACACTTCACCGATATATCACTACGACTTCCTCATTAGACGATCATTCCTATACTCCCCCCTACTAGACTTCACCGATATATCACTACTACTGCCCCATTATCAATACAATTCTGGGAATAACCAATTACCCCATCTATTATCTCTAAGGTGGCATTATTACTCAAAAGGGGCAAGGGGGTCCTTGTAGAATTTGGTTCAGGGTTTAGGGTTAAGGGTAAAACATTCGCTTTATCTTCTCGGATTCTCCGATCATGTTGTAACTACAATGTAATTATAATATATAACTGCTTATGTATTATAATCACATTATAACTATGCTGGTGAGGAGACTATCTACTTTGAATTTTGAAGTATCATCTCATCTAAGAACTCTGTTGTTGCTTTTAAATACTCAGAATGTAATTGTTTGTCTCTTGTTTTATCATATTGTAAGTAGTATATTATGATATACTCTGTGATAATAGTGAAAATAACTACATAAAACATCTTTGTAATACTTCATTTTCTCCTGATGCCATTGATAGAAGTCAAATGTATCTAGGTTCTCGTAAATGGTTTTCATTTCAATATGTAACTCAAGTGTATAATCTTTCTTTTGAACATCATCTCGCATTATTTCATGAACTTCATCATGTTCTGGGTATTTGTTTAACTTAGTAAAGGGTAATATATAATCATCAAACAAATTCCTTAACTTACAACTTTTATCACAACCATAGTAATCTACAACCTGGTCTTTACAAATATTTAAGACATCACACTTACTTAGTAAAGCTTTTTGCATGTTCTTAACTGGGTTACATTTGTCACATCTATTGAAATAATTACATTTGTGTATCTGATTATACAAATATGTTTCATCATATTCACTCTCACTGCAATGTATTTATTGACGCAGTTCTCTTGTTGTTGATGATAGCCCTCGCGCGCGTAGAGTTCTTCCTTGCTGTTGCACGAATAGAACTCAATAAGTTCAATTTTACAATTCTCCACGCCGAAAGCATCAAATATATCATAAACAGCGACGCGGTTGTAAATTTTCTCCTTGTATTTCTTGTATTTTGATTTATGTGAGTTCATTCGGTTGGCTAGTTTCTCAATGGTTGAGCCAATGTAACACATTTGATACGACTTATCTACAACTCTGTAGATTTTGCCGTTCTGAGAGTTCCTGACTTTTCCTGACATAATCTATATTTATCATACATAAACAGTCTTTAGAACACTTTACCGCACACTGCAGTTACATAGCTTACACCAAGCTTCACAGTTGTCGCTTTCGTGCGCGATGCTATTGTCTTTACGTTGGGCTGTCATGTTACTTATTAAGAAGCCGTTCTTAAATTCAAATTCAAAGTTACACCCGCAGTTGTTACAATGACTATACACTCGCTTCATAAACCAACTTGGATCAACATACTTGCTGTCGTCTATTTCTCTATTCACTTTCTGATCTTGTAATTTGTTGGCGTTTATCTTGTTAAGCCAGTATTTATGCAAGGTTGTTTCGTTCAGTTCATTCTCTGCTTCAGCACTCTCGTAGAACAAGACATTGTTAAAATCGGTGCTTCTGGTCAAGGCGCACCACAACCATTCACGAGTTACTAAATGCGACTTCTCCCACTCATGTATAACGATCTTACCGTCAATTGAAGCCCCCTGTGCGGAATGGCAAGTGGTGCAGTAGTCGTATCTGAAATGTTTATCTAAGGTAGCTATGTCCGTTAAATACTGCTGTTTGGACTTGACATTATCTAATTTAATTATGTTCTTGGATATGCTTACGATCTTAAACCTGTAATTAACATTGAACTTAACATTATTCGTTTTCTTGTATAGTCGGCAGATTAAGATCTCATCCACTTCATACTTATCTCTTTTACCTAAACTCTTGCGGATTGCATTAGACACCGTTAAGCACCTCATATTCGTATAGGCTATGTTCTTCTGAGATGCTGTCATATCGTCTGTCGTGTTAAAATACTTATGAACAAACTCGGATAAAGATAACTTATGAAGCCACATGTCATCATACATCATATCCAATATTTTTCTGTTGGCTTCTGCTGTTGGATCTCCTTGTGGTCCTAATCTCTTACATATGGTAAGCATAACATTATACTTGAAGATCTGATCAGTACATTCATCTGCGTATTCGTCCGGCTTCCTTGTATTAGTTAGGTCTTCAATGGGCGGAAGCTGTTTGACATCACCCGCTCCGATTATGATTTTATTCGGGTTTCGTTTAACAAACTCTCTGATCCTATTTAATATGTGTGTTCCATTCATATAGATCTCGTCAAATCAATACAGTTATAACTGCTATGGTCAAACTCGGGGAGCTTCTCCCCATCCCCAACAGGAATGGCGAAAAACTTATTCGTAGTGACCGCATCGTCGTCTATGTTCTGCGATAAGCTGTTCTGGGGAACTACGAAGAGAGCTTTATAGCCTAATTTGCTGAAATGCTTTGCTATATGCGGCTTGCTACCACCTGCATACTTAGATCGGATCATCATAGGGTTATGCGTTACAATATCTTTCGCTATGCTTTCCGTGTCCCATTCGTTTTCTATGGGTCGGGTCTCATTGCTAACTACGGGAATTGGGATCAGTTCGTTCTTTTTTGGTGCCCACTGCTCTGTGGGTTCCGCTATGTTTTTACTCTTTTCGTGTCTCCACCCGCCGATACGATCTGAAAACTCTATTAGGTTCTTGGCTCGTCTTAAATGCTCCTTCCTAATGACGAAGGCATCTGTTTTAACACTCCATACTCCTATATGATTTTCTGTTAGCTTGGTGTAGTCGGTGTGCATCTTAAAGTTATGGTGTTGTAATAATAATTCTTTGATGTATATATATATATATATCCGTTTCGCAGGGTGGCTTTATCGGTCACTGTTAAGCAATAGTACTTTCTGTCCATCTCCTTTTCAACTAAGTCTGTCTCGCCGTTAGGCAACTCAATCTCATCAACATACATACCCGAGATTCTGTTAATCTTTCCTCCGATCTGGTTTTGATAATATAAGGCTTCCTTTAGAGTATCAAAGGCATAACTTTTATGGGCCTTGTTCGTGTTCTTCTCAAGTAGCCCGAAGTTAACATTAGCTATTCGTTTTTTGATTCTGATGTCTTCGGCAGGTTTGTCAGAGATGTCTGTCTTCCATAATTCCGCTGTGATCTTCCTGTAATCCACCTTATGTACTCGGGATGGTTGCTTATAATAAAGTATCTTACACTGCTTCACGTGTAGGCTTTATTGAAAAATAAACTCCGCTTGGTGGGCTTGACCAAGTAGAGAGTTAGATCGTGAAACTTGGTAACATCATATCAAACTGAGTGAATACCGGTATCTCGGCAATCTTGTTAAACGCAGATGTGTAAGCTTTTCTTACATCTATCTCCGTAGTCGCTTCTGGGGTATAACAGTATTTGTCGTCTTTGTCTGTCTTAGGGTTATATAAATAATAATGTTGATTTATTTCACCCGTTGGGGGGATGGTGCGAGACTCGTTGAAGATTTCAACGTCAATCTCGTTATGATATGACTTGTGGGTCGGCTTGAAGAGGGCGGTGTTAAAATTAAACATCGCTTTGGACATCTTATTGTAGATCTGCTCCGTTCTCACACAGATGGAACCATCTATAGAATTATTTACTAAGTTCTGTGTCTTAACCTTGTAATTGATTACTTTGTCCTTGATCTTAAACTTGAATACCCTGCCTGTTTGCTAAGATAAAAGAGATGAGACAGATCGTAGCCATTATATACCAATGTGTATTCGCTATGATCTCTGTATTTCCGGATGTCGTCTAGGGATGTGATCATTCTACATTCCACTGGCTCCTCCTTCTCGTTAAGATGATAATCTGATGATGCCTTCACTGATATATCGTAATTACTGCTTTTGGGTAGCATCTGCCGTAACATATTCATGTTATCACTCACTGTGATTGTTCTTCACTATAGCGTATAAGGCTGGGATGTGATGGTTTCTCTTTATTGGGTCGCGCTTATAAATGAGATTCTCAAACGTGTCATATATTCTGACTTGCAAGTTGAAATATTCAAATACCTTCGTCATGTCTGTTATTGACGCCCCCTTTGTTTTAAAATCTTCTTCCGTCTTGCCTATAATTTTCAGGATGGCTTCTTTGGTGAGTTTGTTCTTCTCTCTCTTCTTGTCTCCCATAAGCGTATCCTTATAATAATCAGTCAAGGTGTTAAACCAACACTCGTTCTTAACATGATGCTCTGCTTTAATGGCTTCCTTAAAGGTCTCATACTGTGGATCTAGTGGTGTCTGAATATATCTGTGATCCATGCTAACATTCACTGTGTTTGTTAGATCTTCGTCTTGTGGCTTGAAAGCATCGGCGTTATCTACCCCTTCGGCGTAATTAACTTTAATACAGTCAATGTAACCTTCCGCATAACCAACTTCGGCTCTAAAACTGTCGTTTGACATTAACAAAGCCTTAAGTCTATAGAACGTCTTAGAATCGGACTTCTCATATTTGAATATGCGTTTCCCCGCTAAGTTTTCAACCCAAGGCGTTGTCGGAACATCAGCCGAGAAAGGTTGTAAATAAACTGGGACATATTCCCTACCCCTGCTGTCTCTAAATGCTGTTGTTAATACTCCTTTGTGTGCTTCGGTCTTAAGTTGGTAGAAATGGACATTGATTGAATATGTTCTTGGTTTTCTTGGGTTGGTTCTTCCCGTTCGTTTGTTGTCTTCTTTTGCTTGTGCCATTCTCTGACCTAGTTGTTCTTTATCCTTATGTTTGTCATAAATCTTGTTGTAGTCTTTTTCCGCTTTAGTTTTTTTCTTTGTTTGTTTTTGCGGTGGCGAGTTTCCTGATTAAATTGTCTGCTGTGGTGAATTGGGCGATCTTACGATCTGAATATAAGTTAATTATATTTTGAACTTTTGTTCTGGTGGCTTGGTTGATGCGGTTTCTTCTGTTGTTATAAAATGTTTGTAGTGCTTCCGTATTACGCTTAACGGCTTTGGACATATACTAATATAATTAAACTATATAATTATTTTCTTTTAAGTATAAATTTTCCAAGGATTTTTTTAAAATATTAAATGTTTGTGAATATATAGAAATATGTCTAAAGATAAAAAAATATTATATAGTATAGTATAATATGAGTAAAAAATCCCGAGGATATGACAATGGATGAAATCAAAGAGCAACTCGCCATATACAGCAGATTGTATCACAACAAGCGCAGAAATGATGAAACATATATGCAAAAGAAACGAGAATCTGCACTACGACACAATCAGAGAAAGAAGATCAAGGAGTATGAAGAAGCTAACAATATCAAACTGAACCCCGATGAGATGACAGAAGAATTGTTATCTGAAATAATGAGTGCAAAAAAGCCCTTTTAAAGCAAAGCGCAGCACACCCAAATATGATATGAGCAAGTTCAAGATCATAAAGCCGATGGATGACGAATGATGATTTAATTTAGTTATTAAATCATTATTTTCTTTTGTTTTTTATATGAGTGAGAAACAAAAGATTATTCATGATGTATATTTTGATCGCACGGGTTTCGGCAGTAGAAGCCGGACTTTAGAAGAAGCGCGGGAGAAAGACAAAACCATCACAATGTCTGGTATTAACGAGTTTTTTAGGAAGAATGTTGATCAAAAGCGAAAGCCCGTCGGTTCAAATAGCTTTGTCGCCCCGCATTCCGCATATGAGTATCAGATGGATTTATTCTTTATTAATGACTTGAAAGATCAAAAATTTAGAGTAGGAATGTTAATGATTGATATATTTGATAAGTTTATGCATGTCGTGGCAATTAAAGATAAGAAGGAAGAAGATTTAGCGAGTGGGATGATTGAATGCATACATAAATGGGGAAGAAGCCCAAACTAATTTATACCGACGACGAGGGAGCAATGAACACGGAGGCAAGACAAAAGTATTTACAGGAACAGAACATAGAACACTATAGAACTAGGGCGCATCCAAATTTTAGCGAGAGAGCTATTCGGACGTTCAAAGATTCATTATACCGTCGTGTTGAAGCCGATCAGAAAAAGGGTAAGAATAATATCCAATGGACCGATTACATTTTTGAAGTATTATTAACATATAACAATAAAATGAAACATTCCGCTGCTGGCTACACCCCAAAGGATGCCAGAAAACCAAGCAACGAATTAGACGTTAAACTGCATTGAAATATGAATGCTAAACGAAATCGGGTATATCCTGAGATTGAAGTTTCAGACCAAGTGAGAATTTTCAGAAAGAAGAAGCCGAATGAAAAGAACGGGTAGGAAATTTCAGCAAGAATGTGTTTACTGTGGAAAGAATTGATAAGAAGTTGGGACAGAGCTACTATTTTGTGGAAGGGGTGGATCGGGCTTATTTACGCTTTGAATTGTTAAAAGTCTCGTCCTTTAAACGCAACTTCCAAGTGGTCGGGTGTTTTGCAACTTGAATTGTACGTCTTTGGACGATGTGAAGCTTGAGCGTGCATTTTAGAACCCGGGTGGTGCTTATGCTATTGTTTGGAAGCGCCCCTCTGCAGGCCCCTCTACGTCTTTGAGCTGCAATAGGCCTAAACGGTTTGACTTTTCTAAAATTTGCAGAAGCGCTCGTTGGCTGATAACAGCTATTTTGCACTGCACGTGGGAGCGGATCAATGTGTGAGTTGATTTGCATGTAGACCAAGTGTCAGGCTTTACACTGCCACGGTATTTCGGTGTGTTGTTGCGCACGTGTTCTGATCTGTTTACAGCTTTGTAGCACACGCAAGCGGCAGGTGAGAACGGTGTGTAGCCAGTTTATGCATAGCAAAAACACCAGCTGTAGTTTCGCGATGGTTCGGAGTCATCAATGGCCTCGTGTTGCAGGACTGGTGTGGTTCTGCATGGCTTGGCTGTTTCTGGCATCCTACAAGGGTTCCATTCCAGACCAGAGTTTTGCAATGGGTTCGAGCAGATATGGTTTGCGACGGCAACGGACGCCTTGTCGCGCGGCTTCTTGGATATCAGTGCAAGACATCAAAGAAATCTATACAACAGAAGAATTCGAGAAACAAGTGTACGCAGCCCTCGACGGGGGAGATGACCTCCTGCGGCTGCCGTTCTACGAAATCCAAGCTACGGAAGATGATGTTCAGAAGGCAAAGGGTGCTTTCGAGACAGGCTTCGCTACCCAAGCTGGGTTCAATTGGAACACGGGCAGGAAAGGAAAAGGCCAGAAAAGGGGCGACCGTGGTGCTGCCCAAGCATCAAATCCCCAATGCGACCTTTACTTGAAGAAAGATGCCCCTGGAATGCACGTCGCAACCCTTTTCAGGCTTCAAAAATGCCAGCCTCTCTGATGTCGCAAGCCATTGGGGAAACCTCACTGCTTCAGTTGTGTTGGCGGAGATCGCTCAGACACCTGCGAGTTTGCGAAACAAGCTATGGCAGCTCGAAAGAGCAATGCGCTTTGGTCCGAAGGAAATCCAACAGCCAGGTTGCTGCGTAGTGTGCATCAATGGGGAAGGTGCAGAGTTCGAGTTAGCAGCTCAGCTTGCAGCAGCGGGGCTGCGCAGCCTGGGTGGCCGCGCAAAACTGAATTCTGTTCCGGTTTTTGCTGTATGAACTCCTTATAGAAACGTCTACGCATCACCGCAAAGATTGATGCCAAGATCGAAGAGCTCGATGCCAAGATCGACCAGACAAAGACAGAGCTCGAGGCCAAGATCGACCAGACAAAGACAGAGCTCAAGACAGACATTGAAAACATGAAGCAAGTCATCATGGCTGCCCTTGCTGATCTCAAAGAATAGGCAAGGCGCAACTGTCCTCTCGACGCTGGGACTTCTTTGTGCGAAAACAATTGCAATCGGTCGTCAGGTGTTATAGTGTTTAGCTACAGCTACATCGACTCCATGAATCCTGATTGCACAATTCAATCACATTGCAATGTCGCGAGCTTGCTGTTCCGGGGTAACAACCTGGACCCCAATCCGTATGCCAAATTCTACAAGACCCCCCTTGCCTAGTTAGGCGTATGGCACCTAAATAGAAGTAAGCAGTATTCCTGGGATGGTAACTTGGGTTGGGATCACCCTACTGGGGCTGAGATCTTAAGAAAGATGTTATCCTAGGGTCTGGGGTGAGATCTTAAGATAGATGCTATCATAGGGTGGGGGTGTGGTGTTGGGGTAGCTGGAAATACGTCAGGGTAGCTCTGAAATATCTCGGGGTCATGCCGTAGAACCTCAGGGTTTGCAACCCTTAACCCTAAACCCTGAACCAAATTCTATAAGGAAGCCCTTGCCCAGTTTGGGTAATAATACCACCTTAGAGAATATAGATGGGGTAATTGGTTATTCCTATAATTGTATTGATAATGGGGTAGTAGAAGTGATATATCGGTGAAGTGTAGGGGGGAGTATAGGAATGATCGTCTAATGGGGAAGTAGTAGTGATATATCGGTGAAGTGTAGGGGGGAGTATAGGGATAATCATCTAATGGGTTGACGGTGGCATTATTACCCAAAAGGGGCAAAGTATCAGCTAACTTTGGATGGCTCGCACAAGCGTCTTGATCTCTCAGTTGTGGGCAGACGGCTGTTTGTTAGACCAAGCCGTCAGTTTCTAATACAGCACTGATGAAAGATCCCTGCTGGACTTGACATGCCAGCAGAACAGAACAGAACTGATGAAAGCCTTGTCAAGCTGTTGGATGTGCAAAAGCTGCAGCAAAGACGGAGTATGGGACAGTTGCTTAGCATTGCCAAGGAGCTTTCCCATGCACCATGGCTTCCAGCGGCGCTCCATAGTCCCTTCGTTGATCTGCAGCTGCTCAGGATCCATCATATCCTGGGCCCGAAAGACTTGCAGCCGCCATGTCGGCGTCGAAGCTTGAGAAGAATGTGGCCAATCTGGAGCGGCGACTGCGCCAGGAGTTTCAGGCAGAGTTGAGCGCCAAGCTGCAGCCGCACCCGGGTTGTCAAGTCAAGCCGCCTGCGCGTAGGTCCTGGCATGATTGGTACAGTTAGTGTACGGGCGACTCGCGTGCTTCCGAAGTTTCCCTGGGTTGGTCTCATTGCGCTCAGGTGCCTGGCGAGATTGGCCGCCTTGGAGCAGCGCCTGGAAACCGAGCTGCAGAACTGCGGCAACACGGCGACCATGCTACGTGTGGACGTGGAGGACTCTTCACCAAAGCCACATCCAATGCTCACGGAAAAGCCGCCGCAAGGGGCAAAGGGAGACACGGACGACTTTGAGGTCGACGGCCCCGCTGAAGATGCCATGGACTCTGCCATGGACCCCGTAGCCTTCCTGGAGACAACCTGGAACTTGGTCCTCGTTGCAGGCCATGCGAGTGTGGGTTGGATTGATTTGGCTATTGCCTGGCTGCTGCTCATTGCAAGCGCCGGGATGCAAATCACCTTCAGCGTGATCTTGCTGAGCCCTTCTTTCCTAGGGGAGCCCTTCGACGAAGCCCAAGTGGAGGTGGCCAGAAAATGGAGGAACAGCGTGGCTCACGATTCGAAGTACATGGACCTTGCCCGGACCAGCCTCACTGCCCGAGTCTGCAACAATGACGGTGGCCTCATCCTATCCAATGCCCAGGCCGGACTTCGTGGGACCCATCCTTGCACGCGCAGCTTTCCTTTAGAGGTCTGCCTTGGGCAGTTTGTTTTGTCGTGTGGACCTGCAGCTTCAGGCGGCCTTGGTTGAAAACATCAACAACTTCCTCGGGCTTGACGACGGCCAGATCCAAGCAGAAGGCTTTCGGCCGGGCATCTTGCTGTCGATGCTTTGCATTTTGTTGTGGCGCCTTGGGCGGGCACGAGTAGCAAGTGCCAAGTCTCTCGTGTTGAATCCTCAATGATCCGTTGCCTCTCTCAAGCCCTCTCTGTGTGATCAATCGAGGTGCCTCTATGTTGGAAACGAGTTCCGTACGATCGGGCTCTCGCTGGAGGCAGTTGGGCAAATACCAAGGTCCGCAAAGACCAGATACCACGACGGAAGGTTTAAGACCATGTCCTACGTGCGCTTCTGGTCCTACTGCGGCCTCCGTCTCCTGAGGGCCGGGATTGCAGCGGCGTTGCTGTACGCCGGGGTTCTCTGGCTTGGCGGGACGACGTCGATTGAGGACTTGATCTTGAACGCGGTAGCTACCTGGCAGAGGTTCTGAGTAAGCAGTGCAGTTGCCTTGCTGGTTCTTAGCGGTGAAAAAGAGCGAAAGCTACGATGCCCTAAAGTTTTTTTTATCGAGGGAGAAGGAGGCGCCCAATTTGAGCTAGTACGTCGTCACAGTGCTGATTTGAGATATCCCGGGTGGGAACTGGGGTTTCAAGCAACTTGCGAAGTGCCGTCAACTACCCTTTGACTGTATCAGCAATGACCATACCGAGTCAACAGAGTTGTTCTTCTCAGGATTTGAGAGCACCTGAAGAACCCCTTGAATCGGCTAACGAGGGTGGGAGATAGCACCCCACTGCCTTCTTCGCTACTGAGAGCCCTAGCCCTAAACCCTAAACCCTAAACCCTAAGCCGTAAACCCTAAGCCCTAAACCCTAAACCCTAAACCCTGAACCCTAAACCCTAAACCCTATTAGGAGCCCAGAAGTCCGAGTAGGAGCAGAGATGGACCCACAGTGGCGACTGCAGGTTGCCTGAGTCCGCGCGCCCGTGTTTTCGCCAGTAGACCCCTTGAACCCTCAACCCTCAACCCTAAACCCTTCAACCCTTCAACCCTTCAACCCTTCAACCCTTCAACCCTTCAACCCTAAACCCTAAACCCTCAACTCTAAACCCTAAACCCCTAAACCCTTCAACCCTAAACCCTCAACCCCTCAACCCTGAACCCTCAACCCCAAACCTGCAGGCTCTGGGCGCTATCCTCCAAGTGGACGAGATGGTCTTCTCCGCCCTGATGCCCAAGAAGCTTCAGCTGAAGATTCAGGATCTTGAGGCCATCAAGGTACGCTACAGCCGCCGCCGGAGTCAGGTGCGCGCAGTGCCCTAAATTTCTTGAAGCCACCACCTCCCCCGTACACGCAAGATAAGGTTCTCTCTAGACCCGAAACCCTAAGCCCTAAACGCTAAGCCCCAAACCCTAAACCCGAAACCCTAAACCCCAAACCCTAAACCCCCCCCCCCCCCCCCCCCCCCCCCCAAAAAAAAAGGAAAAAAAAACAAAGGAGCACAGAGAGAGAGAGAGAGAGAGAGAGAGAGAGAGAGAGAGAGAGAGGGCGAGAGAGGGCAGAGCAGGCCGAGTCGGTGCTCATCCTGCTTGTCATGGCAGGGCTTCTGATGTGGCCCTGGTCCCTTCTCATCGTTTTGGATTCATTTGATTTGTAGTTAATTTGTTATTTTTCATTTTTTTTTTTGTGGGGGGGGGGGGGGGGGGTTGGGGTTTTGGTTTTGAGATTTTGGGGCTCTCATAGAAGTTTTGGTTGTTGCTACAGGCCCGAGAACAGAATGTTCAGATATGGTATTTTATGGTTCAAAGGGGAGCTCAACTAACCCTAAGCCCTCAGCCCTCAGCCCGAAACCCTAAACCCTAAACCCTAAACCCTAGGGCCTTCAAAAGGGAGGGGTGCAGGTTCAGCCTCTTGCAGCCACTGGGCCGCACCATGGAGGCGGTGAAGCGATCGTACTGCGACGGGAATCAGGCGCAGCCCTGGTTGTGCTTGTGGGTTTCTTGGCGGGTTTTAGGCTAGTTTGGGGTTGTGGGGTTTTGGGGTTTTGGAGTTTGGGGTTTTGGGGTTTTGGGGTTTTGGGGTTTTGGGGTTTTGGGGTTTGGGGTTTGGGGTTTGGGGGTTTGGGGGTTTAGGGCTCAGGGCTTGGGGTTTAGGGAGCAGGGGATTGAAAGTGTGGAAGAAGAAGAAGAAGCCAAAGCTTAAACCTTCGTGAAGAAAGGAGAAGCCCTAAGCATCCGTAATCCCCGGCCTTGACACGGATCATCTACGGAGCCTCGACTGGCAGGATTTCGTTGTGGCGCTGAATGAGGACATGCATCTGACTGTAAGCTTCCCCACGGTGCCCTTTGGGGACGTCGGAGGGAAGACCGTGAGCCAGCTTGCGGTTGAGGATGCTCTCTTCAGAGACGAGGGTGATCCTGGGAAGTACCTCCTCATGCAGACTGACATCCAGCGCTTCGAGCAAGCCCGGACGACGCTCATGAGTGAAGCTGCAGCAGAAGTCCGCAGCTGGTGCCAGAACTTCGATCAGTTTTTCCTGCCAGAGACCCCTCCTCCAGGGTTCGCGGGTTACTATGCCCCGCACTGGTACTCAGCTGCAGTGGGGCACGACTTGCCGGAGAACAGCTCCTGCGAGGATATGGCCTACTTGTGCGATGTGGACTCTGGCTCCCTGGTCCGCTTTGTATGTGGGCAGACCTGCTGCTCTCGAGCCAACCGACACAGCGCCTGGTACAAGGTGAAAGCCACAGGTTGTCCAGCTGGGTGCCTACAGGAGGCGGATGAGAACCCTGCTGCTGCCTGCGTGGACGTTCCGGCAAATGCAACGCCGTGGCAGGCTTTTTGGGATCTGTATCCCATCGCGATTGAGAATCACACCGGCCAGTCTTTGGCCAACAACACCGTTGGCACACAGATTGCGGAAATGGTGCAGACAATGAAGGTGGAGGGCTGCCCCGCATTGAACACCAGTCGTTGGGGTAGGGAGGTGGTGATGAATCTCAGGTGGTGTGAAGGCTTCGAGCCGCTCTTTGCACCCTTGGCCAGGCTGTGTCCAGAGAGCTGCGGATGCGCCAACCTGGCTGATCCATCACAGGCACCTCCTGGCTGCCCGAGCTTCTGCACCCCGAGATGTGAGGACAAGACTTTCCCGGCGATCGGACCGGTCTCCACGTGCGCGGAAGGAGCGGTGCTCGGCTGGTGCTTCGATGCGGGCTTCGCGGCGCTCTGCCGGAAGAGCTGCACCGGCTGCTAGGTCTGCTAGGTCTGCCGATGCTAAGTAGGCCCTCGGTGCACTCTGAGGCATGTTAATGTCTGCCAATTTTCGGGCCTGCCCCTGGCAGTCCTGAAGGGATGCTGGAGGGAAGAAGATGTCCAAAGAACCGGTGCACTTGCGCCCTGCATGCCGCTGCATGCCTCTGCACTGAGTTGGGGTCGAAACCACCTGCCTCTGCACTGGAGCTCAACCTTGCTCATCTGGCTTGCACAACGAGGCTTCCTGGCTTGCCCTGCCTGCGGCTCTGGTGAGATGTTGTGTAGGTTAGAGGTGTCTTGCAAGCTTATGCCACAGTGTTGCACTCACTCTGGAGGCATGTGGCGAGCAAAGATGGCTAAGATCAGACATTCAGAGCGGAGTTCAGAGAAGCTGCTTGTAAACTTTTAGCTATCTGTCTGCTTGGCCGCAATGGCTCGTGGAACTAAACGCAGTGCAGATGCTGCGGCGACGGAGACTAGCGCAGGCACCACTCGACAAAAGTCTCTGCCCAGTTGCGTTGAAATGCCATGTCACCTTCATCAAGGGACTGTGCCAGAACCCTCCGACGATGCTGAGATCGCGGCGCGCGCCTCAAACGTCGCCTCGCAAAGTTGCCACATCCACAACCGTGGGGACCTTCGCGTGGAAATGCTGCAGGTGCCTCTAGAGAGCTGCGAGGACGAGAACCACAGAAGCGGTCCGGAGCAGGGTCTCCGTCCCGAAGCTCAGTGACCCAGTGACCCTTGCACACGGCAGAACAAGCTGCACGACCTAACACGCTTGAATACGCTTAGTATACGTTGTCGCCCAAACCCTGTAAGGTCGTCGTCGCGATGGCATCGTGCGCTGTGCCCGGTGTCACGAAGCAAACAAGCGCAAGCTCATGGCTGCCCGAAGCTGAGAGTAGTCGACGGGTGTAGCGGTCCATCTACATGTGGCATCTCACTTTCGAGCTTCTTGAGGTTGGAACTCGTGGACTGGACCTGGCGGCCCACTTTAGAATGCGCCGAAGCATGCCGGGTGTTGAGGCCAAGCGTGAGGTACTACGAGTGAGTACATGTGAGTACGAGGATGTCTCTCTGACTTGCGAAGGTGGTGCCCAGCTCCCCAGAGCCAGAGGCAGACGACGAAATGGAGAATGCCAAAGCAGCTCGGACCACAGAAAGCGTCTCGAGCTCTTTTGGCCAGATGTGGCTTGACGTGCCCCAGAGCTGAGGAAATCTTCGAAGTCATCAGCGTCCCACAGACGCCGGTTCAAGTTCGTCGCAAGTCCGCCAAAGGCAGCAGCTCTTCCCCTGATTCGATGGACGACGAAACCACGGTGCCTTGGCCTTCCGAAGATGGCCTTCCGCGTGCTGTAGTGTGCACTGCGGCTTGAAAATACCCAAGGCTCCTCCTTCAGAGAGCTCTGATGGGGCGCCGCCGAAGGTTCTGCACATTGGCTGCGACGTGTGCCCGCGATGGTACGTGGTGGACCAGCTCTTGTTCGACCACTGGCGCGAGGAGAAGTTCACCTGCTGCATGATCGGTGAGCGATGTGGCCGGTCTCTTGTCTCAAGGCTCTCGCTCAGCAACTTGTTACCTCCCACAAGCGCTCAAGCCATCTTCCCTATCCTGAACCCGGACCCCGGTAAAGAGCTCACCGTGGTGCGCAACACTCGTCTGAGGAAAGACAGCAAGACCGCGCTTGTCTCGTGTCCTGGTGTGCCAGAGATGTGCAGTCGAATGGGTCGGCCGCACATCTCACGCGCGAGCAGGCTCGCTGCTTGCTGCTCGTACCTAGACACTCAAAGGCTTCAATAAGCGAGTCGACGTGCTTCCCTGGCACCAATCATCCGAGACAGGCGTTTTCACTCTCGCACCTTTGGCACCAACTAATGGGAGCGGGCGCTTTCACTCTAAACCCTCTCGAAGCAAGCGTGGCAAGCATCCCCTGAAAGCATCCTTGAAAGGCCCCACATCTTGCCGCTTGGCTTCTGGGACCTCTGGCGCCCAAACACGGCGCTCAGCGCCGCAGCACCGAAGATCTTCGCGGCCCCCGTCGCGACGGCGGGCCGGCAGAGGGCCTTGGAGGCCGCAATTCGTTTTTTTTTTTTTTTTTTCGTTTTTTTTTTCCATGGTTTTTCAATTGGACTTGCAAGGGGTGTTGTTTTCGGGTTCAGGGGGCCCTGAAAGGTTTGGGGCCAGGAGGTGGAGAGGTGTAAAGTTCAGGTCATGCTGTGCTGCTGCAGAGTGCTGAGCTGTCATCAAGTTCCGACACTGCAGAACAGACTCGCCATCTTATGGTAGGCGCAGCAACTGCTGACGTCTGCTTTTGAAGAAGAGGCCGACGCAGGTTGTGGAGAGTCTTATTGGGAAAGCTCTGAGGGGCTCCGGTTGCAATTACGATGCCGATGCGGCAACGAGATGTGAACCAGTGCTTGTGCTCTCTGTGGCTCCAGGCGGCATCGAGCTCCATCACTTTGCTGCTCGGTCTGCGCCGCAAACGTGCCAAAGGTGCTGTGACTGTTAGACAATTTTTGTTCAGAGGTTTAGGTTCCCTTATAAACCCAAAACACTTTAGGGTTTTTGGAACTGTCTCTCTTTCTCTGGGGCTCCTCAGGAAATGGACCCACTGTACGGACCCGAGCCCGAGCTCAGAGTCCAAATCCCCAGTGTAAGACATTCCCGCTCTGAGTCCTAGGCTTGCGCTCCCAGGCAAAAAAGATTGAAGCCGGAAGCCAGCCTTGGCCCTCTTATCCCAAACTTCGTCTATGCAAAATGCAAGACAGAACCAGACTACAAGTTGTTTTGGCCTTGCCACAGTACGACGCCGACACATGTGCCCTCGACCCTAAACCCTAAACCCTAGACCCTAAACCCTAAACCCTAAACCCAGGTGCGTCCACAGGGCAGCCTGCCAAGGCATGGCTCCTTTGGCAAGACGGCGGCGCTGGGCACATGGCAGCTTAGCCACCGTTTTGTTCGACATTTAAGGGTTTAGGGTTTAGGGCCTGTTTAGGGTTCTGGAAGTTTGATTCAAAACCAAGACGTTGGAGCATGGAAGCACAAACATATTCAAGTTATGGTGTCAAAATGCCATTGCAGACTTCAGCATATACTCCGGACTGTATCAAGACATACAAATCAATGTTGAGCGTTTAGGGTTTAGGGGATGTCTGCAACCCTAAGCCCCAAACCCCAAACCCCAAACCCCAAACCCTAAACCCTAAACCCCAAACCCTCAACCCTAAACCCTACACCCTAAACCCCAAACCCCAAACCCTAAACCCTAAACCCTAAACCTTGAAACCCTAAACCCGAAGCCTTCTGGCGCTCCGAGGTGTCGGCTGCCATCCTCTCCTGGCAGCGCTACACCACGACAGGGCCAAAGCAGCTGCAGGCCGAGTTTAGGGTTTAGGGTTTAGGGTTTAGGGATTAGGGTTTAGGGTGGGTTGACCCAAGTTGTGGACACTTTCGGGTGCCCTCCTATTTACAAGGCTCCGTGTAACAATCAGGAAGCTCAACCGGGATTCGAGACATGAGGGGGTCTTCCAAGTTGTTGTTGATCTACCTTGGGTCAAGGTTCATATAGTGGGCCGGAGGGCGGTTGCCAGCAAGGAGGATATGGAAGGTTAGGGTTTGGGGTATATTCATTGCCGACGCTCGCGTTGGGCGAAGTTGCTCTAGATCTGAGACTTTACGGCACCCGGACTATAAGGACGAACGCAATATATTCGACCCCCGGCAGGCCCATATAGCAGATCAAGCCCCACGTGTCTGGACGCCTATCACTGCCATCAGGGCGGAGTGGTTCTGGAGTACATCGCTCGCCTGCCCGAATGTGGAGCAAAGGCCAGGACAAAAAACCCAGCTTGCCCTGTCAGGATCCAATTTGTGGTTTTAGTGATCTTTTGTGAAGCTACCGGAGTAAGGGCATGGGTACAGGAATGATCGAAGTTTTCTATGGAGTTATGGTAGCTCAGCTAGCTTAAGTTCCTGAACAGCAGCCCAAGCAATTCGGCAAACCCTGTCAGGCGTACCACCTCATTCTTGCGGCCGAGGAGGCCGCAGCAGGAAGACGAAAGCCACCTAAGCCCTAAGCCCCAACCCTAAACCCTAAACCCTGAACCCTAAACCCTAAGCCCCAAACCCCAACACCCAGAACCCAGCCCTTTTCAGGTCGCGCTTCTCCTTGGGCAGAACGAGCTCTTCAGCGCATGTGACCTGACCCAAGGCCAGGGAGCTTGGAAGGGCCATATTATAAACATGGGGGTTGTTCTTAAGTCATGGGCCGAGATTTTTGGTGGGTTTCTCTGATGATTGTATATTCCATGCAGTCCACGGTGCCAGAGAACGGGCATGAGCTGTCAATGGAACTTTGTCAGTTCTACTCATGGCCAAAGTTCAAGCACGCTGACGCACACTCTTTCTCGCCGCAGATGGCTGTGCCTTCGATGGGCGCGCGTTGCCGGCACTGGCGGCGCACCAGAAGTGGGGATTCCAGGACGCTTTTGTCGCACGTGCAAGGGAAGCCTGTGCTGATGCATGCCAAGTTTGGACATAGTTTGTGCTTCGTGAAGGCACTCTTAACCCTAAACCTGAAACCTTAAGCCCTAAACCCTAAACCCCAAACCCTAAACCCTAACCCTAAACCCTAAACCTTAAGCCCTAAGCCTCAAGAAGGAGTAGCGGCCCAAATGGAGGACACGGACCAAAAAGAATGGCGAGACCGCCGCCTGGAGGCCTACAACTCAGACTGCAACCTGCGCTACATGGTGAAGAGAGTCGGCCAGTGAGCCAGCTTAGGGTTTAGGGTTTAGAGTTTAGGGTTTAGGGTTTAGGGCTTAGGCATACTGATGGTGGTCTTTTTTCGGTGAAATTGCGTGGCTTGCGTGGCCAGCAACAGGTTCCGATTTCGTGGAACAGCAGCTCTCCATGTTTTCGGCTTGACTTGCGCATGTCCAGAGAGAAGATGCCAATGGAAGCATTCGACATGCCATGGGTGCTTGGGGAAGATGCCAGCTGCCATGTTGAATTTATACCAAGTCCCCGAAACCCGAAACCCAAAACCTTAAACCCGAAATTCGAAACCCTATAATCTCGTAACCTTATACCCTAAACCCTAACTCGAAAAGCAGCCTTGCATCTCCAGGATGTGCCTGGGTTTCACAGGCCAAGGTGTCACGAGAACAAGCTAGGGGTTTCGTGGGGGCAAAAGATGCTCCGCAGGGACCTGTCGATCGAAGGGGGGCAACTGGAATGTGTCCCAATTTTTGGGAATGTCCTTCGACCGCAGCCATTCATCAAGACTTGACATTTCCTCCACGTACTTCCCTAAGCCCTACGTAAACCCTAAACCCTAAACCCTAAACTCTAAACCCGAAACCCTAAACCCTAAACCCTAGGCCCTAAACCCTAAACCCGTTGAGTTGCTTTGTTTCCTTCACAGTCTGGCTGGTCTTTTGGTACGGCTTTGCTTTGTACGTGGGAACGGAGGTGTGAAAGCTCTGAGCCATGACAGCCAGCCGGTGTGCGTGTATGTACGTATCTTCGTAGATAAGAAGAGAGGCATACAAGTGCTGTGGGTATCTCTGCTTGTCGGCCGACCCTACACCCCACATACCCCAAACCATAAACCCTGATTGCACTCTTTCAGTGCAGTAGCTTCGCCCTAAACCCTAAACCCTAAACCCTAAAGCCTAAACCCTAAATCCTAAACCCTAAACCCCAAACCCTAAACCTCTATGGAGTCCTAGCCGATCTTTGTCATCGCTGCCCCATGGGATGCTGGGCCGATGGAGGCCTGGAATACATCTTGGACCTGCGAATGCATGGGGTTTAGGGTTTAGGGTTTAGGGTTTAGGGTTTAGGGCTGTTGGCAGTCAGCGGCATCGCATCTCCCAAAGCCACTGCAGCCCTGCAGCCTCCTTCAGAGAAAGGCTCACTGGCAGACCTTGCCGGCGCCTGCGGACTGGCCCTGCGCTCCCGCCACTCCAATGGAGCTTGCGCCGCTTGCACTTGGGGGGCAGTTCGCAATAGCTTCGGAAAGTTGAGGGTTCGGGACTCCTGTTACTATCCTGAGCCTTATAATAAAGGATGCCCACAAATGGGCCCATGTTTCAGCTTCGAAGTCAGAGTCCTGTCAGGGGCCCGGCTGGCTGCTAGCAGGACTGAGGAGGCGTCATCGGTAGGCAGTCAAGCTTGCTGCGCTTTGCGCCCAGTACCCCTAAACCCTAAACCCTAAACCCTGAACCCTGAACCCTAAACCTTAAACCCTAAACCCTAAACCCTAAACCCTAAACCCTAAAACCTACACCCTAAACCCTAAACCCTAAACCCTAAACCCTAAACCCTAAACCCTAAACCCTAAACCCTAAACCCTAAACCCTAAACCCTCACCCTAAACCCTAAACCCTAACCCCTAAACCCGAAACCCTCAACCCTCAACCCTCAACCCTAAATCCTAAAACCCTTGCAGGCGAAGCCCGGGAAGCAGGTCTGGGCTCACCTGCTGGCCCGGCCGCCCCTTTGCCCTAAGTTATCGCACAGTGTGCAAGCATCAGTAAGTTTAGCTAGGGTTCACTTACGGTTTAGTTAGGGTCCAATTAGGGTCTCATTAGGGTTCACTTAGGGTTTAGGGTAAGTCAGGGTTCAGGGTTCAGTCAGGGTTTAGGGTTCAGGGTGGAGGGTAGTTTCGCGGCCAACAAGCCACAATCCTCAGGATCAATCTCTCAAAGCTCGGCGATCGCTTATCTTCCTTATCTTCCGCCGAGTACTCCTGTAGCTCCTGGGCTGCATGGAAGCCGCAAAATGGTATAAACAAAAGTATAGCGAAACAAATGAGTCTTCCACAGATCGCCATAGGTACATACGCATATATATATATATATATATGTATAGAGATATGTATATGTATATGTTCATGTATATGTATATGTATATGTATATGTATATGTATATAGATATATACATACTCATGTAAATCTATCAAGCCAGCGCTCCATGTGGGCATGCCAGAGCATTGCAATGGATCAATGAAACGCATGCAAATTTATTGTAAACGCAAGTATCAATGTAAATGCCATTGCAAATGCAGATGCCCACGAAAATTAACAAAAAACACTACACACATGTGCGTTCGTGCAACTTAACAAGATGAAGGTATATGAACTTGTAAGTATTCATTATATATCATAAACATTAAACGCATATATATATACACATTATGTGTGTATATATATATATATACATATATATATATATGCATATACAGGTACGTATGTATGTATGTATGTATGCATGTATGCATATATGCATGTATGCATGTATGCGTGCATGCATGTCTGCATGTTTGCATTGCATGTATGCATGTATGCATGTATGCGTGTATGCATGTATGCATGTATGCATGTATGCATGTATGCATGTATGCATGTATGCATGCATGTATGCATGCGTGCATGTATGCATGTTTGCATTGCATGTATGCATGTATGCATGTATGCATGTATGCATGTATGCATGTATGCATGTATGCATGTATGCATGTATGCATGTATGCATGTATGCATGTATGCATGTATGCATGTATGCATGTATGCGTAGTCATGTGTACACAAGAACGACGTCAACCTGGAGCGATTGAGCCTTGCAGCTGCTCTGTCCTGTCGGCATGGGCACGAGGACTGTGGCGCATGCGACGAGGTCCGAAAGCAACTCCGCTGCCCCAGGCGCGTGGAAGACTGATAGACTGGTCTCACCGCAAGGTTCTTCTCAACCGAAAGGGTCGGTGATAGATTTCGTGAAAGTAATTCAGATCCTTGTCTGGACCCTTCACAAAGGTGTTGATCTGCGACAGCAAGAGTGCTGATGCTGGTAGTGCTGTCGCATCTTGTTGGCAGTAACACTGTATCTGGCTCGGCTGTGGGGCCACAGAAGCAGTGACACATGTTCACAGCAGTTCGGGTTTAGGGGCGGTAGCTGGGACACTCGTTGCTGGAACCATGCGAGACTCTTGTGGAAGCACGTTCGGCACAAAGTTGGCTGAGGCTGAAGGGGACTTGTGTCCATGATGTCTCGAGCTCTTCGAGCTGAGGTGCTGGCAGATGGATGTCTCATTCTTTGGGATGCAAGCGCCGACATGGAGTGCCTTGCCGTCACTGGTCAGGGTCGTATTCTGATCCTCCCAGACAGTCACAGCGAGTGGAGCAGCAAGTTGTCCGTGTCGCTTGCAGAGTCACTTGGTAAACGTCCCCTACCTGACAGTCACGAATGGGAGTTGGGGTCGGGCACGCTCTCTGTTCTTGTTTGCCGGGTCACCGGCCATATTTGCATTCGATTGCCTTTGGCTCTGTGTACTGAATTGCTGCGTCGATCGGTATTCCATGGCACTGTTCGAGGCAGCAGATGCTTCAGCTCGCTGCCTCCTGTCCGGCGGACCGACGTGGGCCAACGACAATAGGTCGGGTGCCGGTCGCGGGCTTGCCTTAGCTTCCTTAGTTCAAGAGCAAGACTTCTGAAGGTGCCGTGGACGTGGTGCTGGAAGGTCGCTATCTGACAGCAGAGGCTGTACCTTGTGCTCCACTTCAGCCGTAGCAGCGCTGGCAGCCTTGCAGTTTGAGTTCTGAGCTTGTGCACGCGCAGATTGCTGGGAACGACCGGATGTATGATTGTGTATCAGAACTCACTCTCAAGGGTGCGTGGGAGGGGGTGGTGGGTGGTGGGTTGGTGGATTTTAGAACCAGAACCGGGTAGAGTAGAAGGCAGATCGCTTGTGTTGGCGGTCGCAGCGATTTTTCTATCATCTCTTGCAACACCTAGCAGTGCCAGTCTGTGGCATGGTTCATGTCCGTTTGCTTACTAGTTACGAGTCGTGGCGCTTATCCGTGCCCCGAACTTGTCGCTTGCAACCCTACCAATTCTTGAGAAGCTCCATTGCGTCGCACCAGAGCAGCGAGCCCGTCGCCTCCGAGAGCATCGACTTCGTCTACCAAGACGAGGTCTCAGGCTTGGGTGGGCTTCGGGTCTTGGGATGTCTCAACTTGCACCGAGTTGCTGCCCTTTTTTCGGGAAGGCTCCGAGACCCGGCTGGACCAGATCACCGGGCAGCTCCGAATCAGGGCTTTCCAGGAAGCTGAGTGGAGCCAGGAAGCTGACCGAGAAGCCCCTCGCCAAGCAAAGGGTTGCGGAGCAAACTGCTGGGGTTCATCGACAATGAGAGGCCCGAGTACCTTGGCGTACCCCAAACTGTCAGGAATGCATTTCAAGAGGGACCCCCAGAAGGCCCGCGCAATTCAGATCAAACCCCCCAAGTCCAAACCCGAAACCCTAAACCTTCGTCCCAACTGTTGTGAGCCGTTGCGGGTGTAAAGGCGCGGCTTGAGCAGATCGCCATCTCATTGGGGATGGATGTTGCCGTTCGACTCTCTGCGTGCAGTGGTGCTGATGTGCTCACGTATCTCAGAAGCTCTGTACTTGTCCACATGTCCCGATTTGGTGGATTGCATGCGACTGAGGGCTGGAGGCCTTGGAAACGAAGATCGAGCGGAAGATTCAAGAAGACTGGAAGGCGAATGTAACACGGAGCACCCCCCAATTTGAGAATTGAGATGTGGACGGAGGCTCTCGAAAAGGAAATGGAAGATCTGGAAAAGCGATTTGCCATGTTTGTGATGCTCGTCCGAAGTAGCATGGCGTTTTGTCCCATGTTGGCTGGGCAGCATCCTTCATCAAGGTAGTGGCTGGATGTTCCGCATCCGCACTGCTCAGGAGTCTGAAGGACATCTCGAACCGGGTTTTCAAGCAACTTGGGTGCAAGAAGGGAGGTCCCACCGAGGCACGCAATACCTCTAAACTCCCTCAAGGAATGGCGTCTTGGATTGGAGACACCCCGGAGGATGCCCAGTACATGGTGTGGGTCCTGCACAGGGCTGCTAAACCCTCAACCCTATACCCTAAACCCTAAACCCTAAACCCTAAACCCTAAACCCTAAACCCTAAACCCTAAACCCTAAACCCTAAACCCTAAACCCTAAACCTCGTTGGGCTCAGGTACGAGAAAATGATCCACCAAATGCGCTACGAGCTGAATGCCGAAGGAAGATTTCTCGACTCTCCAGTGACTCCGCGGCCTTGGTGTAGGGTTAGGGTTTAGGGTTTAGGGTTTAGGGTTTAGGTTTTTGTACAGATTTCAGCAGGCCCTCAAACACCGAAGAGCTTTGCAGCCTGTCGGGCCTTTGACCTTCAGCTTGAAGACTAAGGACCTGCTGTGGGAGAATCACAACGAAGAGCGCATCCATGACCAGGCGGGATCAGGAAGATGGCCCGAGTCGGCACAAGATCGCCCCGGTGTGGGCCGAGTAGTCGTAGCACTTCCTGTGTGTGGTGACTGGTACTCGGAGGACTCAGTTGTGGGTTTTTGTGTGCGTATACGGCGTATGCCTCAGGTAGTGAAGCACTTCGACGTGAAACGACGCACGGAACTTCTAAACGAGTCCCGGCAAGAAGTGGTCCGAGCATTGCTCTGCATTCTTTGCTGCATGGCGCTTGCTTGCAACGATGTTTTCAGGAGCGTTTGAGTTACTCGCTGGATTTCCTGCACACCCTCGGGGAACACGTGAGGCCTGAGCGTTGTCAATGCCCCTCTGCCTAGCTACCTGACGATCCTCCACCAGATCCTCCACCATCTCCACCCGATGCCTCTGTTTGTTGCGTTCCTCAGGCATTTGTACTCCGTGCGCCTTGAGAGGACGGGGGGGAAGAGACGCTTCTTAAGGCGACTTAAGTGGGGCACCGGAAGGGTACTCCCTCGGAGGATGATCATCATCCTCATCACCTTGGAGTTGGGAGCCACGACCTCAAAACACATCCTCAGAGTATTCACTTCCTGGCCAATCCTCTGCTATTTGCTCAAGGAACCCCCCTAAAAACAAAAGATAATGATCCCCATATCGCCCTTATAAGGAAGAACCCTATTTTCCGGAATTTTTTTGGGGGTTCTTAAGCACATAGTAGTGGTCATCAGTTGAAGCCTCTCCTAAGGTGGGCGTCATGGGCCTTCTACCAGGAATGTCGCCGCATGCCATCGTCATGGACCCAGCACTTAGGGTTTAGGGTTTAGGGTTTAGGGTTTAGGGTTGCCGGATGATGGGGAAATGGAGCAGGGCATGCGCTGTTCGCTGGTGCTTTCATGTAGTGGTGGTAGGGTGTGTTCTAAATGAATGTCACGACTCACTCAAATCCTTGTTTCCGGGCAAGCTTGCATATACCGACAGTTTACCAGTCATTCCTTTTCACTGACTTGGGAAAGGCGTCCCTTTCGGACATGTGACAGACGTACATTGGGGGGAAGGTTTTCTATAAGGCCGCTTGCATAGGGGCTAGGTTTATTCGGTTGCTCCCTTGTTATATTATCCGAAGCCCGGGCTAGGAAAGATTCAGATAAAGTGCTCCCAACTGCGAAGGTCGCAGCTTAGGGATTCCCGAAGGAAGGGGGGGGGGGTCCTTTCAAACTACGATCCAAGTTTTTTTGCCTTATACAAAGCGTAGTAAGGGAGAGGTATCGTCCTGCAGGGACTACATTTCCGCTTGTTCGTGCATGGACCCGCCGTATGCCTTCGGAACGAGCGTGGGTAATGCGAGCGGAGCGCGTGGTTTCATGGTGTTCTAGTCGGGGGGTTTCTCGTGGGCAGTAAGTTGAATGGCGAAAGGACCGGGAGAGGGCCAAGAGCTGCTACTGCTTCTCTTGATGGTGAGTGTTCACAAAGTCTTTTGAACAAGCATGCTCATTATGAGTATTCGTCTTGGCCTTCCTGCTCTCAGAGCTGTTTGATATTGTTTGATGTCCGAAGCAGTGATCCCTGGCTGACCTTCGGCGTGGGCACGGAACAAGACCACGGCCCGGGTGCGGGCTCCGTATCTGTGCTGTGGTCGCCTTTCGATCCAGTTGCGAAGGTGTGCCGCAAGAACAACTTTAGTCCTTTCTTTGTGCCGATGGACTACTTATTCTCCGAAGGATGATGCCTTGATGGATACATCTCCGAATGATGGTCCCTTCTGCATAAAGGAGACCCTGAACTTAAACGCTAAGCCTGAATGAATTGAGACACCCAAAGAAGATACGATTGTAGAGAACCTGCCTGTTGCTACCTCCCGCTGTGTGGTCACCAGCGAAGCACGTGAGCCAAGCGGAATCTCTAAGTTATGGTCGCATTTAGCCTCCCCGACTTTTGGCTGCCTGGACAAGGGACCGACTCTTGCCGGAAGTCCCCATTTCCGAATCCTCTCTCGCATCCAGGTTTGCACCTGCCCAGTGCCCACCAGGAAGCACAGAATCCCCGCCAAGCAACGAACGGAATTGTCAAAGAAGGAGCCGGCCTTAAACTTCATCCCCATGCACGCCCAAAAGAAGTCCAGCTTCTTGAGCTGCGCGTGGTTTCATGAAGGCACTAAGGTAGAGTCATCATCCCCGTTTGCCTTCCGTATCCCGTCCCATGAGCCACCCAGTGCTCGAGAAGCGCCTGCGCAAATCGGGCCAACGGCCTAAGGAGCCGAGGCTTTGGGGTCAAGGTGCCCCGACCCCTCCTGAACACCGTCAGAAGTTGTAATCTATTGCGACTAGACATGAACAAATACAGAAACAAACTATATGCACACATATATATATATATGTACATATACATATATACATATATACATATATACATATATACATATATACATATGTATAACGGCTGAAAATACTTTTTCCTTGCTACACTGCGAGTTATTATGTACTAAATGCATGCACATAATGCTCGCACCATCTCTAGATATATGTATATATATATACACACACTACATATAGCAACTGTCCGAATCTGGGATATCAGGTCAGCTCACTGAGCCCCGCAGCTCCAGCATCCGAGGCCAGCACGTGACAACAATCGCTTGCCTTTGTTGAACAGTGGTATGCAGAGGGTAATCTTGGGTTCGGGCACCCTCGTTAAAGAAGGGCGTTGAAATGAATAAATCTGTACATACATATATATATGTATATACATATAAATGTATATGCTAAGGAACTTAGAGTTACCCTTCTGATGTTGGCCTCCGTCGTCTGGTAGCTTTCATCGTCTTGAGTGCCCTATTCGGTGTTCCTTCGCAGGAGTGATCCCCTCTGGCCCAGTCGCTACCAGACTGGGAGAGGAGCTGCACAAAGTTGCAGGGCCCTTGGTTGAAGAGTCCTACCCCCCCCGTCCCGTCGGTGGACATCGAAAACCGACTGGCGGACATCGAACGGGAACCGGCGAAAATCCATAGGTCACATCTTGTCTTTCGTTGTCATGATGACTTTTTCGTTGTTCGCCGGTAATATTCCCTAGACTGTAATTTGCATGTATGTTGGGAAAGAACTAGGGTTTTGGGTTTAGGGTTTAGGGTAGGAATCGAGGAAGAAAGTTGTCTACACAGGGCAGTTTGTCGGGAGGACTCTGATGATCGAATCATATGGTTCTTTGCCTAAACCCTGAACTCTATGTCTCTAAGATGTGCAACCCTATATGAACATAAACTGAGGTCAGAAAGTCTCCAAGCGCTTGCTGGGAAAACGTCCTCACCAAACCTGGACTTCAAGGGAACTGGTGGGATGCACCAGCCATCGAAACGCTAGCATCGTGTGATCGATTTCCAGAGTATTTGCTCGGATTTTGCAATTATCATAATCTTTGGTAGCCACTCAATGATCTTTGCCACGTCAGCTATTTCTCTCTTGGAAGTCTTGTTTGGGGGCATCATATGTATACTGCAGGCTTTCAGAGTGATACAAGAGCTTATTTTGCAGGAGTTAGCTCTTTGCACATCAAGACTTTCACCGAACCGGTAACGTGCGAAAATGGGAATCCAGGATAAGCCCCGCGAACATCCAGTGTGAATCCCCATGAGTTGACTATTGTTTGAAGCCTCACCTTGCCATGAGTAAGATCCACGCCGCTCATTAAGCGAATGCCTCTGAGGCTGCCTGGGCTCTCCTTCTCGATGGTTTTCGCCAGGCGCACGATGCGCGTTCAAACTATAGTACGTTGCGCTAGGTAGGTTCAAAAGGAATGCCTCGCTTTTGCTTTCCGAGGATGTGTCGTATAGGGATTGAGACACTTCGGTCATTACATATTTCAGGGCATCTTGAACCTTAAGCCCTAAACCTAAACCCTAAACCCGAAACCCTAAAGCTAGAGCTTCACAGGGATGAGGGATTGAGGTTTCTTGAGTTGGGTGCAGCTCTGCAGTGGGACAGCCTCAACTTCATGTAGAGGGCACACGCTGTTCTTTAAACCAATGCACACATTCCTCAGTTGAGAAGACCCCATCCCTCAATCCCAAGAAAACAAGGGGAAACCCCAGAACTGAGTGCGAGTCCACCGTGGCCTGAGACTGCACCATCTTGGCCGCTGTCGGACGCGGACCTGCTCAAAGGGAACGCACGCAGATTCGCGGGGCTGATATTTGAAGATTCCAGAGTGCTGCATTGCGAACACGCGCGGGCTCATCGGACTGAAACAGCTCTCGATCCCAACAACCGTGGCAGATGCTCACATCTACCTTACGTTTCGATCGCTACAGAGCCGAGATTGAACGCAAAGCGCTTCGCGAAGCAGCACAAGCCAGGAACAAAGCGTGTCATGGTCGGATTGTCTGATGCAAATCGGTGGCTGCAGGTTCCCTACGACAGAGCCCTAGGCCAGTATAGCTCACCCCCAGAAGAAAAGTAACAACACGACTCTACAAGTAGCAGTCGGTAACGCGATCATGTGAGCCCCCAGCTGGCTCTTGTCAGTCCCACAGCTTCCCAGGCGATGGCAAACAATCTTCCCCTCACTCGGCACTTTTGCTTTGGCTTTGCCTCCGCGCTCTCATGACCAGGTTCCTGCGCGATTCAGAAACTGGCCGCGGTTCAGGAACCCAGGGTTCAGGAAACCAGGATTCAGGAAACTAGGCGATTCCGGAAACCAGGATTCCAGAAACCAGGATTCAGGAAACCGGGTGATTCGGCAAGCTGCCCGATTCAGGAAGCTGCCTTCACGCGATTCAGGCAACGACGCGATTCAGGAAACTGAATACATGTGATTCTGGGGGGGGGGATGATAACGTTCATGTCAAGCCGGCTTTCAGTTTCCCGAGTCAGCGATTTCCGCATCTGCGCTTTCCAGTTTCCCGAGTCAGCGGTTTCCGAATCCGGGCTTTTGCGTTTCCTGAGCGGGTTTTTCCAGAATCCGCAGTTTCCAAAGTTCCGAATGCCCGGTATCCGCGTTTTCCAGTTTCCTGAATCAGCAGGTTTCCCGAATTCTGGTTTCCCGAATCCGCGCTGTTGGTTTCCGAGTCTGCTCTTTTCCAGTTTCCCGAAGCAGGGCTTCTTCCAGCTTCGGAATCTGCATGTTTTCAGTTTCCGAATCCAACGCTGACCGAAGCCCCCACCATCCTTGGCAACCTTGCCCTTTGGCCACGGGTCTGCCTCTGTGCCTGCGTTTCCTTTGGCTTTGGCTTTGGGTGCCGGCTTCGTTCTCCAGGGCCAGGGCGTCCATGGACCTTTGCTGTGTATCCATCTCTAGGAATTTTCTCGGTCGATGAATTTTATCAAGAACGCTGGTTGCGCTTGAAGGGGTCAGTGAGGCCTCTGGTCATCCTGTACGAGTTGAACAGTTATAAGGCCCATTCTTGCATTCGAAAATTCAAGGCTGTCTTATTTTAACGTTGCTATAGTTCCAGAAAATAGGCCAAAGAGCTCCGTTGAGTATCCCTCAGCACAGCCAGCAGCAACGGCCACAGTCAGCTCATCATGAATCGCGTCCAGAGTCGGAATGACTGTGTCAAATTTCTAATTAACGGGAATAAAGTATACAGGAGTCATCATTCCATGGACACAACGGAGTCTCATGTCATCTCTAAGTTAGATGCTGTCAAGATGACTCCTCGTAGGCGCCTGCCACGATCCTTGTCCGGAATCTCATCAAGCTTGCCACGGAGGTCGGAAAGCTTCGTGGTGCGGTTCATGAACCCTAAACCCTAAACCCCAAACCCTAAACCCTAAACCCTAAACCCTGAACCCTGAACCCTGAACCCTAAACCCTAAACCCTATAAACCCTAAACCCTAAAAAGCTGGTCCCAGGCCTTTTCCCCCCCCCCCCCCCCCCCCCCGGCGTCGTTGTGTTGCTATTGCTAAAAAGGGGTCCTGTGTGGGTTAGTGAGGATGGAATGATCTAAGTTAGCACCTTCTTTTAAAGTTGGGTTTCAGGGCTCCAGGGCTCAGGGGTTTACATAGAATCTGAGAATTTTGCATCCCGGGCCCCACGGTGTTTTTTCAGAAAGCAGTCCTCCAGCAGAACGTCTGTGGCCACAGGCACTTGTAGACTTGTAGAGGCGTGGCGTTTAGGGTTTTTAGGGTTGAGTGTCTAAGCGTTTAGCCATTAGACCCCCCATTGGGCCGAGTGTTGTGTGAGCTCTTGACGGTGTGAAGAGGGGAGTTTGAGGGGAGTTGGAGGGGTTTATGTCTTTCGAATTTAGGGCTCTCCGGGGTGGGGGGGTGTACAGCGAACGGGCATGTTTTTGTTGTAGGGCCGCAGGGTATGCGGCTTTTCGGGCCGCCTTATCCGCGACCCGTTTGTCTAACAGGTTTAGGGTTTAGGGTTTAGGGTTTAGGGTTTAGGGTTTAGGGCAGAGTCTCGAAGGCGACTCCCGCGACTCTAGGCGTAGACTGTCACAGGCTTTCTCACTCACTCCTTTCCGGTGCGGCCAGGCACACGCAGCCCATCGACGTGCTGAAGCGACTGATCCACACGGTCTGGGCTTCTAAGTATTCAAGTAGATTGAGGAACAATCATGAATTGCTGCGGGATTAGAATCACCCACACGGATGGCAATGTCATTGATTCCAGTTGGTCATGAGAAGAACAAGGAGAACCAGCAAATACTCTGGACCCGAAGCCCCAAACCCGAATAAAGCCTGGACCCCGTGGCTGGGCTTAAGGCTGGCCAGCACTTGCCGGCCGGGAGGGCAACTGCGTAAGTTCTTCCGGCACTCCATCTATTCACTGCATAAGGATTGCGTGCATTTTAGTGTCTGGGGTTTGTACGGTTCCGTTGTTGCAGTGCCCTCTTTGGACCGAGTCCGGACTTGTCAGCTCCAGAGAGCGAGGCGGCGACGAAGAAAGTCTGCCAGAGTTGCATCCCGCTCCTGGGCCATGATCCTCCCGAGCTAGGTGGTGCCATTGATGAGGGCACTGATGGTCATCAGGTCATCTGAATCTTGTGAAGAGGCGATTGCAGCCAGTAGTTCGACTGATGTGACGCTGCAGCCTTTGGTTCAGTGCGCTCCTCATCGTGCCATCATGTCCCTTCGTGGGTTCCTCTTCCTGTTGCCGCTGCTCCTTGGCTGTCTATGCTTGGCACAGCCCCAAAAGGAGGGAGTGGATGATCATGTTGATGATGGAGATTCTGGGGAGGAGGAGGAGGGCGACAATTCCCACCAGAGGCTGGGGAGGCTCCGGGAGGTGAGAGATGAGGCGCGGTCACCTCGCGCAAGATCGCCGTCGCCTTATCCCGAGTGGGAGGATCCTGGCTCTCACCATTCCACAGCAGGGTCATCCAACGATTGCTTCAGCTCATCTTCCTTCCCTGGCATGCCGCAGTTGCAGTGGGGCCCTGCTGGTGTACCGATGGGAAGTGAAGCCCAAGGAATCATGCACGCCTGCTCCAACGCATGCTCCAACGCAGACCCGGCGTACCCTCAGGGAGAGCAGATGGGAAGCTTCGGTTGTGGAGGGGCACATGTCGTGATGCCATCGACCACACATGGCTCCACAACATCTTGCAACGCTGCTGGAGGGCCCCTCCGTCGGTATGTCACAATCGGTTTCGCCAATGGCGTGCCTGGGATGTGTTGGGTCGCAGCTTTGAATTCTCCGCCGCCGTCAGATCACGAATCTCGGAAGGTCTGGGGTGACGCGAATCTCGCATTGTGAGATAGTACCTGGTTTGGTTCTTTGAGGTTGTTGTGTGACATGTATCACGGGGGTCTTTTCCCGGGTGTTTGCTCAGAGATGTCCCAAGTGCCACTGTAGCTAAGGATGGGCATCCACTCCGAACCTTATGAATGCGAGCACGGTGGGATCCTCTACGTTGTCTTCTTCATACAGTTGTCTGTGTGCTTGCATTTCTGCCGTGATGGACTCAAGACCAAATCCAACAAGGGCTGCAACCGCAAGCACGGCAATTGCGCAAGCTGGCACGGGCCCGACAACACTCATGAAGGCCTGCTGGCTTGGATCCATGCAGGCCTCAGCAACTTCTCGAGAGCGTTCGCACAGCCCGTACTGCCAGCAGCGCCACCGGTTCTTTTCGTGCCCATGCAAGTGATGTGCTTCCCGGTGGTGATGCCGGCGCCAGGGCCCCAATTGCCCCCATTGCCCCCATTGCCCCAAGGGCCCCAGGGGCCCCAGGGGCCCCAGGGGCCCCAATGGTCCCAAGATGCTCAAGAGGAGGCGACGGTCCACACGACTCCAGAAGATGCGGGTCAGACCTCTCAAGGAGCTCAGCCGCACCAGGAGGACCAGGAGGTGGCGGGCATCCGCCCAACTTCAGCCTCAGCTGAAGCCGATGATGATCCAGAAGCATTGGCAGATGATGGGCTGAAGACACCGTAGGTCCTGTAGGCTTTATGTAGAGACGGGGCTCTGAGTCTGCGAACAGAAACTTAAGTCTGTACATTGACGTGGCATGTCATGGCGTCTGCGGATGCTTGGAGCCCTGGAGCAAGGATGGCAGGCGTTCAAGGTTGCGCGGTGGCCTCTACAAGCTGCCAGTGTCTTGTCGTGGACGACATTGTAGTGCCTTGCACATTTGTGCAAATGTATAGAAAGCGCCGCAAGACTGGTCCTGGCAGCCGGCAGCTCATGTTACAGGCCGTCGAGTCCAAAAACTCCGCGATTGATGTCCCCCCCCAAGCCCCAACAAAGCGAAACTGTTTTGGCACGTGGGTCACGTGACTCAGCATTCGGACTGCAGAATGTCTTGAAGTCAGGGCTGCTCATGTGACGAAGCCTCCCTTGGGTAATTTGGCTCACTTTGAAGTCCTGTAGGTTCTGTATAGGTTGTTGTTGCAGCGTGGCAGCGCGCTGTTGAATGCTTGTTTGCAAGATCCCTAGCCACAGCTGGCGCTTTTGTAGGTACATGGTAGGCTGTTGGGTCCCCATGGTGGGTGTCGACATCCTCCTGGTGAAAGGTGAGAACGGCACAGTTGAAAAAAGTTCAACCCTAAACCCTAAACCCTAAACCCTGAAACCTAAACCCTAAACCCTAAACCCTAAACCCTAAACCCTAAACCCTAAACCCTAAACCCTAAAGCCGAAAGCCTAAACCCTAAACCCTAAACCCTAAACCCTAAACCCTAAACCCTAAACCCTAAACCCTAAACCCTAAGCCCTCAACTTGAAGGCGGGAGCTGGCCTCGAGCCCGCCCCCCAACAGTTGAATTTGGCCATGTCCGAAAATCGGGGAACCCAGCGGGGGTTCATGCCTTCACAATCGACGTTTTGGGCCTTGGGAAGTTCTTTGAATTGGGGCTTAGGGGTTTAGGGTCTCAGGGTTTCAGGGTTTCAGGGACTGGGGTCTAGGGTTTCTAGGGTTTCAGGGTTGCCAGGACTGAGGGAAGCTTAGGGGCCTGGGTTTGCACGGTGGCCTGAAGCACTTGGGGTTGGTTTTGCATTCCGAACGGATCATCCGTGGCGTTTCCGGTAGCTACGATCAACGTGCAATGCCAGCACGGCAATCCAGACTTGATATCCGTCTATAACCCGCTAGACAAAGAGAAACCGGCAGTAACACCTTTCTCTACAACTCCGCATCCCGTGACCCACATCTGAGAGCCATGGCGATGGACTTCTTGCGGCTACTACCGATAGGCCTTCTCTGAGACTTTGCTGTTGCCGCTTTTGTTGCCGTCCGTTCCTGCTCTCACAGCTTCTGCTTGACCTAGTTCTTCCTATTCATTCCAGTTCCCTCTCACTATCACTGCAGGTGATGCAAGCAGCTCCTCAGCACAGGTGCGAGCTTGTGAAGACACTGAACCACTGAGGATGATTTCCCTGCAGTCATGTGTGCTCTGCCGAGGCCGGCTCGCGGGACATGGCGCTTGCCAGTGGGAGCTCTGCACTCCAAGATGAGGACAGAAAAGCTTGTCGCGACCCTGAACCCTAAACCCTAAACCCTAAACCCTAAACCCTAAACCCTAAACCCTAAACCCTAAACCCTAAACCCTAAACCCTAAACCCTAAACCCAACACCCTAATTGGGGGCTCAGGATTCTACAATCGACGACCTGATGCGGCTCATCGAAGATGGTCCGGGAGTCGACTCTTGCAGGTTGGGGCCAGAGAGAGCGAGAGAGCGAGAGAGCGAGCGAGAGAGAGAGAGAGAGAGACAGAGGGCGAGAGAGAGCTAAATAAATAAATAATTATAAAAATAAATATAACTAAATATAAATAAATATAAGTAAATGTAAATAAATATAAATTAATATAAATAAATATTCATAAATATAAATAAATATAAATAAATATAAACAAATATAAATAAATATAAATAAATATAAATAAATATAAAAAATATAAATAAATATAAATAAATATAAATAAATATAAATAAATATAAATAAATATAAATAAATATAAATAAATATAAATAAATAGAAATGTATAGATATACACATATATTCAAAAATACAGGCATGTAACAGTTTTATGTGATATGCATGTATATGCATATGTATATAAATCTTACATGCTGTGAAAAACACTACACACACACTCTATATACTGTATATGCCATATTCTTCATATACATATTATACAGTATATATATATATACACATATGTGTACGTACACATTCATTCATTCATTCCTTCAATCATTCATTCATTCATTCACTCACTTACTCACTCACTCACTCATACACATATATATATATACACACACATATTCTTCATACTACATAGAAGTATCCACCCATACATATATATATATATATATAGATATGTAGAGTATATTCATTTTGTGTGCTATATATATATACTCATACATATGTATATACATATACACACATACACATACACACTATATAGAATACGCGTACTTTTATGGTTTATGGACTATCACTTTACCTATCTATCTACCGATCTCTTAAACATAATAAACATCAAATAGTCATAAAGATAAATACATACATAAAAATAATAAACAAGTAAACACATAAAGATACAAATAAATCAAAATAACAACAAGTATAAATATAAATATGAATATAAATATAAATATAAATAGACATATATCAAAAAATAAATAAATAGATAAATAATAAATATATAGATATATATATATATGCATGCATATACATATATGTGCTATGGGTACCCGTTACTTTCTCTAGGCGGAGCTTCGAGCAAAATTTGCCCCTGGGACCTGATTCTTGCCAGGGACCAAGACGTCGACGAGCTGCTCAAGTCCTTGCAGCCCAAAGAAGGTGGGAACCCTAAACCCTAAACCCTAAACCCTAAACCCTAAACCCTAAACCCTAAACCCTAAACCCTAAACCCTAAACCCTAAACCCTAAACCCTAAACCCTAAACCCTAAACCCTAGACCCTAGACCCTAGACCCTAGACCCTAGACCCTAAACCCTAAACCCTGAACCCTGAACCCTAAACCTTAAACCCGGAACAAGGTTGAGGGTCCGGCTGCATTTGGGGTGGGCTTCTGGCTGAGTTTAGGGTTTGGGGTGCTTGCCGGAGCATGAGTGATGGAATTCTTCAAGAACTGTCGTGAGCTGACTGCATGCCTCTGGTTCGGCTCAGCAGTCATGACGTAGACATCGCCGGCAGATGCGGAGAAGCCATGAACCGGACGAACATCTCCCGGCTAGGCCCACTGCCTTAAGACAAGCCAAGCCAAAGCATGAAGCCAACCTTGGCTGCTGCCGGTACCCCTGCCATCACGGCATTCGCGGCAACTTAAGCGCAATTGTAGGACATTGTAGGGGCACTACAATTGACACAAGCACAGACCATCCAGTTTCGTTGCCGTGCTCGGACATGCCGCTGCCAAGCGTGCTCGACAGCTGCCTGGAGACCCGCCTGAGAGTTCATCCCGACAACTCGGGCACAGGAAGCAAAAACGCTACAAACCCTCTAAGCCCGGCGCAAGTCCTTTTTTTTGCATCGTTCCTTGAGCCTTGAGTATATGCCACTTCCTGGCGTAAGAGTGCACTTGTCCTGCGGCGGATGTTGCCTGGCAGCTGTACTCACTTTGCTGGGGCAACCCTGCACCCTAAACCCCCAAAATGCTTGAAACCATTCCAAGGATGCGGTCAGCAACAGGTTGGAAGAATTGTCGTGCCCACGCCTGCAAGAAGTCCATGTCCATGTCTCATATGGTCTCCGAAACGTGGCAGAGCATGTCTTGTGCTCTCTTGGGCTTGCCGGTGGTTCTGTCCATGTTTTTCCACGTTGAAAATCGCTTTGGCAGAGGTACCATTGCAAGCAGTTGCACGCCCTGAACCAGTCGCTGGAAATGGAGAACGCTTCCATGCAGCCTGGCCTTGGTCATCTAGCCATTGTGGTCACGAAAGCTTGCGTCTAGGGAGCCTTTCGTAGGACCGTTGCTCGATTCTGCTACCAAGCACCCGAACTCTCCCTTCTCCCTGCCCCTCCCCTGACCTAACCTGGTCTTGGCTTTCGTTTGCCTGGCTAGACGTTGCTTCTTCGCACATGGCCAGGCGTCTTAAGTTGTCCGATGTCGAGCAGACACTACTCCCTCCGCGGCGGGATTTCGAGGCCGCACGGGAAGCGCCAAAACCAAGAACGCCTCAAAGGCAGAGCTCCAACTTCGTTGTGAGAATCCAGTTCCAGAGGTGTTCTGCGCGCACTTAGCACATGCTTCCGGCCAAGCACCTCCTTGCAAAGGTGTTCACCTGCGCCGTGTCAACACCTGAAGTTGCAGAGGCCACCTCGGCTTTGGGTTTATTAGAGTTCAGGGTTTAGGGTTTAGGGTGTAGGGCGGGTACGTGGCTGACCTTCCTTCACGCCCAGCCCAAGCCACCTGCGCTTAGACCTACCTTCTCGAAGCTTCTCTACTGCACTTGTCGCGGTAAGTGTTTTTCCATTGACCACAAGAGTACTTCCCATGTCTAGATCCAATTCCCTGTGTCCTCCTGCATTTCCTTGTTGCTTCACAACTCCTTTCGGTACTGGCGCCTGTAGCTCTTCGGGAGCTCCAATCTCTCTTCCAAATTCTTCTTCCATTTCCTTCTTTTCCTCTGGTGCTTCCTCTGGCGCTACCTCTTCTACCATGCACTTGTCCAGATACTCTGGGGTCCTATGCAAGAATGTGAGAATCTCTGATCGAAATAGCAATCCCGGTATTCGATCTTCCAAATCGGGTTTCAATCACTTCCCACAAATTTCGGGGCCTTTTCTTATTTGTTGCAGGTCGTCCAGCCAAAAGCTCCGAAAGACGTCTTCTTGCGTCCCGAAAGCCTCCCGGAAGCACTTCAGAAAGTGCCACGTCGGGGCTTGGCATGAGTGGAGGCTACATATGGAGCAGGGTTTATATATTACCAGATTGGTGAGTGTATATAAGGTTCCCTTTTAATATTGGTGAGTGTATATATTTGGTGTCCTTTCGGGGGTACAAGAAATATAAGCCCTGCTGTTTATCTTCTGCAAGCCCAGGCGATGACGAGGTGCAGCTGCCGGCGCCTAAAAGACTCAGACGCCCGTGACGATTGGTTTAGGGTTGGGGGTTTAGGGTTTAGGGTTTCGGGTTTAGGGTTTAGGGTTTAGGGTTTCGGGTTTAGGGTGTAGGGTTTAGGGTTTAGGGTTTAGGGTTTAGGGTTTAGGGATGATTCACCATCCTTCAGGGTTTGAGGGGATTCCGGATGCAAATAGATGTATGCGGGTTTTTCGTGCGAATCATGGGCCCTGATGAGAAACGTGCCTTTGGCAAATGATTGACGTGGGGCGCAGGAACCAAGCAGGCAAACAGGTAGGAGATTGCTTGTTGATTCCTTAAAATGGAATATGGCACGGCCTTAGCTGCTAGTAGCAGTCTTATACATGGGTGCTACTCTAGTCCTAGTCTTTGCAATGGCAGCTCGGAACTGTGGATGGAGACGGGCGGGCCGTGGGACGCGGTGGCAATGAGTGATGTGGCGAAGCCCACCGACCTAGTAGGCTCCGTGCAGCAGTGGAAACAGGTGCTGGAGGACAGGTCGGGCTCTGTGACAGCACTCCGCCATGCCCTGGACGAGCTTCGCAAGCTCGGAGCACTGCCTACGAAGATCCTGCAAGAGACTAAGGTTGGTGTCGTGGTGAATCAACTGGGCAAGGATGCCGGCACCCACGAAGAGGTCCGAAATGCGGCGCGGGCTCTGCTGGCGGACTGGAAGGAGATGCATCGCAAGCGCACGAGGGAACCACAGGAACCTGTTTCAGCCGCCGCAAAGAAGCCGAAGCAGGCCACGGAAGGGGCCGAAGCAGTCCATGTCGATTCTTCAGCTGCGGTCGGCGCGGCTGGCGTGGTTGGGAAGCTGGGGCAACAAAGGCAGAAAGTCTTGCAGATGCTGGAGGTGGCCCTGACCTTGGGGAATGCTCCCAAGGATGCCCCAAGGGATGCTCCGAAGGATGCCGCGCATGCCTTGGCAGAGGCCGTCGAGGAAGCGCTGCATGCCCAGCTGGGCTCCGACAAGGCCTACATCAACCAGTCACGGGCCATCTTGTTTAACCTCAAGGACGCTTGGCTTCGCCTTTCATGTTTTACATGTCGTCTTGCTTAGGATCCTGTCCGCTGTCTTGCGACTCCTCTGCCGAGACCGTAGAGTTGTAGAGCACGACACGCGTGGCACCGCAACCAAACTGTAATATTGAAAGCTGGATCTGAAATTCAGACGCACTAGGTTCCCTCAGATATTCCCCGGAAGCTCCTGATCCCACCCCGAAGTCGGGAAAGCTCCGAGCTCTGAAGCACTTCGGAAGAACCAGCAAAAGTCAAAGCTACGTGTACAGCAGTCCTCATCTCGAAGGACGCCAGCAACGGCTCCTTTCGGCAGAAGCTGCTCGATGGAAGCCTGGAACCCCACCGACTGCCGCGCATGAGCAGCGAAGAGATGGCCAGTGACCTGAGGGTGGCTTCGAGAGCCGAGCTGCGCCAGCAAGCTTTGCAGGAGTCGGCGGTCAAGGCGCCCGCGGAGCGTGTGACCGATGCGTACACCTGCGAACGATGCAAAGGAAAGCAGTGCACCTATGTCATCGTGACGCCAACTTCCTGCGTGAACGGGGAGCACAGTTGGACCTCGGTGACATGCCTCTCATGCGACCATCGCTGGAAGACATAGCATCACGAAGAATCAGGAGCTACTTCGCGGCGGCGGGATGGTCGTCAGATTTCATCCGGGAAGAAGCGTGCGGGGCCGTCCGTGGACCGCAAGACGTCGCAGCTCTTCTGCGAGTTCAAGGCCAGATCAGTGAAGCCGGCGGATCCCAACCACCATCTCACTTCTGCGAAGACAGAGAAAGGATGCGCAAGGGCCTGGTCACGATGCACAGGGATCTAATTATTATTATTATTATTATTATTATGATTATGATGATTATTATTATTATTATTTTATGATTTTTGTTATGAGTATTAATATTGTTTGTTGAGTTCTTCGTCCATCTTGTCCGAGGCCTGGCCTGCTTCCCTCATCAGTGTCACCCATGGAGCCGGCGGCTCCGCATCCGTGGCTCCCTGAAAGCACCTTGCCCGAAACATCAGCAGCACTTCGATGACTGCTAAAAAAGGCGCAGTGACCCCTGACCCCCAAACCCTAAACCCTAAACCCTAAACCCTAAACCCTAAACCCTAAACCCTAAACCCTAAACCCTAAACCCTAAACCCTAAACCCTAAACCCTAAACTCTAAACCCTAAACCCTAAACCCTAAACCCTAAACCCTAAACCCCAGAGTTTCCTATGCTTTTTGCTGAATTCCAGGCAGCCCGGGTGGAGACAGCCTCCGGGCCATCGGTGTGGCGCCCTCCCGCATGACGTCCTTCCAGACTTTCCGAGACATCGATGATGACTCCTGGCAGCATCTTGCGGACACGCGCTGTCCAGGAATCGACTGGTACTAGCAAGAACAAAAGGGCAACAATCAAGAAGAACATATTGTGAAGACAACGTCAAAAGAAGAACGAAGGTAATAAGACCATAACTGGCTATAAACAGAACCACAACGGAAAAAGATAAGATAGATTTGGATAGTCGGTAAGGCCAACAGCACATCGCGTCTAAGGACGATCCGGAGCACAGTATGGATCCGGAGTACGTAGATGCGAAGAGCATGCGCTTCGACACACTGGCCTCGCTGGCCTGTGTTTTGAAGCGCTGTTTGTGCGAACGGTTTAGGGTTTAGGGTTTAGGGTTTAGGGTTTAGGGTTTAGTGTTGACAGGTGATCCAGGTGATCCATGTGCCCTGTGTATATCGTTGGTCATGGTGCGGCAGGTTTCGCATCGTCTACAACTGATCACCGACACCAGGCTCGCAGACGACAACTTCTTCCACAAGGGCGAGTGGTATCAGACTCTCTCACTCTGCGGATCACTGGAAGCCTGGTGCGCATTCACGGGGTGTGGCTTGGGGTGGCACTGTCTTGACGGCACTGTCTCCCTTGAGAAGATGCTGCGAGTCGATTGAATCAAGAGAGGAAAAAAAGTCCAACTAAGGAAGAAAACGCTGCGGAGAGGCTCTCCGAGGTCATCGTCAACAGTGTGATCTTCAAAACCGAGCCATGTCAGCAATCTGGCGCTTGTGAAGCGGCTTCCGGGCAACTGCAATGTAGGTGCTCTTGGTTCACATGGATCTTGACCGTCTGTACCCCAGAATGTCCATGACGCGGCCCAGGTGAGCACCCTCGCCATTGCGGCAAACGCGCTTTACATTGGCATCCGCACAGACCAGCAGCCTGCTTGAACCCTCTGCCCCATCAGCCCGGTTCCTTATGACCAGGAGGATCGCTGAGTTTTTTTTGCCTTACGCCATGCATGTGGCCGAGGCAACTTAAAGACAGCTATCTCAGAATCAACGGAGGGCAGACGACTCCGATATCCAACGCCTTTGCCCCTTGGTCTTCAAGAGATGTTCCTACTGGAGGGGGTGGGCTGTCGTGCAAGACCACATACCGCAGGGTCAGGGCTTGTGTGTCGATATCTTTAACATGCCATGAGTGCCATCCTGTTTTTGCGATGTTGAAAAACGGCGCGTGTGGTCTTGGCATTCTCGCCCAGCGCAGAACCCAGAGCCCAAACCCTCAGAGCATGAAATGCTGTCATATGCGGGCTCATGGCATCGCAATCTTTTTTTAAACGGTCCTGCAATCGCTTACTGTGGCAAGTGCGTTCAAAAGCGGCCCAAAAGATTGCACGAAATCGAGTTTACCTGATCTGGTTGCTGAGTTCTTTGGTTTGATATCAAACGGTTGGCCCTCCGAGTCCCCCCGCACCCTCGACATGTTTGCTCTACAGAAACAACACTCGCAGTGGATTGGAAGACAGCTCTTTGTGCTCCTTAGCTATGGTCCGTGCTCGCTTGGCGCAGAGCTTCGTTACGTGAAGCTCAAATGCGCGAAGCTTGCACGGATAATTACGTAAGACCTTTGCAAAAGCTTCCAATCCACTGGGGTGATGAGTTTGTGAAGGCTGCAGGCTTGGGTTGGGATGTCTCCCCCCTTAGTTTATGAAAGCATGTGCGTATGTAGTTTGGCTGTTCAAACCTGCGTTCATACATTGCGGCCGGCGTCAACCTAGCAGAAGAGTTCAAGGTGCCGAAGTCTAAAGGGACCATAAGATACAAGACTGACCACACCACGACATTCTATGCTATCCCCCTCATTGCCATAAACCGATCAATCTCTCCGTGCTCTGCATTTCAAGTTTCGGTGTCGCTACGTCTCTGTGTGCCTGCATATGTTCGCTGCGAGCAAGCTGGTGCGTGAGGAGTATGCTTTCTTCGTCTGGTTCAGCGGTGAACTGCTCCTGTATCTGGTTGCCTATCGCACGAGCTTCTTCATAGGCGAGACAATGTTGCATCCGCATCCATCGTATGGATTGGACTCAGAGGCAACCAGCCGTGTTTTACCCTCTCTTGCGGAAAAGGCAGAAATTGGCACTGGAACTTGTTCGACCTCTTCTTAATAGCCAATGCAGCGCTCGAGCTTCTGATTCCTGTGTCTCGGTTGCAAGCTTTTGCGTAGCTGATGCAACAGGGTGTAAGCCACACTTTGTGAGGACTTGTTCGCGAACATGTCCTTCCTCAGAATTTGCCGCGTTTTTCGACTTGTTCGAGTCGTGCGCCAGAAGCTCAGCCCACACAACCCGCGCCCGGCTGAGCAGCTCGCTGGTCACTCTTGGTTTACGAAAATAGTAGGACCCCCTAATATTTATAGATCCGCATAGTAGGACCCGCCACATGAATGAGATGCAGCCTCGCGGGCATGGCTTGGAAGCCACGTTAAGGGAAGATTTCTGGTAGACGCTGTACATTAAGTTAATTAGTTTGAATTAATTCAATTATTTTGATTATCTTACTTAATCTAAGTAAGTATAGTTGAAGGCTTGAAAAGTGTTTCTATTTTCGAGCAATCTTCTGAGGTCTTGTTCGCACTGTCAAGTGGCTCCGATCGTTGAGGCAGTGCTTGCCTGGGGAGTTGGGCGGCGATCAGGGTTTACCGGGTGCTGCCCCTGAGTCTTTGCTTGGTACTGCTTCGACTCTTTCAACGTATGTGCATTGGCGTGTTTGGGCTTTCGCATCTGAAACTTAGTGTCCATAGCATGATGTTCAACCGAACGTGGGATCGCTTGAAGAGTGCTAGGGGAGCACCGCTAGCTTCTTGTCTTGCGAGAGCTCCCAACACGTCTTATAGAGGAGTTTCGTCGAGCTCCTGTCAGAAAGAAAAACAAAGTTTCAGAGAAGCGACCAAAGGCTCATGATGCGGTGATGTAGTTTACGGGAGCTCCTTCAACAGCTCTTGCCAGCAAGAATCAATCCATGTGAGCTTCGCTAAGGGGTGCAGAGAACAACCATAGCCACTAAGAACTCAATCTCACAGTCATCTAGAGAAGGTACCGTGAGCAGAAAATCCCCCATTGACAGTCGCCTGCCTTCATGTCATCTCTCTCACTCTTGTTCCAAAACCTCGTTCATCCATTCTTTGCCATCACAAGAGCACGCACGTGTTCGGCTTTTTCTGTGGTTTACCGGGACATATGGACTTCAGGTTTTTCGAGGTTTCGATCTGGTTTCCGATTTCCTGACTTCTCTCGCCTTTCCCGCTTTCGGATTTCCATTTTCAGTTGCACCACAGAATTAGAATTTTCCAGGAGAAATAGATGGTACACATACGTATAGGTACATGCATAAGCATAAATGAGTATGTACATATATATATATATAAATACACGCAACAAATGAGATTTAAAAAAACATATATATATATATGTATATATATATTTATGTATGTATGTATGTATGTATGTACGTATGTATGTATGTATGTATATATATATATGTATATGTGTGTATATACATACGAAAAATGTATATAGACAGGGGGTTACTATTCTTCCTGTAAACTAGTATAAAATAGTATACTGGGGTGGCCGTGCCTGTTAATCTGGCCGGCCATCTTGCAGCTTGTCGCATTGTCCCCACACGATGAACTTCACCCCACTAGCTGTGTTGATGCCGTGAGGACGATGTTGTTTGCCATGATCAGCTCACTGGGATCCCTGATATGGGAGCCTCAGACTTCTTTGTCAATCGCTCGCGCGCGTTGCGTTGTGTGCGGTTTGCGGCCGTATCTGTAATGTAGCTAGCCGCATAAGCATGCAGGATGGCCTGGTGCTTGCATCTGCAACCAAGGCGTTCGTGATGATTTGCTTCATTATGCAACTTCGTCGGTTAATGATTTTTGATCACTCCGGCATGATGCTAGTTGATGGCCCCACACACACATAGTGAGACTCAAGATACAGTTGGTTCAGAGTCATGCTGTGACAGGCTCGTAGTTGCCACTGAGGTTCGTGTTTAGCATCATCTTTGGCAACGCTGCTGTGGCCTACTTTGAGAATGTGAGCTCAACTGATCAAACCGACCTGGACAATGCTGGGGCCTTGTGGGCTAGTCTGTTGCAGCACATTCGGGAAGAAGCTGGTGGCCCAGGCCGAGGCGGTGTATGACACCTTTGGAAGCATCTACGAATCCTTCGCGGCGGGCTTGAACATTGGCTAGGCCTTGCCAGCATTGAGTCTAGACCGCTTTTTGTACTTCGCAGCTGAGGTAACATTGTTCGGTGCCATATTCGGAGGGACGGCAGCCTGCCCTGTGCAAATCAAGCTGTTCACTCCGCAGCTTGTTTTTTCGCTTTTGGGTTGATCTGATTGACCTGCTGATGCCAAGGACTGGATGATGTTTCAGCCCATCTTACGTTTGCTAGGCTCTGATGGTTATGGTGAGCTGCAACATGGCTCGAGGTAGCCCCAAAAGAAGGTTTAGGGTTTAGGGTGAACGGAAGACCAGTGCGCGTCCGAGAATCTAAGAAAAGTGAGGAGTGCCAAGCCACCTCTCAGGTACTTCTGCATGTTCCTTTTTTACATCGGCTTTTGCTGCACCCTTAGTGGGGTGGCTTGTTGTTCTTCGCCATTTTGTGCTTCGGTCCTCAAGTCCCACCCTTGAACCCTCTGAGGCTTGGTTGGACTTCTGAACGTGGTCACGGGTATCTTCGTTGACAGTGCTGTCACAACCCGAACGGAAGACGAGGCCGGATCCTAAGTATCTTATCCCCTCAGCACCACCACGGGGCCCCCCCTTCCTTGCAATTCTTGAATATTTCACAGTTGTTCAAGGATCCCTGTTTGCATTCTGATATGAAGTAGGGTTCATGTGCTTCATGTTAAGGCTTTAAGGCTCAGGGTTTAGGATGCTAGAAATTAAAACCCTCCTTCCTATGGCAGGTGGTGGACTCGTACCGCGAAGATTTGCAAAGAACGTCAGACGAAGTCAAGCGCAGCTCGGAGTTCAGTCTGGGTTTAGGGTTTAGGGTTTAGGGTTTAGGGTTTAGGGTTTAGGGTTTAGGGTTTAGGGTTTAGGGTTTAGGGTCTGGGGTTTAGGGTTTAGAAGGGTTTCGAGAATGTCATTCTTCCCAGGTATCTTTCATTCGGCGGACATCGGGGACTCTGGCCGGTTGACTTTAGAGGCCAGGAGGATCAGTGTTACGCCTTGTTTGGCTGCAGTGTGCTACCTTGGTATGGCTGGATGTGTGAGGCGTTTTCCCAGTGTTTGAAGCAGAACGCTTGGGTTGCAGCCTATTTTGCTGGCCTGGATATTGGAGCAGATGATGCAGGCAGGGGTCGTGCAAATCCCCATGCCTGAGCATGCAAAGCCTCGCATAGGTACAATCTTCACCTTGATGGACACGAATAACAGCCACTGCCCCAGTGGATGAGCCCCCAGGGGCCACCAGCGAGTATCATTGCCTCAAGATGTGCTTTCCCTTGTCACATCTCTGACTTTGACAATGACTGAGGTGGCGACATCACAGTAGAGGAGTTTGTGCAAGGCACCATGAAGCTCAAAGGGCATGCGAAGAGCATTGATATCTTCGCTCCTCGACCGGTTTTGGGGCTGGCTGCGAAAGAAGACCTTGTCAGCAAACTACATATCTGACAGTATCATGAATACGCATGCTTGGCAGCGTATGGCTCCAAGTACTGCGCAGTTTTAAGCCGCAAGGTCTCTTGAGCCAAGGGTGTTCAGGAAGCCTTATGAATAGATGAGGGGGCGCTATGAAAACCCCTAAACCCTAAACCCTAAACCCTAAACCCTAAACCCTAAACCCTAAACCCTAAACCCTAAACCCTAAACCCTAAACCCTAAACCCTAAACCCTAAACCCTAAACCCTAAACCCTAAACCCTAAACCCTAAACCCTAAACCCGACCTGAGGCTATCATGTTCGACATGACCCGCCTCGGGTTGCAAGTCCAGAAGCTCTGCTCTCTCGTGGAGGATCAGTTTCGCGACGTAAAGCGCCACTTGCCCGACAAAGACTGGGGTCCTCCTGGTCTTGCGAAGTGGGGTCTACATTGATGTTCGTTGTTGGTGAGCGTAGGGTCCTTAAAGTGGCGAGTACATATAAATAAATAAATCAAGAATAAACAAATGAAGACATAAATAAACAAAAAAAGAATAATTACATACATAATAAACATATGCATATATGAAAATGTACAAATATATGTGTATATGTATATATATATATATATATCTATGTATATGTATATCTATATCTATGTCAAGATTTATATTTATATCTATATCTATAGTATCTCTATCTCTATCTCTATCTATATCTATTCCTATATCTATTATATCTATACCTATGTCTACATCTATTTCATATTTATATCTATATCTATAACTTTATCTATATCTATATCTATAGCTATATTATACACATACATATATACATATACATATACATATACATATACATACATATATATATATATATATATGTATGTATATATAGACACACATATATAGGTATATACATATATACATATATAGCGGTGTTTTTGTGGGAGTCACAGCGGCCCCACACTTCGTGTGCTCCATCATCCAGGCATGGTGGAGCCCGATAGGCCGTTGACGAGGAAGCGGCTGTGCCTTGGCAGCTCCGTATTGGTTCCCCTTTGGTGTTTTGAGTTTTTGACGGTCCTGAACCCGAAGCCCTAAACCCTGAACGCGGTTGTTCTGCCTGGAGGTTCAAGCCTCTGAAGACGCTGATGCAGGAGCTGGATGAAACTGAGGCTGGCGAGGATCCAACCAGGCTGGCTTCAGTCTAAATTGAGGTCCCCCTTGCAAGGGGGAAGGGGGGGGGAGGGGTTGCACATCTTGTCAGCCGTAAGGGCTTGCCTGCAAGGGGGGGTCCCTAGCTTAGAACAAGAACTTGCGTTTTGCGGAGCATGGACACGTGGTGTGAGTTGCAAGTCTGTGCAGGTCTTGCCGGTTGAGACTTCTCAAGAGACTGTCGCAAGCCCGAGTTGCGTGAGACCCCAAGCCGAAGGCATGTTGCCGGCCTCTCAGCCGGACGTGGTCTTCCCTTGGCCCCCCCTCTCTTGGCAAGTGCTGGTCTCTTTGGAGCCGTCAGTTCAACACTAAGCTTCTGGCCAGTCTAGAATTTAGAAGAAGACCTCGTCTGTTTTCAAGATGAAATTCAGATCTCCATCTTGTAGGCTCGCCATCAGAACCCATGAGGGATTTTCACGCAAGATGCTGGTCAAGTCTGCTTTCTGATGGCGACGAGAGGGCGAGGCGCTGACACAACTCCCGTAGATGAGGGGAGACTTGTGCCGTGCTCCTCTTGCTCTGCCACCTGTCGTGCTCCCAGACATCCCCCGTCTTTGCATCCTCAGAGCACTTCATGTATATATATATATATAATTATATATATACATATACATATACATGTATATATATATATATATATATATGTATACGTAGAATATGCATGTGCATATCTATATGTATGCCGAGATGCGAGCAGAAAGCATAAAGGGGTACCTCTGCTCGTACGGAGTCGGTTGTCTTGGTGTGGTCGCCGCGATGGGAAGATGCATGGTTAGAGTGTCACCTTTCTTCTCATCGTCCGCTTAAAGCGACGTTCGCAAGTCGTGTGAGTCGTGGCTAAGAGAAACATGTGCCCTTGCGGCCCCTTGGCGCTTGCTCACTGAGCCATGACACTCCGCGCATTTGCACAGATGATTCTCTGGAGAGGCAGCCCTCTCTTGCGGCCCTCAGCCGCTCCAGCACGGAACTGAGAGTCCAGAGGAACTCGTAGTGCACCCAGGGTTGTACCCCTTCATCCTGGGCTTCGAGTTCTGAGACAAGTGCTCCCTGGCCCCCCAAGGGCAGCCCGAAGAGCTTGGTGCTCGAGGGGGAGGACATGCTGTGATCCTTGTGTGGGGATCGCGTGTGGTCTTCCTGCGTGACGTCTCCCTGAGTCCACTGAGCACATGCGACTTCAGATATGTTTTGTTCCGTACGATTTACTATCACTGCATATGATCTGATTTTATATTGTATTCTACAGCGTGTACACATATATATATATATGTATATGAATATATAGCTTGTCCCTTTGACGTCTCAGATTGCTCGAACGCTGAAATCCTTGCAGTGGACAGGCACGGTTGCAGCCACTTCCCTGCAACAAGTCGATACGAAGGGCTTCCAACAAGTTAGGGATACCGGGATACCTGCTTTTAGACTTCCATGTCGCTTAGCTTAGGCCCCTCGTGCAGTAGTAGTCTCCTTAAGCCCCTATTTATAGTCACAAAGCCCACGAAGGCATAGCCTAAAGGTACTCCGGATTTTTTGGAGACACCCGAACCCGAGTAGCTCCCGTGGTAGCTCCTGGGGCGCCGTGGCCATGGCCTTGCGCAGCCGTGAGTTGAGCAGTGCATACCGCGCGGCCGGACGAGGGTTTAGGGCTTTAGGGCTTTGGGGCTTTAGGGCTTGAGGGCTTTGGGGCTTTGGGGTTTGGGGGGTTTTGGGCTTTGGGGGTTCAGGGTTCAGGGTACAGGCGTGGTATGTCGACTTGAGATTTGAGATGCTGCCGCGGGCGGCCCAGCCTCACGTGCGCGGAACATCTCTGTTGCCATCCATCTCTCGAAGGTGTACTTGGCATCGCCCCTGAAGTTCTGCACTACCTTGCACTCATTCTCACGTGCTCCTCAGCAGCACTGGGAGGGTGAAGCGACACATGTGCGGCAGTTTCTTTGGTCGCAGGAACTCTCAACAACCTGCAAGTGTGGGGAGAAGAAGTCAGTATGGAAAACTCCCCCCCCCCCCCATGTCTTCCCCCACATGTGGAGTAGTTTGAGTTCACTTCCTGGCCTCCATGGCCTCTGATAACTCCAGCTCCTCCCAAGGGCAGGGTGCCCGGGTGTGTGATGGCAACCTTGGGAAGGGCTCGTTGATTATTATATTATTATTATTATTATTATTATTATTATCATGATTATGATTATTTTTTATTATGATTATGATTATGATTATGATGATGATGATTATTTTTATTATTATTATTATTGTTATTGTTTTTAAATTCCATAAGCGTCACGAAGCAGGGGGCAGATGGACAGAAGGATAAAATGGGTGTTTCCTAGCCCATGTGCATTGCCCATGGCTCCCATGTCTGCACCAGTGTCCCGCTCAGGTCGTGCCTCGATATTACATCAACGCCTGGGAGAAGAACCCGTACAAATGGCAGCATCACAAGTACCACCGTGTCCGGCAGCGGCATCGGGGGAAGTGGCTGCCTGGCAGCAAGTTGCCCAACGCCCTCGAGGGCCCAAAGCCTCCCTTATAAACCCCAAACCCTATTCTTACACACCCTCCCCCAAAACCTAAACCCCGAAGCCTGAAAACCCCACCCTAAAACCCCAAACCCTGAAAACCCTAAACCCTGTACCCTAAACCCCAAACCCCAAACCCCAAACCCCAAACCCGAAACCCTAAACCCTAAACCCTAAACCCTAAACCCCAAACGGTGGCAGGTGCTACATCGGGGGTCCCCTGAGCGGGGTGCAGCTGCCTGGCTGGCCCGAACCTTCGCCTCGAAGCCGCACGGTTTAGGGTTTAGGGTTTGGGGTTTTAGGGTTTAGGGGTTTGGGGTTTAGGGTTTAGGGTTTAGGGTTTGGGGTTTAGGGTTTGGGGTTTAGGGTTTAGGGTTTGGGGTTTAGGGTTTGGGGTTTGGGTTTTAGGGTTTTCCGGCTTGGGGTTTGGGGCTTCTAAAGTTTTCGGCCCTTTGGGGGCTGTAGGCGCTGAGGTTCAGGGGTTGGGCTCCCCTTCAGGGTCGCGAGGGTTTCGGGCGAGGCAGCGTCTGTCGGCTGCATTTTGGGTTTACTGTTAGGGTGGTGTTGTTTCTAGGACTGACAAGGTTTTTGCGACATAGTAGAGTCTGTTTCCTATCGTGGCACCCATTGTTTCAGAAGCAGGACTTAGCGCTGTTTGTCAAAGGCATGCATCAGCACCTGATTCTTTTAACAACCCGCCCCACGTGGAGCCTAGCAAGGCTGCTTCCGCCTCGGGCGCTTGTTGACACTGCGCAGCGCGCGCAAGTTGAGCGCTTGGAGGAGTGCCACGCAGTCAACCCCGCAAGCTCCATTCGATCTGGGGGTTGACCCAATTCTTGTATCAGATCCGCCCCCCATCTACACACTTCTGCAGTCAAATGCAGTGCCGTGTTGGGATTTTGCCAGCTGCTGAACAAGTGGAATGCCTGCAGGACAAAGTCTTTTGGCAGCAGGCTTGAACATTGCCTTACACTTCATGCGTGTGTACCTTGACGCGTTCTTGATTTCCTACATGCTGGCAGGTCGCCGAGCGGACAGTCCAGCTGCGCGACATTATGGACGTAGGTGGGTCTGCCAAGGGGGCCAGGAGGAACCACCAAAAAGCTTGAGGGAGTGAGGCTGCGCTGTTGCATGTAACGGTTCATTTTTTGGGGGTGGGGTTGGCTTAGCCTGAGGTGACCTGGCAGTGATCCTGGACACGCTCTTGACTGCAAACCACCGCCACACCCACCTGATGAAGACGATCTCTCGAGAGACTCAGCTGCTAAGCTTCTGCGGCCCCATGTTTATGTGCACACGCACAGGGTGCAGACGTGGAAGGGGTCAGAACATCAGTTCGGGGGTAGGGCTCCTGCTTCTTGAAGCACGTTCACACGAGAAGGTTTTCCGGCTCGGTCAACTTGAAGCTGGTGGACGCAGCCGAAGTAGCTCCTAAAGGTTCAGGGTTTCAGGAATCCTGGGGTTTAGGGCCTTAGGAGCACGATCGCGTTGAGCTGACTCCACACCTCAAATCTTGCGCTTGAGGTCGTTTCTGTCCCTCATGCACAAGTTAGTCGTAGAGGAGAACCTTACGAAACCATACCATGGTCAGCAAAGGAATTGATTGAGGATGTTGACAAGTTGTCGCTGGTGGAAGCGGCTGTGATCTTGAATGCGTATGCGCACTTCAACTGCCTCAGCCCGAGTGTTTCAGATCTGACATGCGTGCCTACGAAGCTTCTTGTGCATCGAACGCTAGAGCAAAGTTTTTCCTCTGGTGAGGTGTGAGTGAGCTGATGCTCGAAGCCTTTGCCAAGCATGTAACCCGCCTCTTGCGTGAGCAGCCTTACACCACCGTGGAAGACACCGACAGGCGGGGAAGACTTGCCAAGTACATGGTGCCATCAACATATCCATAGACCATCAAGCTGTTGTTCAAATTCTAAACTCCCGAAGCCCTTGTATGGGTAGCGCTCGAAATTAGGGTTTTTTTTGGGTGCCCTTATATAAAGGGTGCCATACTATATAAGGGACCCAAAAAGAGGGGACCCCAATTTAGAGAACTACCCATACAGCTCTGGGCAGGTACGGGTCAATGGCTGCAGACCCTCAGACCTTGGCCGTTCTATGCAAGGCGTTCGCCAGTTTGCACTTCAAGGAGCAGTGACGTTTAGGGTTTAGGGTTTAGGGTTTAGGGTTTAGGGTTGTTTCACTACACCCAAAAAAACGCCTGGATGCGCCCTTGGGGCTCTTGACTGCAAGGACTCCGAAATGCTCAAAGCAGTGAATTCGGTCCTGCTGGAGCGAATCGAGGACGTTGGGGATGCAAGCCACAAACAGTTCTGCTTCTGTTGTAAGTAGCTCTCAGCAGAGCTGGTTAGGGATGGCAACTTCTGTGTCAAGAACAATACAACACAATACCATACCCTCACCTCAATGATGCATGCTATGTGGCCTCAATGTGCGAACGCGCGGACATGCGAACACGCGGCGTGCACAAATGCGAACATGCGAAAACACGCGAACGCCTGCAGATGCGCTTGGACGAAGGCACGAACACGCCATGGCTGCAGACCCAGTCGTAGAAGAAGCTCCATCGGGTAACTTTCATCACCGGGACAGACAGCCCCGTGCGATATCTACAACCACCCTCCAGCCGGAATTCTGCCCCCCGGCAGCCTGTCTGCCACCATACACCCAGACACCTCTTTGCTGGAACCGGGTCAGCAGTATCGGTTTGCGATAAGAGACCGCCAGCCTTGTGGGTGTCTTGGTGGAGGGCCAGGCTCTCGTGCTTGCGTGGGCGGTCTACCGCGGATCTTCCCAAGGCGCGAAAGAGTGTTCGGAACGCTCGTAAGCACATGGGACACCTGGACTACCGGCCACGTGATCATGCGGACACGCGAAAACGCGGACAAGAGCAGATGCAACGCTGTTTCAGCGCTCTTGGGGGCCCTCCATCAATATTCATAACATGTTTGCAGTTGGGGGAGGGGTGTGGAGGCTGTGAACCTGCCATTGCTTCCCTCGAAGAGTGTCCTCCGAACATCATGAGCCCCCGCCGGAGTTTTCGTTGGAAATGGAGGGGGCGGGGCATTCTTCAAGCTTGTCGTGATGTCATTCCTATGTCCTGCGAACCCTCCTTCAAACATTGACACCCTTGGAAAACTTCTCCGCAAACCCTCTTAACACCGTCTTCAACGGTTTAGTATCAACGAAACGTTCTTCATGCCTTCTCCAACTGCTCGAAACACATTGAAGCCCAGAAAAAGGCGATCTGTGAACATTCCCAACATGCATCTCTTGAAAACCCAACTCATAGGTTCATCCAAGACTCAAGACACTCTTGCCAAGCTGGGCAGAGCGGAGTCCTGGGCCTAGGGTTCAGGCTTTAGGGGGTCCCTGTAGAGGGGATTATGCTCTATTCGGGGTGTACCCTTTTGAGGGAAATGCTCAAATGGTTCCTTTTTGGATAATAACCATGCATATGACAGGGCGAAACTCAAGTAGCTAATCTTCCGACGTCGGGTGTGATGAGTGTGTGCAGCCTCGTCTAGCGGACTGAATCTCTGAAGCCGAAGATGCGCAATCGGCAATTCTGCAGCTGTTGTGGTCTGCAGTGTGAGAGCTTTTACAGCCACGAACGCGCTGAGACGCCTTGCAGGAGTCCGCCTTCGGCTCAGTGGCCGAGGTGCTGACGGCCTTCGCAGAGCTGAACGAGCCGTTTGAGGCTGCGTGTACGTAGAAGGGGATACGGTATGAAGAAAGCACTTTCACATGCTTGGTTCTCATGTGCCTCTGCGTGTGCCAAATTTGTGCAACTATGCGTATACTTCGCATTTCTACACAATTACACATATGTATATTTAGACACACACACACACACACACACACGCATATCTGCCACACACATACACGCACGCACGCACGCACACACAGAGACACAGATGCTATATATAAATAGAGAATAGCACAGACACATGCACGTAATTAGCATATACATATACGCGCACGTCTACACATTCACAGTATACATATGACTACATATGACTTTCATATGAGTCTGTGTATATGTATATATATATATATGTGTGAATGTTTTTGTTTATATGTACATGTGTTTATATGTATAAATGCAAATATACATATGTAATCCGTATGCATATGTGTATGTGCTCATGTGTTTCTGTATGTTTGCACGCATCCGTGTATGTGTACGTGTATGTGTACGTGTATGTGTATGTGTGTATGTGTACGTGTATGTGTATGTGCATGTGTATGTGCATGTGCATGTGTCCGTACATGTGCATATGCACGTACATATTTATGTACCTGTATGAATAAAAAACGAAAACAACGAAACATATGATATATATATATATATATGTACACATATACACACACATATGCATGTGTGTGTGTGTGTGTGTGTTTTGCATTGCATTGTGTTGCATCGCATTGTAAATGCTGCAAGGGGCAGTAATGCAGTTTGGATTGTCCAGGCACCGATTGAGTTCTGGATGGCCCTGAGGGACAAGGCCTGCACTTGTCAGACGGGACTGTCTTTACTGCCTGCTAGCGACACTGTACTGGGCAGGTACCCGGTAGCCAGATGCGGTTCCTGTGTCCAACCATGCGGGCTGCACAGCACTTGGCAGTGAGAGGCCAAGGCAGTTTTGCACTCCGTTGTGTCACGGGACTGTGCGTGCAGAGGGGTAGGGGAGCGCCTGCTGAGGTTGCGGAGCCAGCCTTGTACGAGGCCGCACCGGAGGATGTGTTGCTTCTTTCTTGTCGCGGCTCCTTGCGGTCACTCGAGGCCCTGGGACAGGAAGTGGTGACTAGCCTGCAGGGCCTGCGCCCTGACACTCTGCCTGTCGAGGAACACCAGACGGTCCCTAAGATTTTTTGCAAGAAAAACCTTAAACTGTGGCTCCAAAACCCCCAAACTCTAAACTTGACATACCCTGACATTCCAGTGTGCGGCCAGGACACCGTGTCGACTATGCCGGCCTTTGCCGAGCCACAGCTGGTCTCACGCCTCCTGTACACTGGCGAGGATCTCCTTCGTAGTGTAGTGAGATGTGACTGTAGTAGGCCAGCCTGAGATGAAGGTGGTTGCCTGGTTCAAAGCAGGTTAGGACCGCCGCCTTTGAAACCCGCAGGAGCATCACGAAGAAGCCGTGATGGGCCAAGATCAGCAGAAGCCTGCTTTTGACAGGTCGAACTGACCACATGCGCTGAACTGCCTATGGCCCAGGTGCCATCGGCTGATGGGCCGGAGGACTTCATTGCCCCGGATGCGTGTCCTACTACCACACGTGATTGTTCCAGGAACCCAGGGAGGAGGTCGATGATAGCTTTCAGGCGCTGCCGTTGAATCCTTAAGCCGCCATGGACACCACAACATGCCTAGGTGGTGGCAGTCAGCCAAGATCAAGCTGTTGTGGATGATGTCATCGAGGAGGCGGCGCGCACGACAAAGTTCGATGTTTGTGAGCATTCGACCTGGCATAAGGGTTTAGGGTTGAGGGTTTAGGGCTGAGTGTTTCGCGCAGGAGGAGGGGGATGGCCCCGCAGTTCCACGAAAGAGGAGCCTAGCTTTCACAACTCCAGAGGCATTCAGAGGCTTCGTTTGGCCGTGCGATTTGGGACCCTAAACCCTAAACCCTAAACCCTAAACCCTAAACCCTAAACCCTAAACCCTAAACCCTAAACCCTAAACCTTAAACCCTAAACCCTAAACCCTCTCGGAGTTTCGCTTGGAGTTGCTCTTGGAATCGTCCGAGGAGGTGGTGGTACAACGCCGTGACCCGCAAGATGGACTCTGCCAGTGGTGGGCCCGAGGCCGCGCAGCCAAGAGACGTCGCCACGTCGTCTTCTGCCATCGTTCTGAGAGTGCCGAGTCAAGAGGTGCCCTACTTCGTCGGCGCCCTATTGAGTGCTCAATCATAATGGCTGTTGGCGTCTAATTCTTGACATGAACAGCAATGGCTCATGAGGAAAAATGGTGACAGTGAATCATAGCTGTGGTGTGTTCAGGGTGCGCGGTCTGCTGTGCCTGAGCAAGGCCCCATGGAATCCTGACGAGCGCTTCCGAAGGAACCAGCGGGGCGCCCGCGTCGCGCAGGCGCGCGAGAAGCCCGAAGCTTGTGAACAAGTCATAACCCGAACCACCCTGGGACTTCAATTTTCTCCAAAAAATGAAACAGCCTAGACCGCCCTAAGATTTTTGTGGCGCTTTCTGTGCCGACTGGGGTGAAAGCCTCAGATTCCTGTGAGGCCCTTGAAGGCTGGGATGCGCTGCAGCGGGCAGGCTTTGGGGCTAAACCCTAAACCCTAAACCCTAAACCCTAAACCCTAAACCCTAAACCCTAAACCCTAAACCCTAAACCCTAAACCCTAAACCCTAAACCCTAAACCCTAAACCCTAAACCCTAAACCCTAAACCCTAAACCCTAAACCCTAAACCCTAAACCCTAAACCCTAAACCCTAAACCCTAAACCCTAAAACCCTAAACCCTAAACCCTAAACCGTAAACCCTAAACCCTAAACCCTTTCGTTGTGCGACGCTCTGGGATTCCGGTGCCCCTTGCAGTTGCGGACAGCGCCCGGTCGTCGCCATCGGCCCCAGGAAGTGCAGACACAGCTTTGGAGTTTTTAGGGGGTTTCGGAGTTTTTTAGGGTTTAGGGTTTAGGGTTTAGGGTTTAGGGTTTAGGGTTTAGGGTTTAGGGTGAAGTGGTTCCACAATCCGCCCTTGGGAGCAAAATCCTCGCCAGGACCGCCAGCTTCGGAAGGAGCTCCTGCCAAGCGCCGAGCCCAGCATCAAGACAGCCAGAGGCAGATAGGAAGCCTACAGTTTTAAGGGGTACAAGGAGGGACCCCTAGAAGGGACCCTTCATCTTCTTCCCTCTATAATCCCTATAAGGTTTGAAGGCTGGAAGGTTCAGTCTTCAGTTCCGGCGCTTGGCATTTCGTTGTTTGCACCCTAAGTCCACGGTGCCGAGAGGTCGGTTGATGAGGAGCTGTTGGACAGCGCGGGCGCCTTAAATGGGTGCTGCTTCGACTTTGTGACGGACATCGCCCGGCCCTAAACCCCGAAGCCCGGCAAACTTCCAAACCGCAGTGCCCCCGAGACATTTCCAAAACCATCTGAACCATTTAAAAAGTCTAAACTTATCCAAGCTCCGAAGAAACCTTACAAGCATCAATTTCCGCGGCTCTTCGTGTTCGAGGCCCAGCCGCTGCTGAGCGTCTCGCTGCAGGGGCTGTCGCCCGCACAGCTGGCGCTCTGCGCCGAACGCTTCGCCGAAGGAGCGGCGACGTGGTGTGATGTTCTAGATTTGGGTCATGGCCTTTGTGTCTTGGGGTTGCGCGGGCCAACTTGTCTTTGCTTTTGGCTTCCACAGACATGTTCAGAAGTTTTTGCTTTTCTTCTACCTAGGGTGCCGAGGGCGATGCTTAGGTCCACTTGGGCCCTATCGAAGCGAGTTGAAGTTGAGCGACCCGAAGGTTCTGTGGGCTCAAATTCGTTCTTTACTCTTTTACTACCCTTTCGAAGAAAAGCGCTGCTCTCTTTCGCCGACATGTGGTCGTCATGGTCGGCGCTTGTGTTCCACATGCTGGCTGCAGTGGCAATGGATGCCGACATGCTCGTCGAGGATGACTGCACGGTGGATACATCGGGCTCATCGTGCAGCCTCGTTGCCATGCAGCTTCGTGGAAAGAAGCTGAGTGCGGAGGCGGAGGACACGTTGGAACAGGAGGCGCACATGCTCGCCGACTCAGAGTTGGCCGCTGACGAGGAGCGTCAGCCATACCTTTGCATGATCTACCCCTGGCTGCCGCAGTGCGCGCAGCAGCATCCCCAAACTAATTACGCACCCCCTCCCATGCCTCCCATGTACAACCCCATGTACAACCCCATGTACCAGCCGCCGAGCCCGCCGCCTTACAATCCAATGTACCAGCCGCCTGTCATGCCCAGTCCGCCACCTTACAATCCGATGTACCAGCCGCCTGTCATGCCCAGCCCCCCATCGTACCACGGTCCACCCGCAAGCACAGTGCTTTCACGCCGCGGTGGGCTTGACCCTCCTGCCAGCGTGAAGACCCACAATGGGGCCGCTTGGGAGACGATGAGAGTTGCTGGGACTGATCTCAAGCATATCTTCGCCATTGGCGACTGGGGATCCCTGATCGGTGTTGGCTCTGGGGCACCCAAAGCCATCATCCAGTACCGTGGTGGCCATACGCCAGGCCCGCACACGATGGCTAGACATCGAGGTGCGGGCTGCACCACGAAAGACATGACAGCTTGCATGGGTGCCACGGGCGTCTGCCCAGCAAACTGCCATTTCAAGGCCGAGATTGATCTGCATGCGCAATCGCTGGTTGCAACGCAGATGAAGAAGCGAGCGCCCCAAAGCAATCCCGACTTCGTGCTGAATGTTGGAGACAACTTTTACTGGGGAGGCATCGAGACAGAATGTGGGCACCCGATGGGCCAAATCCATCCACAGACCCGCGCACAGTTCAATGTTATCTTTGAGCAGGTGGGGGGGTTGCTCTATAGTAAGAAGATGTCAGAAGTCTTTTTTATAACCCTAAACCCTAAACCTTAAACCAACCCTAAACCCTAAACCCCACACCCCAAACCCTGGACCCTTAAACCCTTAAACCCTTAAACGCCTTCAGAACTTTAAGCCCAGGTCTACAATGGACCCGGCCTTGACGGGAAGCCCTGGCTCAGTGTCTTCGGAAACCACGACCTGGGTGGCTTCCAGTTCAACAAGGTGCCCCCAAAGAGCTTGGGTCCCCTCGCTCATTTCTTGCAACTATACATAAAATTGCTTGATACAGATGCACACACACACACACACGCGCACGCACACGCACGCACGCACACACACGCACACACACACACACACAATTTGTAAAAAATAAGTACATAAATAAATAAATGCATGAATAAATAACTAAGTAAATAAATATATACATATGTGATTGTACATATATCTATATCTACATCTATATCGAATCTATATCTATATCTACATCTATATCTATATCTAGATGGAGAATGAAGCAAAGATGCACATGTGAATACGTACTTGTGTCTATGTGTAAAATGCATGGCTCGTGCCTGTGTCTTTGGCTTCAAAGTAGGGTGAAGGTGCCCACAAAAATTGGGGCCCCTTATGCCCTAAGCTCTAAGCACCACAGTGCTCTGTCTTGGAGGCCTGGGATCAGCAGATTGCCTACACTTTTGCCAGTGATCGCTGGAGGCTACCGGCGATGTACTGGATGCAACGCGTGGAGCAGCCCGGACATGAAGTTCGGGCTCGCACGGCTTTGCCAGGTTTTTTTTTTTTTAAATCATTTTTTTGTCTCAAGGCAGTTCTTCTGAACAACAGTCTAGTCTAGTCGGTGACAGGAATACGAGCAGTCACCATAGCAGCAGTTTGAAGAAATACGTGTGCTGAGCAGCTGAAAAGGTACACAGATCAGGGCTTTGCTGCCGAGTTACTTGCTAGGCTTGAGCATGCTTTGTGTTTATGTGTATGTTGGTGTTGCTTTTGACCCAGTCTTCCTCTCTGCACGCGAAAACAGTGTTGATGATCTATAGGTTTTTGATGATCGACAGCAACGCTATGGACGTGAAGCCCTACGACGCGGATCCAGAGCACAACCTCTGTGGACGCCTGCACAATCCGGCAGGAGCCACTTGCGCCGCGACGGGCGGACCGAAAGACCTCTCGGAGTGCTTTCGATGGTTTTGGGATCTATGGAACAAGGAGCAGAAACCTTGGGTCGAGCAGAAGCTGCAGGCATCAACTGCTGACTGGCAGGTTATCGTGACTCACTTCACCTGTGGCACTCAGGCCGAGTGGTACAAAAGGCTACGGCAGCAGTTTGGGCTTGATCTGCTGGTCACCGGACATACGCACACCCAGCAAGTCTTCCACAACTCGAAGATGCTGGGCGGCATGACCTGCTTCATCACTGGTGGTGGTGGAGGCCCGTCTTGCTCACGTAACCTATGGTAGCCTGAAGACTCCCCCAGAAGCTTTGAGTTGAGACAGTTCTACACTGCCTTTTGTGCCGTTGCAGAGAGCTGCTCTCGATTCACTGAGGTATTGTCTCGGAAGGCGATGCGACTCCGCAAAGGAGTAGCCAGTATGGGTTCTTTGACTTGACCATCAGCAAAGAGAAGATTGTCTTGGAGTCTATCAATCACAACGGTGTCACGTTGGGGACTTATGACGTCTTCCCCGTGTGACGCTCAGCAACCGCCAATCACCCCGCACAAGACGGTAAAAGCAAAGCCTTGCTGTCAACAAAAGCTGCCTGTTGAAGCACAAGGGGGGGAGATTCAGTCATCGTTAGGGTCTGAGGCAGAATCTAGACTTGTCTCGTGCTCAGCCAGAGAGGACCGACCTCCGACATTGTGCCGAGCTTAGATCATACAGACGTGGCAGTTGACAGCTTTCGTCCAAGCCAGCTGCTGGTAACCTGGTAACCTGGTGTCGTTACTGTGTCAGCAAAGCTTTCGAACTCTGTCATTCGCGTCTCATAGGACAAGCTGTCTACGCACGTGTAATATAGTGGGGAGGTCTTCACAGGCGGGGTGTTCGGCATGATTCTGGAATTCTGTTCGAAGTTGGCTTCGTGTAGCAAGTCGCCCTGACATGTCGAGTACTCTACACCAGATTGCTTCCAAGCCGGATGCCGTCAGTGCTCTGACACACTCACAGGCACTTGTGCCTGTCCAAAGCTTTGGAACACAAGTTGGTTGCTGCCGATGACGAAACGAAACCACATGAGAATTCTGATGTTCCTTGATGCACATCAGTAGTAGCTCTAGAATTGCTGAGGCTTGTTTGCGAGTTTGAAGATGACAGGCTCGCAGGCATCTAATTGCCCACAGGCACACAAGCTGGTAGCGGCCGATGACGATGACAATCCACATGAGAATTCTGATGTTTCTTGATGCACATCAGCATTAGCTCTAGAATTGCTGAGGCTGGCCTGGAAGTTGTTGATTCCATGGCGTGACACATGAGAAGCTGATGTCCGGCACGTTGTCAGGAGATGTCGAGTACCGTACACCAGATTTGCTTTCAAGCGGGATGTTCGGTTCATGTGTCTCCCACAAGTGTGGACGGTGAGAGCCGTGGGCAGTGCTCTGACACACTCACAGGCACTTGTGCCTGTCCAAAGACTTGGAACACAAGTTGGTTGCTGCCGATGACGAAACGAATCCACATGAGAATTCTGATGTTCCTTGATGCACATCAGTAGTAGCTCTAGAATTGCTGAGGCTTGTTTGCGAGTTTGAAGATGACAGGCTCGCAGGCATCTAATTGCCCACAGGCACACAAGCTGGTAGCGGCCGATGACGATGACAATCCACATGAGAATTCTGATGTTTCTTGATGCACATCAGCATTAGCTCTAGAATTGCTGAGGCTGGCCTGGAAGTTGTTGAGCCCATGGCGTGACACATGAGAAGCTGATGTCCGGCACGTTGTCAGGAGATGTCGAGTACCGTACACCAGATTTGCTTTCAAGCGGGATGTTCGGTTCATGTGTCTCCCACAAGTGTGGACGGTGAGAGCCGTGGGCAGTGCTCTGACACACTCACAGGCACTTGTGCCTGTCCAAAGACTTGGAACACAAGTTGGTTGCTGCCGATGACGAAACGAATCCACATGAGAATTCTGATGTTCCTTGATGCACATCAGTAGTAGCTCTAGAATTGCTGAGGCTTGTTTGCGATTTTGAAGATGACAGGCTCGCAGGCATCTAATTGCCCACAGGCACACAAGCTGGTAGCGGCCGATGACGATGACAATCCACATGAGAATTCTGATGTTTCTTGATGCACATGAGCATTAGCTCTAGAATTGCTGAGGCTGGCCTGGAAGTTGTTGAGCCCATGGCGTGACACATGAGAAGCTGATGTCCGGCACGTTGTCAGGAGATGTCGAGTACCGTACACCAGATTTGCTTTCAAGCGGGATGTTCGGTTCATGTGTCTCCCACAAGTGTGGACGGTGAGAGCCGTGGGCAGTGCTCTGACACACTCACAGGCACTTGTGCCTGTCCAAAGACTTGGAACACAAGTTGGTTGCTGCCGATGACGAAACGAATCCACATGAGAATTCTGATGTTCCTTGATGCACATCAGTAGTAGCTCTAGAATTGCTGAGGCTTGTTTGCGAGTTTGAAGATGACAGGCTCGCAGGCATCTCATTGCCCACAGGCACACAAGCTGGTAGCGGCCGATGACGATGACAATCCACATGAGAATTCTGATGTTTCTTGATGCACATCAGCATTAGCTCTAGAATTGCTGAGGCTGGCCTGGAAGTTGTTGAGCCCATGGCAGTACACATGAGAAGCTGATGTCCGGCACGTTGTCAGGAGATGTCGAGTACCGTACACCAGATGTGCTTTCAAGCGGGATGTTCGGTTCATGTATCTCCCACAAGTGTGGACGGTGAGAGCCGTGGGCAGTGCTGGGACACACTCACAGGCATTTGTCTGTCCAAAGACTTGGAACACAAGTTGGTTGCTGCCGATGACGAAACGAAACCACATGAGAATTCTGATGTCCCTTGATGCACATCAGAAGTAGCTCTAGAATTGCTGAGGCTTGCTTGCAGGTGCGAGTGGCGTAGCCGGGGCAACATGTGTGAAGCTGCCCTCTTGTGAGCAACCTTTGAAGGTACCCAGACATTCACGGTTTCATGAGACATGGCTTTTTCGACCTGCGTGCTCGAGTGTTCACGTGACCCGCTACGCGTAGAGCGTAGATGTTGGTCATAGCAGTGCTACGTGGCGTAGGTTTTCCTGTTTGGGTCTAGGATTTGAGTCATCACACAACTATTAAATATGAATCATCAACCGTTAAGTACGATGAAAAATTGAATCATTAACCAGAAAGAACTATATGTTAAACATGCAACATGAAATGTTAAAGAATAACTTTGAATTACTAAAGACGAAATAGTAAACATCAAACGTTACATGCTATGTGCTAATCAGAAAACGGTGAATACTTGATATTAAGTGTTTTTGGAGTATTCGTACTTCCTATTTAATACCGAGTATCGGTTATCAACTATTAAGCTCTAAACATAAAGAATTAAACATGAACCATGCAAGCAAGTTGCTTGCAAACGATCATTCCCTCAAACAGTGACCGACGAAACGCGCACAATGCAGGTCCATCGCATCCTTCGCGAGTCTTTGCGTCGGCTAGCCAACTTTTCCATCTCCGAGTTGAGGCAGCCGCTCACTCAGCCGAGGGTGTTCCGGGCTCTACACTCACATCGTAGGATCCCCTGATAAAACGGACCCTAATTTGGGTATCCCTAATATCGTAAACCCCCACATGATATCAGTCTGCACCTCTCATCCAAGGTTGAATGCAGCCTGTGTGCGGGCCGGGATCGTGGATCCGTGCCTCGAAGATCCTTCTGCCTGTTGAGTCTTGACTTTGGCAGCTTGACTTCTAGGCTTCCGAGTTGTGTGTGCGAGAGGTATCTTGAAAGAGCTCGACGAAGGAGGTTTCCTAAGGCCAAGGGGAGCCTTCACACATGTTGAGAAGCATGTCTCCTGAGCATCGGATGAGGTTGTCTCAGCACCTCTGCAGGCTTTGCGGAAGGAGCTCCGAGAAACTTCGCAAGCCGCGGAATGAAGTTCGATGGAAAAACAACTGAAAATTGCGAGCGGCTTGCAGTGCTTGCCTGCGGCAAGGTTCCCCAAGAGCAAGTTGCAGGAACCTTTGGTGCCTTGTAAAATTCTGGATTTGGGGTTTAGGAGTTTAGGGTCTCGGGTATGGGGTTCAGAGTTTAGGGCTTAGGTTGGGATGTTGGGAGTTTGGGGGTCAGCTGATGATTGCCAGAGTGCCTGGTTCAATGCGGTGAGGAATCGCAGCAAGAGCTAGCAATCGCGCCGCTTGCCAAGGGGATCCCGAAGTTGATGCTTTGTTGGTTCTCAGCCGTTGCTTTTGCAGACCCTAAATACCCCCAAACCCAAACACCCTAAACCCTAACCCAAAAACCCCCCAAGCCTAACGAGGTCTGACCTGCCAGAGCCACATCAGCAATTGCCGTGCGCGTGCTCAGCAAGAGTTCGGCAACCCTCTTCCTTGCCAAGCGCAGTGACTGGAGACCAGGCCTGATGTGTTTCCGGTGCCCTTCATCCACGTCTGCAAGCAGTTGCCTCAGAAGGCTTCACCAATCCTTTGGCACGTGTGTACTAAACCCCAAACCCGAAACCCTAAACCCCAGCACTACGCCCTCATCCTAAGAAAACTCCTAAAGCCACGTGTTTGTTCTTCCTGCTATTGTGTTTCAAAGCGTCTTAATGAACTTTGCCTTTTGCTCAGGTGCCTCCCAGTATGTTACACGCCTGTCTTCCTTTGCTCGCAGGGGGTGCCTAGAGATCCCCAGAGAGCCCCATGTGAAGGTCAACTGTATGTCGAAGAAGGCTTTTGCACAGGGGGCTGCACTCGCCGCCCAGCCTTGCTGTATTTAGCAAGGCCAAAGGCACAGCCTAATTTTTCGGCCGATTCTGACCTTTATCACTTAAGTTGCTGTTCATATTATAATACTAGTACTATTAACAATCTCAATACTAGTAAAATGGCTAACTTCATTTTGGAGAATCATAATATTAATAATCATATTTGTATTGCCATCATAACACTACATCAAGGGCCCTCGAGCACGTCGCGGTTGCATGATGGGGCAGGGGCCAGGGGGGCCGCCCCAAGCCCAGAGGACTTTTGTTTGTCTTTGCCAGGTCTGCATCACATAGTGGTCCTCGGCATTTCACATGGTTGCACATGGGTGAAGGGGCACGTTGGGTATCACCAATCCGGAGGAAGAAGAAACGTCAACAGCGTGCGTCGATGTGGCATGCCTGGCGGCGGCAGCCACTTCCCCGACCCCGTGCTAGCACAAAGCCAAGACAGCTTGGAGAACCTGGAGCTGTGGACCTCTTGGAAATGCTGCATCGTACAACAACTAGCCAAGAAACCAGGCCCGTCTCAAAAACAAGGAGCAGCATGCAAAGAGCATGACGGGCACGCATCCAAATCATGAACCTGTCTAGCTGGGAACTTGTGATGGACTCAAGACGCTTTGGAGCGATTGATTGTTGACATTTGCCGGTGTGTATGATCTCTCTCTCTTTCTCTCTCGTTTCGTCCATGCTATCTGCCTCTGAAATCGCATGCTCATACATGGCCAAACATCGGCCTCGTGCCCGAGTCTCTTCGCAAGAAAGCAGCTTGGTGAAATGGTTGCTGTAACTCTTCGTGTGGAGCTGCTTGGTGCGTGCTACCTGCATGGCGAATGTACTTGCCACCCTGCAGCCAGTTGCTACTTGCTCGGTTGCGCAGCTCTGGCATGCGGGTCACAAGTGCTTGTGGCCTAGTACTTCACCCTTTGTCGTCCGATGGCAAGGTTCAATGCACGCTGCGACCTAGATCTGAAGCAGGCGGGAGAGACAGAAGAAGCGGCACTTTGCAAGCTCGGCATCGCGCAGCCATGCCTTCCTGAGATTGCGTTCGGCATCCGGCATGCTGAGTACAACCCCCGGAAGCACAGCAGCATCACAGTGCCCCACCAGACTTGTGGCATTTCATGACTGCATATAGGCCGGTATAGACATGGAGCTCGTGCAGGGCTTTTCTTAGCAGATGTTCGTGGAAGCTTATTGAATTTCATGGTCAGGTACGCCTTTTCAATCCGCGCGTCACGGCTTTGATCCGAGCGAGTGGCGCAATCACACTGCCTCGCGCTCAAACCATGCTGCAGCTTGCATTTTCCACCACAGCTTGTATGATGCTCCGGCCGTGAAGTTTCTGCACCCTCAGGCCTAGACCCTAAAGGCACAGAGTTCACGACCGTTCAGGTCCGAGCAGGACCCAGCCGCGGCATGAAAATCGACCCGAGCAGGATCACTCATCAGCGCCTACAGGTCACATTCATCGCCAAGTGTAGGCTGATGATGAGATTGCAGTCATGCCGCGACGGTCTTCAGTGTCTGGAGTGAGGGGTCCCAATGCCAGCCCGCGCACAATGAGTCGCCTCCTTCTTGACCTACATGAAGAGCGTATTGCCGATTTCCGGTGTCTCTGAGGGAGGGGACGGCGAGAAGATCCGCCAGGCCATGAGACGAAATAGTGAACCGTACAAACAATCAGTCGACTCCGCTTCAGTAGTGCGAGAGCATTGCAGGGCAGTGTGGGAGGATTGTGGGGTAGTGTACTTGAAAGACCCACACTCCAAAGTGTCGCTGCTCCAGACGACACCTCGCCCGGTTTTTGTTGCCGCTTACGCTGTCCCATCAATACTTGCTGTTAGGGTTGTCTCTGGGTTGGAACGCTTGAACTGGCTATCGCCATGTTCGCTACCATTCCTTCGCTGCATCAGCGGAGATAGACCTGACAAGTCTTAGCAAGGAAGGACGTGATGCGACCTGTGAGCCCGACCGTGTCTGTCATGCTCGCATGCTCACACTCACGCTCCCCCTCCGTGAGTATCTCTGCCCAGCCCGGAAGCCCGGTTGACATGGGCACCAAGCACAACACTTCAACGATCCACGATTTCCAAAACCTCAGGGGAGACCCCTTCGACCCTAATTATTCGATTCCCCCTCAACTGTTCACCTTTTGGTTGCCCTTGCAAACCCGAAACCCCGAACCGGAGGGTCCAGGCACGTGCTCTGGCGAGGTGCTGTGATGTCTGCAGCAAAACCCGCAGCCATGCGGACCATGTGGTAGGTTCCCACACTCTACGGAGCCTTACATTTCTAGTGCCCAAAGCGGGACCATAATCTAGGGGTCTAGGGAAATCCCCACCGCGCTTGCGCGCGTGTCTTCTCCAACACTTGAGGATGCTTGGTGCCACCGTCCGCGTAACCCACGACCTCCTTCATGCCTAGAAAGAGGGGGGATCTTCAATCAGTTTCCTTCCCAGGGGTCCCAGCTCCAGCAAGGTCTACAAATGCAGGCTGCTCTTCGGAGGATGATTTGAAGAGGCCTCCGCCTCGTGCAGTATTGTCTTGGACGGTTGAGTTGGTTGGCGTGTTTGAACCCTAAACCCTAAACCCTATACCCTAAACCCTAAACCCTAAACCCTAAACCCTAAACCCTAAACCCTAAACCCTAAACCCTAAACCCTAAACCCTAAGCCCTAAGCCCTAAACCCTGAACCCTGAACCCTGAACCCTAAACCCTAAACGCTAAACCCTAAACCCTAAACCCCAAACCCTAAACCCTAAACACTAAACCCTAAACCTTGCAAGGTCGGCGAAGAAGCTGGCCAGACTGATTCAGAGGACTCCGACTGCCAAAGATGTAGCAGTCCTTAATGGGGATTCTATGATGGGGTACGAGAATCCCGGTTAAGGACTGAGAGTATAAGGGGTACTATAACCCCTATGAAGGACTGATAGTCTAAGGGGTACTCTCATCCCTAGGACTGTGAGTATAAGGGGTACTATGATCCCTATTCAGAACTGATAGTACAAAGTTTAGGGTTTAGGGTTTAGGGTTTAGGGTTTAGGGTTCAGGGTTTAGGGAACATGCCAAGGTGTAGGGCGTTAGGATGTGGAGACTCTTGGTGTGCAGCAGGTGTGGCCATGACGCCGCCAAGTCATCCTGGCCAGTGGACTGGTTATGCCCGAGTTTAGGGTTTAGGGTTTAGGGTTTAGGGTTGAGAGGGCTGGGGGCTTGGGGCTCGGGGGGAAGTTCGGGCAGTCTTGGGAATGCAGGTTCTTTATGGAGGTTTGGGGTTGTAGGGATGACTGGCTTCATGGGAGGGGCTTAAGTTTTTTAAAGGGGCCAGTAGTGTGAGATGCTGCGAGTGGCAGGTTTGCGGATTTCGCCGTGACAAGCATCCTCTGCAAGGCAAGATAACCCAAACCCCAAAGCAAAAGGAAGTGTTGAGGGTCGCAAGGTCACGCAGACCATTTGTTGCTTGATGGCTTGGTGTGCGGGCCTGCTCATTTCGACTGTGCAACCATCAATTCCGGAAGCTGCTCTACATGTAATCTTGTACTTGGCAATACACATAAACATGCACTTTGCTCAAGGAATTGTCTGAGTAGCCCTTTGGACGGCAGCAGCAAAGATTAAAGTTTCCCCTGCTGCCACCTAGTTCCGTCATTCCCTACTGAGAACAAGTATGTAACCCTAAAAACTAAGTTCTGAACCCTACCCCCCCTAAAATGTAGGAGCCAAGACATACAGATGCTCATCTCAGCCCTGAGGCCACACTGGGATTCCCCGTGCGGCTGGACGTCTTGGCCTCCAGGACTCACTTGGTTTTGTACAGCACACATGGAAAGGAAACTTAAGCCCGAAGTTGATTCGATATGCAGGTTCCGGAAGAACGCCCTGTATGAGCCAGAGTTCTTCAACAGCTGTGCAACCAGACTGCATAGCCGGAGTGCGCGGTCCCTCCCACGGAGTTGTGTGCAGAGGTCTTTCGAACTCGAAAGTCAGCTGCTTAGAGTTGATTTCATAGTGGATGCTGTGTGCCACTCCGACTGTCTGCTACTGGTAGCCGAGGCCACGTTGTACATTCTTAGTGACAGCTGGGGGCAAGGCGACCTTCTGCACAAGATCTTGCCATCAATGTGGCACCTGCAAGGTTGCAACTCTTGTCGTGTGTTCCATTGCACCCTGGAGCCATTCCCAGCTCATACGAGCATCCCAAGCCAAAAGCGTTTGATACATCAGGTAGGGCGAACCATGACCGTCCCTCGTGCCATGGCAGCGCTCATTTTTGCGGCCACGGCCATAGCCTTGAGCGGTGCCGATTCTGGTGATGCCGTGCAGGTAGCTCTCTCGAACGATGAGTCTTGCGCGTCAGAGTGCAGCTTGGAGCTGAGACAGTTGCGCGGTCAGCAGGTTCTACAACCTGACACGACGGCTTTCGCTACCATGTTCAAAGCCAAGTGTGGGATGCACTGCCAGTACATCGGGGCGGCCCTGCAGATGAACAATCCAGACTGCAAGGACTGCGCCGTAGCTTCACCGAAGAGCACAGGAACATCAGGAACATGCGAAAGCCACTGCCAGTATGAAGGCAGTGCGGTGTGGCAGTACGACCCGGCCTGCACTGGCTGCTCTGCCGCTCTGGTTCAGACGATGCTCCTGCAGATGACGGACGAGGAGAAATCCAGCGAGTCCAGCGGGTGCGCCAGCCATTGCCAGTACGAGGGAGCAGCCACCTGGCAGTATGACCCAAATTGCAAAGACTGCACCATGCCGGCGCAGCCTGTTGCTGCCACAGGGCCCGCAGGATCGGCATGCGGTTCACATTGCCAGTATGAGGGCAGTGCAATTTGGCAATACGACCCGGAATGCGTCGGTTGCTCGGCGAGCTTGGTTCAATCGATGCTTTTGCAGACGAAGGAGTCCAAGAATGATCTGGCGTCAGGTGCTTCCAGCGGATGTGCCAGCTACTGCCAGTACGAGGGTGCAGCTGTGTGGCAGTATGACCCAGACTGCAGGGACTGCACTGCAGCACATCTGCCTGGCAGCGGCAGTGCACCAAGTGGCGCGCAGTGCGCTTCCCATTGTCAGTACGAAGGCAGCGCCACCTGGCAGTACGACCCGGCCTGCACTGGCTGCTCTGCCGCTCTGGTTCAGACGATGCTTCTGCAGATGACGGACGAGGAGAAATCCAGCGAGTCCAGCGGGTGCGCCAGCCATTGCCAGTACGAGGGAGCAGCCACCTGGCAGTATGACCCAAATTGCAAAGACTGCACCATGCCGGCGCAGCCTGTTGCTGCCACAGGGCCTGCAGGATCGGCATGCGGCTCACATTGCCAGTATGAGGGCAGTGCAATTTGGCAATACGACCCGGAATGCGTCGGTTGCTCGGCGAGCTTGGTTCAATCGATGCTTTTGCAGACGAAGGAGTCCAAGAATGATCTGGCGTCAGGTGCTTCCAGCGGATGTGCCAGCTACTGCCAGTACGAGGGTGCAGCTGTGTGGCAGTATGACCCTGATTGCAAGGACTGCTCCATGGCACAAATGCCTGGTAGCGGCAGTGCACCAAGTGGCGCACAGTGCGCTTCCCATTGTCAGTACGAAGGCAGCGCCACCTGGCAGTACGACCCGGCCTGCACTGGCTGCTCTCCCGCTCTGGTTCAGACGATGCTTCTGCAGGTGACGGACGAGCAGAAATCCAGCGAGTCCAGCGGGTGCGCCAGCCATTGCCAGTACGAGGGAGCAGCCACCTGGCAGTATGACCCAAATTGCAAAGACTGCACCATGCCGGCGCAGCCTGTTGCTGCCACAGGGCCCGCAGGATCGGCATGCGGTTCACATTGCCAGTATGAGGGCAGTGCAATTTGGCAATACGACCCGGAATGCGTCGGTTGCTCGGCGAGCTTGGTTCAATCGATGCTTTTGCAGACGAAGGAGTCCAAGAATGATCTGGCGTCAGGTGCTTCCAGCGGATGTGCCAGCTACTGCCAGTACGAGGGTGCAGCTGTGTGGCAGTATGACCCTGATTGCAAGGACTGCTCCATGGCTCAAATGCCTGGTAGCGGCAGTGCACCAAGTGGCGCACAGTGCGCTTCCCATTGTCAGTACGAAGGCAGCGCCACCTGGCAGTACGACCCGGCCTGCACTGGCTGCTCTCCCGCTCTGGTTCAGACGATGCTTCTGCAGCTGACGGACGAGAAGAAATCCAGCGAGTCCAGCGGGTGCGCCAGCCATTGCCAGTACGAGGGAGCAGCCACCTGGCAGTATGACCCAAATTGCAAAGACTGCACCATGCCGGCGCAGCCTGTTGCTGCCACAGGGCCCGCAGGATCGGCATGCGGCTCACATTGCCAGTATGAGGGCAGTGCAATTTGGCAATACGACCCGGAATGCGTCGGTTGCTCGGCGAGCTTGGTTCAATCGATGCTTTTGCAGACGAAGGAGTCCAAGAATGATCTGGCGTCAGGTGCTTCCAGCGGATGTGCCAGCTACTGCCAGTACGAGGGTGCAGCTGTGTGGCAGTATGACCCAGACTGCAGGGACTGCACTGCAGCACATCTGCCTGGCAGCGGCAGTGCACCAAGTGGCGCACAGTGCGCTTCCCATTGTCAGTACGAAGGCAGCGCCACCTGGCAGTACGACCCGGCCTGCACTGGCTGCTCTCCCGCTCTGGTTCAGACGATGCTTCTGCAGGTGACGGACGAGAAGAAATCCAGCGAGTCCAGCGGGTGCGCCAGCCATTGCCAGTACGAGGGAGCAGCCACCTGGCAGTATGACCCAAATTGCAAAGACTGCACCATGCCGGCGCAGCCTGTTGCTGCCACAGGGCCCGCAGGATCGGCATGCGGCTCACATTGCCAGTATGAGGGCAGTGCAATTTGGCAATACGACCCGGAATGCGTCGGTTGCTCGGCGAGCTTGGTTCAATCGATGCTTTTGCAGACGAAGGAGTCCAAGAATGATCTGGCGTCAGGTGCTTCCAGCGGATGTGCCAGCTACTGCCAGTACGAGGGTGCAGCTGTGTGGCAGTATGACCCAGACTGCAGGGACTGCACTGCAGCACATCTGCCTGGCAGCGGCAGTGCACCAAGTGGCGCACAGTGCGCTTCCCATTGTCAGTACGAAGGCAGCGCCACCTGGCAGTACGACCCGGCCTGCACTGGCTGCTCTCCCGCTCTGGTTCAGACGATGCTTCTGCAGGTGACGGACGAGAAGAAATCCAGCGAGTCCAGCGGGTGCGCCAGCCATTGCCAGTACGAGGGAGCAGCCACCTGGCAGTATGACCCAAATTGCAAAGACTGCACCATGCCGGCGCAGCCTGTTGCTGCCACAGGGCCCGCAGGATCGGCATGCGGCTCACATTGCCAGTATGAGGGCAGTGCAATTTGGCAATACGACCCGGAATGCGTCGGTTGCTCGGCGAGCTTGGTTCAATCGATGCTTTTGCAGACGAAGGAGTCCAAGAATGATCTGGCGTCAGGTGCTTCCAGCGGATGTGCCAGCTATTGCCAGTACGAGGGTGCAGCTGTGTGGCAGTATGACTCAGACTGCAAGGACTGCACCGTGGCACCGCTGCCTGCGGGAAAGACTGCAGCAAGTGGTGCGCAGTGTGCTTCCCATTGTCAGTACGAGGGTGCAGCCGTTTGGCAGTACGACCCGGCCTGCACTGGCTGCTCTCCCGCGCTTATGCAGCAAATGCTGCTGGAAACTTCCCGATCAATCAGTGATGCCACTGGCTGCGCCGATCACTGCAAGTATGAGGGTGTCGAGGTGTGGCAGTACGATCCATCCTGCCAAGGGTGCACTCGCCCCACTTCTCTCTTGCAGACTGGAAGGGTCGGATGTGCTGATCACTGCAAGTACGAGGGACAGATTGTCTGGCAATACGATGCTGCCTGCCAGGATTGCACAGCTACTGGCAACTAACCCAGATGCTCGATGTAAACACTTTTAATGCTACAGATGATAGCAGAAATCCGGCGACGAACTGCTTTGTAAAACGCTTGGCTGGTAGCGGTGTAGCAGTGTGAATGCGGGCCATTATAGCCGTTTATGGCTTCCGAGGTTTGTTTTTTTGGAACCCTACACCTTAAACCCTAAACCCTGAACCTTTCGTCTCAAACGCCTTCGCGCGCCCGATGTGCAGGTGTCGATCAGTGGACTGCGAAGCATCGAGGAGGTGAAGGAGGCAAGTACATGAACAGAGTTTTAGGGTTTAGGGTTTAGTGTGTGTGTACGTGTGTGTGTACGTGTGTGTGTACGTGTGTGTGTATGTGTGTGTGTGGGAGCGTGTGTGAGATACAGCAACATGGTTCCAGGCGTTAAGACGTGCCTACTTCGTCTTCAAAGAGTTCAGGCGACCGACTTTTTTGCCCGTGTCCGAATTCTCTTGCCGCGTCTTTCGAGCCGGCTCGTGCGAAAAACCCAGTACCCTAAAGCTGCCAGGACGTGAGCTGCCTTCGCAGTCCTTGGCAAGAAATGGAGCTTAGGGTTTAGGGTTTAGGGTTTAGGGACTTTGGCAGACAGCTGCTGGAGGCATACACGAGGATCACAAGTTTAGCATGTCAGCAGTTGATATTGTGTCACTGGGTTCTTGATAACTTTTTACACGCACATTGCAAAAGAGTAGGGTTACGCAGTAGATACTACAGCGCCCCTATTACGGTACCTGATTTTGACAACAAGGCCCTGATCGTGCACGAAGGAAGTACTGAATGAGTACGTAGTATAGCCTCTTATTCAACGAAAAACCCGATACCATGTCGAATACTTTTAAACTGCGTTGCCAACATGCATTCTGCGTTGTCAATATCGTTATCTGAGTATTTGTTGTACCGTACATGGCATTGCCATAACATGCGACGCCTAGAGGACGATGATCATTGCTATTCTTCATGTACATACATAGTACACGATAGTAAATTAGCTGTCTGAGCTAGAGAGAGTACATATCACACATTGCAGCTTGCCGTTTGACCAGGCATCCACGCACGTTTCGGCTCCTTGTCGCAATGGTTTAAGGCAAATCCGGACGAGAAATGGGGTAATTCCGGCACAGCCTTGGGCCGTGCAAACATGCAGTTTCTGTTTCGTCAGTGCTCGAAACGGGTGTATAGAAGCAGAGTGAGAGCCTCGGGGCGGGAAACGTAACCAGAGAAGTAGAGCCGCGTATCATGTCTGAAGCACCATGCTGACCACATCTTCACTACACTTCAGCCTTCACTTCAACCGACACTAGAACCGACACTTCAGCGAGTTGGTACGGAGCTTTGTGACCTGCTGGCCATTCCGTGGCTTCGGCTCAATGGGCAGCTCAGGGCATGCTTTTGACCACTTGGGGGGGTGACCCATGTCGCTGGAATGTGCTGGAATGGTTTGTTTCTTGCAGTGTAGGGCCGCTGTAAGAGTCTTGGTGCGACGCCAGGCAAGAGAGCTGCCCCAAAGGAGGTCGGATCGGAACCACTTTTTAGACCTTGAAGATCAGCCAAAAGTCCGAAACGAAGCGTGCGCTCGTTGAGGAGGCCGCCAGTGCCAAGAAGAAGGCCAAGGCCTTCCTTCCTTGCATTTTTGGGTGGTTGTCCCAATGATGATCCCTTTTTGGGGGTACCCTAAATAGAAAGGGACCATCATGTTGACAACCACCCATTTAGGGTTTTGGGGGCTGTTTTGATTCTTGCGTTCTCGTGCTTCTCTCGAAGTTCCTTTGCGCCTGATGGTGCAGGGTGAAGAGCCAGCGCCGAAAGGAAAGGCCAAAGCAAAAGCCAAGGACTTCCGAAAAGAGCCCGGGCAACAAGACTGTCTTCCGCGAGCCGCGCAGGATCCCCCGACACCAAAAGCCAAGGGAAAGGCCAAGGCGGAGGCCAAGGCAGAGGCCAAGGCAAAGGCCCCGGATGCTGGAGCAGCGTCGGCGCCGGCGTCGGTGACGCCGGGAATGGCGGACGTGCCGCCCGCTGGCGCTGATTCCGCGCCCAAACTGGCCCAGGCCCAGTATGACTCGTTGATTTTCTCTTGTGACCAGAACTAATTACTAGCTAGCATGATGAGTATTGCATGTGCTGATCATTATTGCCATTCTTGTTATTCTTGCGTTTAAGATCATTATCATGAGTACGGTCATAATGATTATTTTTACTACTCCCACTTCACTACTTTTATCTCTTGCATTACTGTTCTTACGATTACGACAATGATACACCGTTGTCACTGTCACTATGAGTACGTACTATTAGGGACGAGGGCTGGCAGCCCACTACGCCTCCGGGCTCCGCCTCTCTGCATGTGTGCAGGCGACAGAGGAGCAGCTGGAGGATAGCCTTGCGTTCATGGAGGCCTCAAAACGGAGGTTTCCCAAAATAGGGTTTGTACCAGTTTTCGAGGTTCCTACAGTAAGGATGAGAGTATTCTGGGGGTGTGTTAGGTGGGTCCCTAGTTTGGGAAATGCCCAAAGTCAAGTCCTTGAAACGTAGTTGCGTTGTACTGAGTGAAGATGCTGGCAACCGCTGCGTACAGACTGCCGCCGTGGCCAGGAGGGTGAAGAGGAATTCCCGGACATCTTCTTCGAAGGACTAGAAGGTGACGAGGAGGAGCAAGGGATGGTGTGGGCTTAGGGTTTAGGGTTTGGGGTTTAGGGTTTAGGGTTTAGGGTTTAGGCTTTAGCGTTTAGGGTGTTGCGAAAATGATTTCCATCCTCGAGGAGATGTTGATGGACGATGACCTGCTCGACCTGGAGTCTGACGAAGACTCCGGCCTCGAGGTGGCCAATGAGAGATGTGCCTGCACGCGCAGACCACTGCACCTGCCAGGAAGACGAAGAAGAGGCCGCTTCTTGTGGAATGTTCAACATCATACGCCCTCGGACCGAAGCTGGAGAGCAGGGAACCAACCCAAAGCATCTCCCCTTACTAAGCCGGGCCCTTCGGTCGCCAGGAAGATTTTGTTAAGGACGAGGTCGGCGACGCGGCGCCGCCAACCTGAGAGGGATCACAGGGCGATGAAGCGCCTCACACGCGACGTGGCCCAGCTGCTCAGGAACCCAGATGCTAGCCTCATCAGCGTGCTTGCGTATGTGGAGTGCCATACCAAGCACATGGCATGACTGAAAGCGCCTGGACATCTTCGCTGCTGCCGCAGTTTCGGAAAACAAGCGCATGCCGAGCAGGAAACATTTCTGTACCTTAAAGAACACGTTGGCTTGACATCCAGGCGGACTCAAGATTTAAGTCGCGATGTCTCTGTCGCTCGTGTCGTTCTGATGATCTTGCCTGAGGGTTCAGGGCTTACAATTTAGGGTCTATAGAACAGAGGATTTTACGCATCTCCGCCATGCCGAGCCGGCGGCCGCCAGAGGCGGAGACCTCGGCGGCGAAGATGCGAGGGGCCAAGAGGGGAACGAGTTGAAATTCAGCAATGATCCTGGCAGTAGGCGTAGGTCGTAGTAGTTGCAAGAGTAGCAATAGTAGTAATGAGTACAGCGAACATACATGAAGCAGTCGTATTCGTAGTATTCATCAATAAAGTAGTAGCAAAAGTGATAGTGTAAGAATACATGTGCTAGTAGGTATAGGATATAGTAGTGATAGTAGTAATAGTAGAAAAAAGTAGCAATAGCAGTAATAGAGGTCATAGCAGTACTAGCAGTAATAGCAGTAATAGCAGTAATTGCAGTAATGGCAGTAATGGCAGTAATCGCAGTCGTAGCAGTCATAGCAGTAGTAACACTCATAGTAGTAAACACAGTAGTAGTAGGAATAGTAGGAATAGTAGGAATAGTAGGAATAGTAGGAATAGTTGGAATAGTAGGAATAGTAGGAATAGTAGGAATAGTAGGAATAGTAGGAATAGTAGGAATAGTAGGAATAGTAGGAATAGTAGGAATAGTAGGAATAGTAGGAATAGTAGGAATAGTAGAAATAGTAGGAATAGTTGGAATAGTAGTGTAGTTGGAATAGTAGTGTAGTAGTAGTAGTAGTAGTAGTAGTAGTAGTAGTAGTAGTAGTAGTAGTAGTAGTAGTAGTAGTAGTAGTAGTAGTAGCAGTAGCAGTAGTAGTAGTAGTAGTAGTAGCAGTAGCAGTAGCAGTAGTAGTAGTAGTAGTAGTAGTAGTAGTAGTAGTAGTAGTAGTAGTAGTAGTAGTGGTGGTGGTGGTGGTGGTGGTGGTAGTAGTAGTGGTAGTGGTAGTGGTAGTGGTAGTGGTAGTGGTAGTGGTAGTGGTAGTCGTAGTCGTAGTCGTATAGTAGTAGTAGTAGTAGTAGTAGTAGTAGTAGTAGTAGTAGTAGTAGTAGTAGTAGTAGTAGTAGTAGTAGTAGTAGTAGTAGTAGTAGTAGTAGTAGTAGTAGTAGTAGTAATACTCATAGGAGTAGTGGTAATAGGAATAGTAGGTGTGCTCGTAATTCTTGCAATACTAGCAATACTAGTAATAGTAGCAATAGTAATAATAGTAGCAATAGTAGAAATGGTAGTAATAGTAGCAATAGTATTTACAGAAGATAGAATCGTTATAATAGTCTGACTAGTTCTTCTAATAGTGACAATCGTTACAGTAGCTATAATCGTCAGAAAACTACTACTAGCAAACATAGTACTGCAAGTAGAAATACTGAGAACCGCAAACATCGCCAAAATGGTAATCAGAGGAGCAAAATAGTAATAGAGCAATACAGTAATGGAGCAAGACTTGAGCAAGACCGGAGTGAGGATTTATCGAGTAATGTCGGAAGTATAGGGCCACCCCATGGTTGTCCTTGATAAGGCTTCTAGTTTATGGAGCTCTAAACCCTACACTTTCTGAAGTTATTGATGTACCTGTTTGCTACAAAGATTAGTAAGGGCCATGTGGGTTCGGAAGAATGCCGTGAGATTGCCCAACTCTGCGACTTGAGGCGGTACATTGAGGAGCTGCGCTTTTAGCTGGAGTAGTTGTGTGTGCTTTCTGTGCTAAGGCCTGTTAGGGGTGCTCAGGGTTTAGGGTGCATCTGGCAGGAGTTCGTGAACCCAGTGCTTCAGGCAAGGTTCGTTTGACCCGGCAAAGCAGCTTCTTGAACAGCTCTTTGAACAGAGCCATGCTGTGGAGTTTTGCCATGACCCTTCTGAATCTTTTGCGTGCAATGTTGATGTCATCGTGTTGCCCGCAGTGAGCAACACCTCGGGCAGGAGATGGTCATGAGCCTCCTGAAAGAATGTCCACGGGATCCAGAACGCTTCATGTTGAGGCAGACAAGTCGAGTCGAGACATGCCCCAAGAACCTGAATATGAAAATGTAATAAACTTGTATATTCATTTAATTCTATCCTTATACTTTTAAATATATTGATGTATAGTATAAAAGTATATAAATGAATAATGTCATAGTATATTCATCTATTGATATAATCAGAGGATATTATGGTAATGTAACAACATACTACCTCCCTTAGTCACCCTGGGAACAAGACGTGCAGGTGGCTCCTCGAGCAGGACACGACAGCCAGAATTCCCAGGGCCTGAAGCGTACGTCATCTGCCGCTGTGAAGCAGAGCCTGGCGTCCGCAAGTGTGTGCTGAGAGATGGGTGACTCAATATGGAGACCCCCCCACATATTTAGCAGCCCTTGCAGTTGAAAGGCGACGCGTCAGTCAATGTGCGGTCAGATAGCAGGAGACTTTCGACCGCTGCGGCATCAACTCGCTGGAGGCCTCTTGCCAGAACAAGAGCCGTGCTGGTGCCTATGCGGTGCGATGCTGTTATTACGGGTTGTTCTTTCTTTTTTTCAGTACCGCGGTCATCATTTTTTAGCTACTGCTGTGATGGTACGTTATGGCTGTGCCGGCTGCGCCCTGTTGTTCTGCATCGCCGGCTTGGTCAGGATGCAGCCAGAGAGCAGGAAGAGATCAATGCTTTGCGGCAACAGGCGCGCCGCAAATGCAGTGTGTAGCTCAGGGTGCTTGAGTGGTCGCCCTGCTGTGAAGGTTGCAGAGCTCAAGCGGGAAAGGGTTCAGATGAAGGCGGGCTGGGTTTTAAGGCCAAAACCGCCCAAGAAGTTGGGTTATCTGACGACAGGCTCTCCTTCCCTCATTGTGAGTTTTAACTAGGGTTCCAGAATAAACATCTGCGGCAGAGCTTGGTGACCAAGCTTGGCGACCCCTCAGGGGTGCGGCTGAAGGCTCTGCAGTTGCAGCAGAGCCTGTCATGGTCTTGCTGAACACTAAAGGTTTAGGGCAGGGTTTAGGGTTGCCGGTAGAAGCGTGAGAGCAGCACAGAACGGTCAAACCACTGCGACAGTGTGCTCGCGCGCCCACACTCCAGAGCCTTGAGGAGTTGGAATCTACGAAGCACAAGCCTCGGCCAAATACCCCATTTGTTCGAAGTTCGGGTCCCCTTTCGGGTACCAAGCATCATACGGAGCCTCGCAATTGTAAACGCTTGCACGCGACGCCTCGGCACTGGCCCAACGCGGCATGTAAGCACGCGCAACGGTGCTGGAGGGGTCCAAGGAGGGGGTTTCCAAGGGGTCCCAGACCGAAGACCCAAAGGATTTCGGCGGGGTCTTAGGGCCCAAGCCACGCTGCGGGAGCGTGCAGTTCTGGTTCGGGGGAAGGGTTGGGAAGGGGGGAAGGATAGCAGATCCTGGTCGAGAAGCCGAGGCGAACTAGTGCACCAAAACAAGCACCCCTATACAGAGGCTGTCCATATTAGGCAAGTCCAGCCCGAGTCCTCTTCTTGCGACTGTGCAGCTTTAGAGAGCGCGCTGTGTTTGGTCCCCCCTCCAGGCACGTTTGGCCCATGTTGTTGCAGAGGACCCTGCTGTGCAAGTGCGTTCCGCTTCTTGTTTCAGAAGGCTTCCTTGCTCAGCTCGCAGCCTCTTTGAGACTCCTCACGACAGGAGCGCAAGAAGCGCGGGCTGCCGACACCGCCGACCTTGGACACGAAAGCCCACTCCTTTCTCCAGTTGTTTTTAAGACGTCCCGGGTAGATGCAGTTGGGATTTTAGACGAATGTGCAGCTGTTCCATTGCTGGCCAGACGGTGAAGAAGATCAAGAACTGCATTCTTCGAGCTGCGCAGCTTGGCGGGGTGTCCGGAATCTTGAGAGATGCGCGTCCGTGTCTCCGACTCCGAACTGCAATGCCCCTGTGTTCCTGATGATGGGGTGTAGGATTTCGGATAGTTTACAGTAGGGTTTCAGAATCTCAGGATGCGGAGTATAGCACAGACAACACGCCAAAAATTACCCGCGCGTCCGTCGGTCCCATATCTCCAGGCCCTGAAGTACGTTCCTCAAGTGCTTGCTGCACGAACTGTTAACCATGGAGACCTCTGCAATTTGGCATCGGAGCTAGCCAGAGAGGTCTAGTTTTCACCTTGCGTGCAATATTTACAAATACGGTTGACCATATTTTCGTTTGCACCTCTGTTTGACCTTTTTTCCAGTCATTTTCTTTTCCGATCGACCTTCTTCACCTAAGTCGCGCTGCTTGATAGATGTATACATAATATACACATATCTATATATACATATGTAGGAACTGCCAGGTAAGAGAGGGTATCGGGCTTAGCGTGCTTGTCTTTCCTGCAGCAGTCGAGGTATGCCGGGTGGAGCGGCGTCGATCTTACCCTGCTATTCCGGCGCTTAGACAAGGCTGGGCCTAAGCGACCTGTTGGCTGTGCTGGCTTAGGGTTTAGGGTTTCGGGTTTAGGGTTTAGGGTTTAGGGCTGCAGGGCATAGGGTTTGGGGTTTCGGGTTCAAAGGATTTAGGGTTGAGAGCGCAGTTTACCTTCCCCTGCTGTTCAAACCCTGCAACATCGCCCTGAATCCACCAAAACTACAGCAAGTATAGCTGCATAAGGTCTCTCTTCTTTTAGAAAAGCTGAATATTCGGGCTTCGGGAAGAAATCCATCAACCCGAAGAAACCCACAACCCTACACCCAATGCTTAAGCACTAAATGAAGATACCCTCAACCCCAAGCCCAATAATCTCCCTCAAAACAGCCCTCAAGCCTAAACCCGAAACCCCTCCAATATAAGCCCAAAACTCAAACCCAAGTCCAAAACCCAAACATGCCCCCAAAAACTCTAAACCCTAAACCCTAATTAAACCCTAAACCCTAAACCCTAAACCCTAAACCCTAAACCCTAAACCTTAAACCCTAAACCCTAAACCCTAAACCCTAAACCCTAAACCCTAAACCCCCACAGTTTCAGAGGACCGCAGTGGGGAGCTCGAGATCGATGAAGTGAAGGCAGCCCTCCGACGCGTCTTGCGGCCCGGAGCTCGGCTCTGTGCTTGTCAAGCAATGCAGGGTTTAGGGTTTAGGGTTTAGGGTTTAGGGTTTAGGGTTTAGGGTTTAGGGTTTAGGGTTTAGGGTTTAGGGTTTAGGGTTTAGGGTTTAGGGTTTAGGGTTTGGGGACTCCCTTTTTGTTTTTTTTCGGTGGGGGCGGGGCCTGGGGGTGGGGGGTGGGGGTGGGGAGGGGGGGTGGGGTGGGTTTAGGTTTTTTCAGGGTTTTTTTTCGGGCTCGCGCTTGTCTTGGGTTAGAGGTGTGATGAGGTTAGCATGCCTGGAACCCGTGTTTTTTTTTTGTTGTGGGTGCTTTTTTGCTGTGGGTGCTTTTTTCGGGGCCGCCCCGGTGAGTGAGTGACCTGGCGCGTGTCGCCCCCCCGCACCCGCACCAAAAAAACAACGCGCCCCCGCACCCGCAAGCAAAAAAAAAACGCGCCCCCCGCACCCCAGCAAAAAAAAAACCGCCCCCCCCTCCTCCCCCCCCCCTCCTCCCCCCCACCCCCCCCTCCTCCCCACCCCCCAGGTGAGTGATGACCTCGCGCGTGTCGCCCCGCCCCCGCAGCAAAAAAAAAACGCCCCCGCACCCCAGCACCCGCAGCAAAAAAAAAAACGCGCCCCCCCCCCCTTCCCCCAGGTCATTTGTTTTTGCAATTTCCTCCCCAACCCCGTCCCCAACGCCCCCCCCCTCCTTTAAACTGTGCAAGCGTTTTCAAAGCACTGAATCCTTCCCAAGGCCATCATGCGAGCATTGTGTTTGCTAACGGTGGAGGGAGGGCTGCACCCCGCCCAACCCCCCCCCCTCTTTAAAACTGTGCCAGCTAGCTTCTCAGCATATGAATCCTGTCCAAGCCTATCATGCCAGCATTGGGTTTGCAAATTGGGGGGGGCTGCGCCCCCCCCAACCCCCCCGCTTCTTAAAGCCATGCCAGCTTGCTTCAAAGCAAATGAATCCTTTCCGAAACCATCATGAAAGCATTCCCCTCCGCTTGAAAGGGGCGGGGGGGGGCTGCGCTTTTTAGCCGGGCAAGCTTGCTTCAATCATACGAATCCCTTCCAAACCCATGATGATGCGAGCATTGTGTTGCAAATGGGGGGTGGGGGGGGGCTGCGCTTTTTAGCCGGGCAAGCTTGCTTCAATCATACGAATCCCTTCCAAACCCATGATGATGCGAGCATTGTGTTGCAAATGGGGGGGGGCTGCGCCCCCCCCCAACCCCCCCGCGTTTTTTGGCCGGCAAGCCTGCTTCAAAGCTTACGAATCCCTTCCAAACCCATGATGCGCGCATTGTGTTTTCAAATGCGGCGGTCTGCGCAGCCTCCAACCCCCTGAAAAAAGAGGGAATATATGCCTGCTTTCCTACGAAAATTCAGACCTTATAGTGGAAGTTGAATTTTCCGTTTAAAAATAGAGATATAAACGTCTTCTTAGTAAAGAATCGAGAAAATAGAGCTTGTGTTATGAGACATGAACAAAAACACTTGTTGTCTACGAGTCACAGATATAGAGATAATGCATGTACTCTTATGACAATATAGAGAATTAGCTTTTCATGTATTCCTCTCATGTCTTCCTCGTGAAACAAAGAGAAGATGTCTGAAAATACTGACAAAATAAAAAAAACTATAGAACAATAGAGGTTTTCGCTATACAATATATAGAGAAATTAGATGTTTCCTATGACAACATAGAGGAAATAGAGGCTTTCATACGAAAATATAGCGAACATACAAAGTGTTTTCATATCAAAATGTAGAGGTCTTGATATTCAAATATAGAGAATAGAGGTCTTCATGTTCAAATGTTAAGACAATGGAGGTTTGCCTATTCAGAGACAGAGAAAATAATGGGCTTCCTATTAAAATAGGACAAGAGGAACAAAACACTTTTAATTGCAAGTCACACATTGAGATAACACAGACAATAAGTTTCTCATGTATTCCTCTCTCATGTCTTCCTCATTAAATATAGAGGAAAACTATGACGATATAGACAAAAATAGAGAGAAATAGAGGTTTTCGTTATAAAATTTAGAGAAATAGAGGTTTTCGAATTAAAGTAGAGGTTTTCATACTAAATGTAGAGAAAACAGAGGTTTTCATATTCAAATATAGAGAAGAAAGAGGTTTTCCTATTCAAATATAGAGAAGAAAGAGGTTTTCCTATTGAAAATTAGAGAAAATAGAGGTTTTCATAGTAAAATATAGAGAAAACAGCAAAAACGCTCCGCACCCGCAGCCGCGACCCCCGCACCCGCAAAAAAAAAAAAACGCGAAACCCCGCACGCAGCAAAAAAAAAAAGGCGCCCCCGCACCCGCAGCAAAAAAAGAAACGCGCCCCCGCACCCACAGCAAAAAAGCACCCGCAACAAAAAAAAAAACACTCTTACCGAGCATGCCTGCTGACCGACTGAGGATTCCCCCCAGTGTAGTTCCGGACTACCAGATCCAATCCTTCTGTGCCATTATGGACACAGACTTTTCCGGAGCAGTGGACATCGAGGCAACTTTGAGGGGGGGCTGAGATAAAGGCCATCGACTCTTGTTCTTCCGCGGGAGTGGCACGGTTGCAGGTAGGGCCTCGGGCTGCGGGTGGCTTGTAAGCAGAGCAGCTCTGGTGGGGCAAGGGCTGCAACTCATGGCTGATGGCCTATATGATGGAGCCCGCCTGTAAGGAAAATTTGGAAACGGAACCTCAGGGGTTATAAATTTCATCAGGCGCCATGGAACAGCTTGTTTTTGCTCATGCATGCGCATCTGCTGAATGAATGCTGTCACTGCTGCAGGAGCTTGTAGGTTTCATTCAAGGTGAGGGCTACGACACATAGCTTCTTCTTCGGGAGCAAGGCAAGTAGCCATCCCAGAATTCGAGTCGTTGCCTAAAGGAGGCACTGCTCGCTTGATCTCCCCATGTTTCACAAACAAAAAGGTCTGGGTGTGACGTCAAGGGTACTCTCAGGGGTACCCTGAATGGAAAGCTCTATATCACGAAGCCAGAACCTCAAAAGGGCACCATTCTGTGTAGAGAGAGACGCCCAATGGTCCTAGATTCTGCCACATCCTAAGCCCTAAGCCGCTTGGGTTGTGCGTTTGCGGGCGTTAGGTACCAAGTCACCTCAAAGCCCCTGCAGCAGGTCGTCCCAAGGGCTAGGTTTTGGGAGCAGGCTTGGGAGTTTCGGGTTTAGAGAGGTGTCTTTTTTGTTTTTTGCTTTTTTCTCTTCCGCTGTTGATGATGGGGTGGCCCGGCGACCCGACTACCGCCCTACGCCGCCGGGTCGGTCTATTTGTTCTACTCACTTGTTTTTGTCTTGTCCAAACGCGGCGGGTGTGCTTCGGTTTCGTACTCACAGGGTGCCGAGTACCTAAACCGAAGAGCACTGGGGCTTTCTGCTCAATGGAGAGCAGGCATGTCGCCTCCCCCCTCACCCACCGCCCTTGCATTTTGGACGAAAACCCTAAACCCTAAACCCTAAACCCTAAACCCTAAACCCTAAACCCTAAACCCTAAACCCTAAACCCTAAACCTTAAACCCTTGGCTAGGTGCGGGCATGGCCTCGCTCGCCATCCTTGAAATTGTCGTTGCTTCTGCACTTCTGGGCTCGCATTGCCTCTCACTGCGGGGGGCCTGTATTGACGTTGTAGTGCTTTAATAATGAATGTTTCTTTGCTGGTTCATGGTCTAAAAACTGCAGGGTGCGAAGTGTTGAGAGCTCCCCGAAACAAGTGCCTCTTGAGCCAACGCCGTCAGCTGTATGTCGGCTGCTCCCGAGCCTGTCTGCATCACACATGGTATCTATAACCCCCCTGGGGAATTATTTTGAATGGTTCGTTTATATACAACCCAAGAGGACATTAAACATATTATTTTTATTAAGGTTCTAAGGAGAGTATAGCTATAACTGCACAGGGGTCATGGGAGCAATAGCCTGAGTTCGTCCGAGTTTGACCAGGGGGTCAGGGAGCCCCACTTGCGCCATGGCGGCTTGGGCTTTTGCTGTCATTGGGCTCGCTGTGGCCCTGTGCTTCGGCTGTGCCGCACAGCCACTTGGTAGCCTGAAGTCGCCAGGAGCAAGCGTCTGCACCTTTGCAGAACATCCGAACGTTACTGCAGGTTCACAAACATGCCTATCTTATTCTTCGGCCACATCGCGGCAATGTTGGTCTGCTGGTGCTTGATGACAAGTGGCTCTGCTCCGACCTCAGTGGGTTCGTAGGCGCTATACCTTCCGATATACGTGAGAGAGATGGCCGGAGAAAGTTGCCATGCCTCCATACATGACGGTCGGAGGTTGTCTATTCGTTGGCGGCGGGAAAGCCGGCATCTGAGCGGGGTTTGGGAGAAGGATACTTGGCTCGCGCTACATCCCCTGTGAACAAGTCATAAGTCTCAGGAGAGACAGTGTCCGGGCACTACATGCGGCCATCCAGACCTGTGCGGTCTTCGCCGCGGTGGTCACTTGGCCAAGATCAGGGGCCACAGCCATGATTTGGTCAATCCTGCACTGTTGTAGGCGGTCCTGGCCCCTGCGACTTGAGGTTGGCTACTGCTGCATCTTCCGGAACCACCAGTTGATGGGCGGGGGCGGGTTGATCCAAAGCATCTTCGCAGCTTGGTACTCCTCTTGGCAGGTGGTTCACAGTTGGGCTTCGACCCCGGCAACCCTCCAGCAAAGTGGGTGCCTTATGCTTATGCCGGCGTAGACATTCCGGCAAGCATCGACGTCACGGTTCCAGGACAGCGCACGCCTTGCTCGGCTACGTTGTCTTGGGCTGCATGCTTGTGCAGGCGGGGTCAAAGTAACCCGTTGGCCTCTTGTGCTGAGAACTTTCCCTTCCGCACCTGCCGTTTGGGAGGCTTTCCAGGGCTGGTCCAAGTATCTCGGGCTGCAGGCAGGGCTTCGAATCTCTCCTTCTATTTCTTCCAAGGGACCTCTGGACCCCTAAGGCTGGAAAGATCCGATATCTGGCGCATCCTTTGAATGGCCGGGTTGTCCTGGCAATTGCTGCAGCTTGGCTGGGAATCTTTGGGTTAACCGCCATGCGCGCCTCACGGGGTGTCTGAGTCGCTGAACATGGCGCTCGTGCTGACGACCTTCCCCCTCAGTCAGGCACCGTAGCCTTGCCGCAGTCTTATACTCGTGGCTGGACCTACGAACTCTGATCACCAAGGCGCTTTTCAGTGTACTTGCGGGTGGTATCCTCGTGACTTCCGCAGCAGCGGTCATCCTGAGTGGACCAGCAGGCCTGCCCGAACAGAGCTCCGTCTGTGAGTCTTTGAGGGTAAGATACAAAAGTGCAGAAGCCATCCAGGCAAGGCCGCCGCCAGGCCATTCTTTGGGTTGCGAAGATCTCTTTCGCACCGCAGAGAATCAGTTCCGTGGCAGGGAGGCAATGTGCTCGGAGGCCATGCTCATGGAATCCGAGAAGGCCAAGTCAAGACATTGCTTGTTCGCTACGTGTTCATATGCATATATATACATACACTATATATATATATATATATATATATATATATATACATATATATGTATATGTTTATATTTATATTTATACATACGTATACGATTGGGCGCGGCTGCACGTTCCACAACAATAAGCGCAAGGGTTTGGCTACCTTCTGCACTGCATATTTGGCAGGGCTACGAGCAGCTCGCAGCGAGTGACTGATGGGTGTGCCATCAAGATGTGCTGACACAAGCAATGCGGGCTCGCTGCCGCTCGTGCAAGATTATGAGATCATGAGGCCGCTATGAATGCTGCCGCCTCTTTCTATTGCCTTGAGCTTGTAGGTAGCTCATTTTCGTGGTGGACGCCGTCACCACCTTCCATTCTCTTGCAGTTTGTTGCACAACTTGCGCCTTATGTGCGGCTGATAGCCACCAGCCAAGCCGAAAAGGTGGAATTGTGAAGCCACATGTGTCTCTGGAGTGCGAAATGCCCTTTGTGTCCCGTGGTGCCGTCTTCTTCCCCAAGTTGAGAGCTTGCTGATGTTTCTTTAGGTTGTCACGCGGATCGCCCTTTGGCCTCGAGACGGTAGTGAAGTTGCTTTCCGAAGCCCCCTCACAGGGCCGGCGTAGATGAATTACAGCCATGACACTGAAATGGCCAAACCGGCACGCTTTGTGGGGCCAAATTCGCCCCTAAGAACCTCGGCTTCGTGACGTGAAGCCTCCTGGCAGCCCTATACATCCTACAAGCGGGTAGGTTACGTCGTATCTTCTTGTGTAAAGTCGTATCTCGGGCGCCTGCACACTGGGGATTCGCGAATTCCAACATTGGTCAGAACCCACTCGCACCCCCAAGCAAAAATCTCATTCACGCTGACAAAAATGCGCTCCCCTCCCAGGCGTGCGGTGACCAGTGTGTGTCGAGAACATGCTCGTGCGGCGCGTGCACATTGGGGGAAAGGCTTCAACATGTGCCTCTGTGGTGCGACTTTACGCGGGGTGATGTGACTTCGCTCGCAGCTGCGTGTCACTGGGCTTCACACGCAAAGATGTGCGCTAACATAGCCCCTTGTATCAATGCCTGCGGAGCGAGGGCAGGCGCCTGTAGTACAAGTAAGGGGCCGGATGTAGGGTTTGACTTCAGCGCGACCGATGAGGGTCGTGAAGCTATCGGGGGTTTTCTAAATGGTGTTCCCGGCACTTGGGTTGCGCAAACGGTGTCAACGTTAACATCTAAACCGCGGGTGATGGTCTAGATGGAAGACCATGGTGCCAGGATCGGGATTGGGCCGCTGACCAGCTGCGTCGAAAGCGCGGCTCTTGGGCAGGGACGTTGATCTGCATGATGGACTCTTTTGGTACCTTAGCCTTGCACTCTGCGACAAAGGGTTCCACAACTTCGGATCACACCCCCCCCCCCCCCCCCGCCCCCCCATGTAGGCCTACAGAGGCCTAGAGCCGGGCAGTGTTCCCTTGCAATACGCGCCTCTTGATGTGTCTTGCAGATACCCTGTAAACCCCACAAACTTTAAACCCCTTACAGCCCTTAAAGGAAGAACGCGCTGACCGGACTTCCGGATTCCCCCATCCGCCGCACCGCGGCTGCCCTGCCGCAGGCCGGGCAGGAGCACTGGAAAAGGGGAGGCTTGTACCCAAAGCCCCCGACCCGCAGCCCTAAAGCAAATCACCCCAAGCCCTAAACCCTAAACCCTAAACCCTAAACCCTAAACCCTAAACCCTAAACCCTAAACCCTAAACCCTAAACCCTAAACCCTAAACCCTAAACCCTAAACCCTAAACCCTAAACCCTAAACCCTAACCCCTACTCTAGAAGAACTGGGCAGCCCAGTGGTGCCCTTTTCCTTTTTTTGGTTCTGGGTTCCCCTAAACCCTACAAGCCCTAAGCCCTAAGCCCTAAGCCCTAAGCCCTAAGCCCTAAGCCCTAAGCCCTAAACCCTAAACCCTAAACCCTAAACCCTAAACCCTAAACCCTAACTAAAGCCCTCTCTTGAGGTCGCAGTTGCTGCGGTGCAAGGAGTGGCCGCCACCCCGCCAGGGGCAGCGACACTCGGCATCCCGGCGGCCATCACATGCTTAGCGGCCACGTGGGGTTTTACGAAAGTAAGGGGTTTAGGGTTTAGGGTTTAGGGGGCCCCCTCATATAGATCTCCAGATAGTAGGCTTTCCTTGAAAATAAGGACCCCAACAAGGTACCCCTAATGTCGGAAACCCCCCCATATACGATTTTAGGGTTTACTTCGCGCTTAGCTGCTGAAACGGCGACGAGAAGTGGGCACAAAGCTGTCTAGACCCAGAGTCGGCAAGTGACAGTTTTTCTATGCCCGGGTGCCTTCGCGGGGGTCCTTTCGGTGCGGGATTCCTCTGGAGAAGTTACCTGGTGTAGAGTAGCCCCCGCATGTTGATCACCCCGAGCCCACAAGCCTCAACCCGAAACCCTCAACCCTCAACCCTCAACCCGAAGCCCGCGATCCTAAGCCCTGAGCCCTGAGCCCTAAACGCAAGGCAGTGCCTTGTCTGCCCTTGCGATCAATGCCGGCAGCGCAGAGCACGTGCAGAGAATCTGCCATGGGTCCGCCCTTGTGCTTGTTTGTGGGGAAGCTGCGTAGGGTTTAGGGTTTAGGGTTTAGGGTTTAGGGTTTAGGGTTTAGGGTTTAGGGTTTAGGGTTTAGGGTTTAGGGTTTAGGGTTTAGGGTTTGGGGTTTAGGGTTTCGGGTTTCGGGTTTCGGGTTTAGGGTTTAGGGTTTAGGGATGCCGGTTTGTGGGGTTTAGGGCTTAGGGTTGAGGGGAGTGGGCTTCCCAGCGTGGGAGGTACTAGGGAACCCAGCGAACCTTATAGCTTGGAGGGCTGTTTGGGAGTACTAAGGGGTATGATTATACCACCCCCCGCCCCTCCCCAACAGGAGCCCAGGAACTCGAGCTTTGGGGTGGGCAGCTGGGAGAGTGAGGGAGAGTAAGTTTGCACCGCTGGACCTGGGGGTTTTGAGGTCTGGTCTGGGGTTTGCATATCGATTCTTGCCGCCCCTTACACGCTGGAATCCTACCGTACACCTCCAACCCTACGCCCTAAACCCCTCTTGTCTACTTGCAGCCAGGCTCTTGGCTTTGCTCTACGACAAGGAGTGCCTGGCGGTCCACCACGAGTTTGCGCAACTGAAGGCGTTGTTGGGGAATCCAGCCCCCCATCCGAACTCCGAACCAGAAAGCCCGAAGCCAACCAAACTCCCCTCCCCTCCCAAAAAAGTCACACTTCGTGGCCGGCACGGTGCTTTTCCCTGAGGGAGTGGAAGCACTCCTGGCTATCCTCAGGCGCGCCCCATTTGCAGCTGTGTTGTGTTGCTACAGGCTTGTAAGAACAGTTGTCTGCGCCAGGCGACATGGTGGCGGAACGGCTCTGGCAGCTCTTCGCGTGCTGGAGAAGCCCGCAGCTCAATTCTGTTGCAAGGGGGTCGGGTTTAGGGTTTGGGGTTTAGGGTTTAGGGTTTGGGGGCGAGGGGCGCCTTTTGCGTTCACGTGACAGGCTTTGCCGAACTGTGCCCAGAGAGCTCTGTGCCTGTGGAGGCACGAGAGGAGTCAGGCAGTTCTACGGCTGGTGTTGGAAGTGCGGGTGAATTCGGCCAGGTGTCGATGTTTTGGCAAGATGTGCTGAGGTACTGGCCTCAAGCATCCCTTGTTTGTGCTCACCATGACGGATGAATTACGGTTCGGCTTGCCTTGCTTTTCTCTCCTGAGGTTCCTTGTCAGGCGCGAAGCTCGAGTGCTCGCACATTCAGATCAAATTGGTGCTGCCCATGAGTCGGCGCTTGTGTATGAGTCCGAGTCGTAATTGTAAATTCGTGGGGCGCTTGAGGGGGTCGGTGGGGGGGGGGGTTGACTGGTGATGTCTTGCATCGCCTGCTGTGGAGGCCCCGCGCTTACTGGAGGCTTCGCTGCGATGCCTACATGGGCTGACATTCGACACTGAGGCCACAAGCCTTTGCGGTTCAAAAATGCGCATCGAAGTAGCTCCCAAAGAGTTGAGCTCTAAGTTTTATGCTCTGATGCGCTGGGAACCTGAGTGCGCATTGCTCCCTTAAAGGAAGCCTGGGTTCCTACTTGCCTACAACGGAGCCCAAACCCAACATCTGTCGAAGGCCAAGGCGGCTGTTGCCCGTCGTGGTGTCCATGATATAGCAGGCTGCCTAGAAGCAGTGCCGCATATTGCAGGACCAACGTATGACCCCCCGTGCCCAAGGCCCCAGACATATCTCAGCAGATCTTTTTTCTGCTGCTTGGCTGGGGAAGTCTCGCCCGAGGCTGAATCTCTGCTGGAAGACATACCGCTGAGAAAAGAGCGGCAGGCACAGAGGAAAGTCTTTCGCTTTGGCTGACCCCCTCGCAGCCATGCATGCAGGTGGTTTCCAGCAATGAGGAGCAGAGTGCGCTGGACGAGGCATGGGACGACGTCCACGCCCGAGACTTCCGACAATCGCCTTGCTGGTTCTCAGTAGGGAGTAAGGGAGTTAGGTAGTTACCCCCGTCTGGTCCCGTAAAGGAGGTCGAGTTTCCTAGTCTCCTAGTTCCCGGCCACATGCTGAGACCACCGTCATCTGCAAGCGACTGCTGCAGAGACTGGGTGACGGTCGGAAGACGGTGCACCGAAGGCCCGCCCACCTTTTGCAAGGCAAGCGAACAGTGTGCACACCTCCGTGTCAAGAACCAAATGCAGCAGCAACCGTTGTTGAGAAGGATTGTAAGGATTGTAAGGACTGTAAGAACCAACACTCATACTCATCAGTGAAACTGAAGACAGCCAGTCAATGATCATCACTGTGTGCCATCAAACACTCACAGATCACAACTATATTGACAAGGCAGCTTATGCTGGGCGCGCTCTACCCAATGGTCTCCCGTGCGCAATGTTACGACTGATGTGTATTTGTTTTTCAAAGAAGAATCAGAAGAATCAATAGTAAACGGTAATACGCATACTGCTCCTTTCCTTCTGTTTCATGTCCCGGGGCTCCATGCGCGGACACTTCAAAGCGGGTACCGATTGCTTTGCGAATGGCTTTTGAAGACATCGGATGTTGATGGCGTGCATCGGCGTGACCAACCAAGCTGACTCAGAAGTTGTGTTTGAAGTTTTTGTCCGGGGTTTCAAGAATCCACAATGCACAGTGGCTGCTACTGTCCGGGATACTCAGCTGTTGCTGCTCAGAACTGAACCGCAAAAATTTCGAGCTGTGCTGTGCGTCATCCAGAATCCTGAACGACCGTAAACGTCGAGATGATGATACCTAGGTTGCATGTGCGGTCGATGCACATCTGGAAGACGGCGGGATTGGGATAAGAATCAGCTACCCGTACAGTCCAGCAGCAGAGGCTCCCTGTGCTTTCTCGCATGGCTTTGCAAGCCTGGTACCGTCGAGGTTGAAGCTAGCTTTTGCGTGGTGGGAGACTTTTGACCTACTTACTTTTGGTAGTGGCGAAGGAGATAAGAGCCCTTGCAGGTCCATGCATATGTATATATATATATATACGTATTCATTATATGTTTATTGTTTTTTAATTTTGATTTTTATTCTCTCTCTCTCTCTCTCGCTCTCTGCTAGGGTCATAGGTATAGAATCACACTCCAAGTTAAGGGCCACATTTACGGGCCTCCTGCTTTAAGCCCTCTGTCAGTGGTCCCCCAAATGGGGCTGTCTGAACTGATGGTCAGGTAGAGCAGTCGCCGAACTGTGTGAAGAGGTAGGTCCGACGTCAATTGTACAGGGTATCTTGGAAAGCAATCGCTGGAGTTGGCAATTCGGAGCTCCTGAAAAGCAGGAGCCTACGCCCATATCTTGTGCAAGCAAGCAGCTGTTTAGGGTTTAGGGTTTAGGGTTTAGGGTTTAGGGTTTAGGGTTTAGGGTTTAGGGTTTAGGTTGTTTTTCACGAACGGTTCAACCCAGCCTGGTGGAGCCGTGTTTGTGACCTTGTGTCTTGCACATGTTTGCTTACCTGAGATGCCGGACATCGAACGACGTCTGGAAAAAGAAAAGTGGCGACTGCGGACTGCGGCATCCGCTCAGAAAGAGTTCAGGGTACAGGTTTTGTGTATTTGGGTGATACCCAAAAAAGGGGGACCCCTAATCTCAGACTTGTAGGGTGACTCTTCGAGAGCACTATGAAACCTAAATCTTCAACCCTAGGGTCTAGAGAGTATAGCATGGTTGGTTATGGCCCATGTGGTATTTCAGAAAGGAGCGCTGGTATGGATCGGACCACCGAGCAACTCTTCCGGTTTGGTCATGATGCTGTTGTCAGAACCTCAGCTGCGACCAGTGCCAGTGGGTTTTCGAAAGCCCTAAAGCTTTATTCTCTCACTCTGGTGCTCGTTGTCCGTAGTTTCGGCTCAGTGCCCTTTTTCCCATTGCTCAGAGGCTGCTGGCGGCCCAGCGTCCTTCCACCTTCTCTGCGTCACAGAATTCCAGAAGCCCCCTGTGTTTGCCAGCGAGAGTTCTCCGCACGTTGCCGATGAGTTTCGCTGAGGAAGTGTAGGCCATTTTCGAAGCATGGCCAGCAACGGACGGCGCGTTGCTGTCGGCTTCGACCCCAGTTTCTGGCAGCCACGACGGCCGGTGCACGCCACGCACGTGTAGCTGGCATCCATATGCCAAATCCTGAACCCTAAACCCTATACGGGGGGACAACAAAGGAAGGAAATCAACTCCCCTAATCGCCCTGAACTTATATTTCCCAGATCGAACCAAGAAACAAACAAGAACACGGATAAGAGCAACCCAGGGGGGAAGGAAAGGGGGAAGGAATCCACACCCTTACCAAACCCTAAGAACCCAGGCACTACTTTTTGAACTTGTGGCTTTCTGTTCAAGCCCATCTTGAGCCAAACATGATTTCCGGGTTCATTAACCCTTCCAACTCTCAACACTAACTCTTTTCTACAATACCAATTGCAGCTCCGCACTCCCCCTGTCCTAGGATTTCCTAGGACACATTGGAGATGCAGATCTTTTGGCCAAAAACTGCCATTAAGGCAGCAGCCAGCTGCTTGAAATGCATGTTATGGTTTAACGTCTTCCAGGACGGAATTATAGCACATTGGCTAACCTACTACCCACAGAGAATCTCTTTTCACCATGATCCTCTCATCACTGAAGACTCCTTGGCCTTCTTCACCACAAACCGTGGTCTTCGCTACGCGAAAAGCTACTGACTTCTACTATCAGGGATTTCCATACCCTTAATAGTAACCACCACATTGTCAGCACATTGGCTGTTCCAGCGCGCCTGTCTCCAGAAAGAGAAAAACCATCCCTTCATCCATACCATCCAATCACTTCTTTTTCCGATTGTTGGCAATCTTGAGGTGAAGTTGCAGCAGAATATACTCCAGGTCCGAAACTGTAAGAACAGGATCCTGTACGCCCCTTTGAATTGAGGATACCAATCCTTCTCTCTTTGCGTCCTCAATCGCCTGGCAAGATTGACCCAGCTCTGCATTCGCAGTGGCAGACCCTGGTGCATCCGCATCAGATGGACGATCCTTTTCCTCAGGATCTTGCACCATTACCACCTCTTCTTTTTTGGGACTCTGACTTTTCTCCCTCTTCTTTGTCTTTCCACCGACATTTGACTTTGTGCGCGTCTTCGAGGATTTTTCCACTGCAGAAGCCACCACATTGGATGTTGATCCACCCTTCTCAATGATCGTCGGCATCTTCTTCGGCTTTGGAACCATGAGAGTGTAAGGATCTTCGATAGCTGCAGCTTTCCTCTTCTTTTTTACCTTTTTCTTCTCTTCTTCAACGGCAACCTCCGTCTCCGAAGTCTCAACCACTCCTTTTTCGGCAGGAATATCCTTGCTGGACTCCCTTTCTAGGGACCTCTTTTTACCTCTTTTGGAATCCTTTTCCTCTCCCAAATTGGCTCGCTCATACCATATCCTCAGGTCATTGACCCATTCTTCCACCTCCGCGAGCGAAACCTCATACGACTTCACTACTTCGAGAAGTTCCAGCACGGTCAACATTTCAGTGGTCCACGAAACCCATTCTTGATCCATTTGGTCAGCATCTCCAGTGAACTTCAGGAGTTTGAACAATGGGTCCGCCTCTGCTCGAGCCAAATCTGGCTTGCCACCGGACAGAAATGAAATCGCCTCCATCAACAGTTCCGTCATCTTGGTCTCTTCGTCATAAACCATAAAATCCTCCTCATCATCATCGAACTGTTCAGGAGAGATCTCCTTTTCTCCACCATTTGCACCAGACTTTCTCCTTGGACCATCCCTTGGGGGCGTCCTTGGAGACCTTGGCCTCTGTTCTTCCAGCGGAACACCATGCTCGAAGACACACCTGTCACCAAACCGACACTTCCCAGACCGAGCAAACTGGACGCACCTCACACCAGTTGCATCATGCGAGAACCCACAATCCTTTCCAGCGAAACATTCTCTCCCTGCCACATAGTATTTACACCAATACGAATGTAGCACCACATCATCTTCGGAATGGATGAATTTGCAGTCGTCACCAAATTTGCAGCGATCTTTCCCCTTGCCGAACCAATAGCAGAATCCCTTCTTCCTCTTCTCCAAGCGCTCTGCCTCATACCGGTCCATAGGGCGACTGTGCTCTACATGAACATTGCCATGTACCTGGGGACTGCTCCCTTCACCCGACGTGCTATCAGTATTTGGTGCTTGGAGTACAGCTGGAAAACCTGGCCTTGGTCCTACCACCTTCATGATCGGTTTTCCGCCAACTCCTGAGCCATGCTGAGACGATCCAAAAACATTGAACATCTTCGTGAAGGCCTTTCTAGTGCCAATCTTCTGCACCCTTTTGATTGGACGTTTCATTGCTCCAACCTTGCATCCAGATGCGTTCAAACGACACAACCTCCTATAACCAACTCTATGTCCCTTCTTCCAAAGAGCCATAAGAATTTTAGAGGCAGTAACATTCTCCACCTCTACCTTTTCCAATGGTCCCTCACTTCCCGGAACAAACCCATCCATATCTGAAGACCTTTCCATCTTTTTTGACACCACTTCGTCGAGGTAGTCTTCCGAGATCCAGGGTAAGTT